TACCTCTCTCTCTCTCTCTCTCTCTCTCTCTCTCTCGCTTTGCTTACCAACCTACGTGCGTGCATCTCACTCTGCCACTGCTGCTTTTTCGCTGTGCCGTGCGCCGCGTGCAAGACCCAGACAACCAGACGAGCTCCCCTGCGGTGCGGCCGACGGGACCCCTTCTCTCAAATGCACCTGCTGATGATCGAGGGAGTTGGAGGAGAGGAAATGCGAGTCTACAATCCACAAGCCCCATTTTCAGTCTTTTGAAATGATCATGAACCCCCTCCCCCAGTTGTCCCCTGCTCCTGGTTAAGCTTGCAAGACTGCTGGCTGCTGAATTAAGCATCGAAAAGAAACGAAAAAAATTAAGATTTCCCTCCAGGCATCTCATTTTGGAGCCTGCCAGAGAGGCTCTGCATTAACCATCGTGGGTCTTCTCAACAAGGTTTTGCGCCATCATCCTTAAAGTCTGACCCTCGCAAGGGGGGCGTCAGGCCCCGGAACCACGGTGAAATCGGGGCAGGGCCCAAGCCTGAACAGGCATCGCGGAGCAGCAAAGATGGGTGTCGAGGCCCATGGGATCGACGAGTACCGTGGTATTTCTCGACCAGGGCCAGTTTAGCAAACCCATGCCATTATTGATACACCCAAAGTAACCCACCAATGACACAGATGCGAGGTGCCGGGTCCCCGCCCAAATCGACGACGAAACCCGCCAAGGCCAGACTCGTTCCCCTGATGGTGTCCTTGGTGTCTTTCGCCCTGGGTGCCCTTGTACTGTAGGTGAGCGGTCCACACCCACACCACACCACAACCCCGTCCGCTACATACTACGGGGAAGGGAGTCCCACGCTGGCCCTCTTCTCAGCGCCCAGCCCAGCCCAGTCAATGTCTTCTACCTCTGCCCTGCCTACACCCCCAAACGTGATCCTGTCAACGACTTTCGAACCCGTTTTCGTTCGACTCGGACAGAGAGACAAACACAAAGGACTCGACTTTACGACAAGTGCGCTGATCGCGAGAAGGATTGATTCGAGTGATACCAGTTACCGGCAACCGAGGATCAACATCTGATTGAACATACAGCACTGCCGCCCATGACCTTTGGTGGTTGAGAGCTTACTGGTCACAAAACCACTGATGCTGCAGAGCGGCACTGCTCTGTGAGCAGCCACCACAACACGCTGTACCAAGCCGAACCCGCCACCCCCAAAGACGACAAAACGTAAAAATGAATGGAGGAAGCGACAACAAGATGCCCATCGAGCGCAGGGCTTCGATGCGGACATCCATGAGGTTATCTATATCACCTGGCGAAGATGACGACTATGACATGCAAATGATGGGAATTTCAGACGGATTCCGTCCAACAAACATGACACAGCCACCTCAACAGCCATTACCAAATCCGCCAATTCCGTTGCAACCAACTCCATCAACGAAGTCTGTACAGAAGCCCAGGCCCTCGAGTATAGCAAAGCCGCCACAGCCTCGTGAATCGTTCTCCTTACGGCACGATGGTGGCATGGGATCCTTGGCCGACTCGGTGGTTGCCGGCTCATCTAGTAATGTAGCACAAACGGTTGCTAGAGCAGAGAGCCCTTACCAAGGACCCTCGGGACCGTCATTTCCATATCAGATGTATACCCAGGATGTGAGACCTCAGCGTACAAACAGTCTGGCGACCACGGTGACCGTACCGGCTACGGAGAGATCGTACAATGGCCCAAATAACCCGACACATCCGTATCAAATGTACCCACAGAACACGGCTGCAGCCTCGGACGTGCCGGAGGGAAGAGCATCCCCGGTAATTCCAGTCGGGTTTACAGGAGCAGTAGACAATTATCAAAGGAGACTCGGACCCGAAGGAGAGGAGGCTGGCGATATGATTGGACCCGACGGACATACAGAGCAACTACCGCCATATACCCGGTATCCTGACGAGGCATACCAGAGGAAAATTGCTGGAATCGGTGGAATGCCAGCAATGGAGCCATCGGCTGGGGCCTCGTCGGCGTCGCAAGCAGCGCTGGCAGTGGGCTCGGCCTCGGTACCAACGTCAGCAGCAACTTCAGTATCGTCTCCCTCGCCACGGTCATCCGCTGGAACTACGGCCCTGCAGGCCATCCCGGGAGCCGGAGGACTTGGATTGGCAACTAGAAATCCCGAATTTGCTTCGACGGATGATCTATCACTTCAGGCTGGACATTCACCACAATCGCGGCAATCCCTCAGGAGTTTCACCAGCGAAGGCGACAACCCTCAAATCAACACCGCGGCCCAGACGGTATTGAGCGAAAAGAAACCGGCCAAGAAGTGGCAAATCATTGCCAGGCGAAAGGTGTGGGGTGTGGTGCCATGCTGGGCTCTCACAATCACGCTCATAATCATTGTAATGTTGGCAATTGTATTGGGAACGGTATTGGGCATCTTCTTCAACAAACCGAAGAAGCCGCCGCCGCCCAGCGAGTACGTCCACCATTCTCAGCTATGATATCGATCATCCTGCTGACAGCGCTGCAGTAGTTCGTCCGCTACCATGACTTACGATGCGTCACCGTTATCTACGGTGCCTGCTGATCTAGCAGCTTTGCCCAGCGGCGAGTTCGCTTTGCCATTGATGCTCACACGATCACCAACAACTTGTTTCAATGATAGTACACAAGCACAAGCTTGGAATTGCAATCAGGTTTTTGCACAACTGAGCCTGCATATCGACAAGCTCTCCGAGACTCCTAGCACTTCGCAATACTCCATGAGTCTCCACTATAATGAGTCGTTCACAATCGAGAGCGACGAGTACTCTTATGGCATGCAGCCTCCCAAAGTTAATGACGTCACAATGCTATTGGTCACAGATGTCAATGAGCCCACGCGTGGGCCAGCTTGGGCATTCGAGGTGGCATACAACAAGACTGTGATTATTCCTGAAGGTTTATTCCCGGGCTCTTCCTCAAGTTCCAGTTCCAAGAGAGGCAGTCCTCCACCTCCGCCGCCTGGAGGTGGAGGTGGAGGCTTTCCCGGTGGAGATTTCAAGCGAAAGGGGTTGGCTCAGTCGGGCGACAAGCCATGGATATGCTCATGGGATGGTACAATCCTCGAGGTTTTTGTCTACCCAAATCAAAACAACAGCCAACCGTCTCTGGTATTTCCGGATTCGGGTCCCTCTTTTACTGGCGGTACAACCACTGCTACAGTAACCAGCACCGCTTCGTCCAGCACTGCTACGTCAATCAGCACAGATGACGACGATAGCGAATCCGCTGACTACAGAAATCAATACACGTCGCATCATCGGAGACAAGCTTCAGCGAGCCCGTCTGCAACCACGACAACATCAACGAGCGCGACAAGCACTATTTCGTCGTCTGGTGTTTTTGACACATCGGTGCCTAGCCCCAGCGATTTCCAGGTTCCCTTCTTTCCCCGAGTTGTCAAGATGGAAGAGCGGCGGCTCGCTGGCAGCCCATCGGTTCAGCCATATTGTCGCCAGTATCAAATCAACAGCAATGGTCCGGCTACCCCACTCACAGACTCAAATGGTCATCCAATCGAAGTCAAGATTGTGGAGATCGAGCCTGACGAGGATGAGTCCTCCCACGAGCGAAAGAGCTCTCGGAGAGAAAGGCTAGTGCAGAGAAAGGTAATTGACGACTATCTCAACAACGGCGTCAAGCCTCGCGACTCGGACAGCGACATGAGCAATTGCGGTTGCATGTGGTGGGCCACGTAGAAGTCAAATCACGAGAAGGAGAGACCCCTGAGCCTCGAAAAGGAATGAAAATATCACGACACTTGTACATGATTGTCTCGAATGAGACCAACAGCACGGCACCGGCGTTTTCTTTTGGATTGGTCAATCTTGGAGCCGCGGCGGCTTATTCGAAAAGAACGATCTTGGGTTTTTTATATATTTGGTCACATGGAGCGGCGTTGGAAACTCACCCACCTGGCATATCCTGCCACTCATTGCAAATTTTATGCTTATATTGCGGAATCTCGAGAATACGGAAACAAGCATGGTCCCTTTTGTCACTTGAAGTCGACCGGCGTTGGCATGGAGATTCAAGAGCACTGATCTTGTTGTCAACAAATAGGAATTTGGCAGAACATATACAATTATCTGGAAAATTAGCGACGGTCCGGTTTGGGCTATAATGGTAACTCAGCATGTTACCAAAGGGTCAGGAGAACTGCGATATCTCGAGTTCGGATCTGACTGACATAAATCTTGTAGAATAGTATCCTACTTATTTAGTGAACGAAAGAAGAAAGAAAAGATATCTTGACCATGCCTACTCGTGTTCATAGGGTTAGTGAAAGCTGTGTGTCTATTACCTTCGGTGAGCTACATCAATGACATCTTTTTCATGCGTTGGGCCTCATCATCATCACTATCAGGCCTCAACGAGAACAATGATGACAATGATGATAATGTGTTTCGGTCAGCACCCCTGCCGTTTCATGCCTGCCAACCGCGTATGGTATTTGCGCGGCCATGCTATTGACCACGGTGGAGGACATATGAACTATTAACGATGTGAGGCGAAGATGAAGGAAGTTTATGAGGCCAATTTACGCAATAGCATCTTGCTCTGCTACAGTTTACAAAAGGCACAAACGCTCCAGGTTTTGGCCTCCTTTCCCAGAAACGCGGGGATCCTCGCGGAGAAACGAGAACGGGCAACAGGTCTACCTGTCCATCTCCCATGTCATTGGGCGCCAGGTGGTTACGCAGGCACACCATCTCGAGTGCCCTGCTTTCATTACCGTGGGGCTGGCACCCAAGCACCCTTCTCTTTAGAGGTGAGTGAGTCTACGCCGCCCCGTCTCACCTTACCCAAGTGACAAGTTATTGGATATCCACCATACACGTTTTCGCTGAAGGATTCCTGCACTTTCTCTTTTGCCCGTGGCGTTTTGTTGCCCCGTCTAGATGGTATAGGACTGGAAGAGGAGGGGAGGAAATGCCTTACTTATCCTATTTCACTCACCCAAGCCCCAGCGAAAAGGAAAAAAAGTAAAAACTCATCGGGCGACCGAGAGGCCCATTTTCGTCAAGCTCACCCCCTCCCCCTCCCCCGTCGCCCGCGGTCCAACGAATCAATCACTCGCATAGCTACTACCGCCCAGGTGGTTTTCGGAAAGATGCCTAGAGAATCATGCAGCGCTCGCCTCATATCGTGGCCAGCTGCGCCCGGTGAGCGCGAAGACACAACCCTCACCCTAAATGGAGGCTCTTTTTCTTGTTTTGGATGAAGTCAAGAGACTTGCTTCGCCACCGGTTCGGGTCTAGGGGAAGGGAGACCAACGCCCAAGGGCTTTGAGGTCTTTCTTGTATATATTTTATTGGCGTCTCCTGCTCCTGGAATTCCATTCCTCATTTGTCTGCATCGTTTTCTTCTATCGCACTACAGCCGATGTTTGTGTGGATAATTTGATTCCGTCCAGTTCGACCTTTGGACAAGACCTTGGGTGTTGAGAGCTGCAACCTCATTCTTATTGTAGGCATTGTACTGTCGCCCATTACTTGCTTGTTCTATTCGCCCACACCAGTTCACCTCGGCCCCCAACATCCCTCTCCCAAAAACCATGAGTGGTCACAGCCTATACTCGGGCTACTCGGGTAGCTCGTCCCGCTCAAACCGTACCTCGGTCAGCTACTGCCAGCCCGAACCCGGCCGCCACCACGGCGGCGTGTACCGCGAAACGGACCCCCACGACAGCCGCGCCGTGCGCTTTGCCGCGCATTTCTTGCAAGGTCCCTTTAGCGGTGCTTTGAGGAAGAGCGACCGTCAACACTCTTCTTCTTCTTCCCGTCACGGTCATCATCATCATGGCGGCAGCGGCAGCTCTTCCTATTCTTCCGCGCCGTCATCGTCGTCGAGGTATTCTGCGTCTAGCACGAGGAGCCGGTCTCCCGACTCGATGCGTTGGCAACAACAGCAGCAACAACAGCAGCAACAACAGCAGCAGCACCAGCAGCAGCAGTATCAGCATCCACAGCAGCAGTATCAGCAGCACCAGCAGCAGCAACCACGTTACCCAGGGCCGCAAGCTGGGTACAGACCTGCTGGTCCTGGCTATGGACCAGCCGGGCAGCAGCAGCCGTCCTTTGCGCGCCAACCGCCGGATGTCTGGGGCAAAGGCCAGCCGCAGCAGTCTGGTGGTTGGCCGGGCTCCGGACCGCAGACGACGCATGTCTTGTGGGACGATTGATTATATTATTCATCGTCCCCACTAACATGGGTCACTCGTACCTTTCATTCTGCGTCGCTTGTCTTCCTTTTTTTCCTTTATTATTTTTGTTTGTTTGCACAAGTCCAGCTTTTCTCCTGGATCTTTCGTGTATTGATACCCCCGAGAAACGTTTCTTGTTTATTGAGAAAACAAGCAGGGAATGACATTTTGGCTTTTGCCATTCCTTGAAATTTGTGTATACCTTGGGCGTTTTATTTCTGGTGGCGGGGCCGTGTACCAGGAGTTTATAGGACGTTCTAGGGTTGGATGGAATATGGAGGTTTCCCGCCATTGAACGGTTGGGATTGATAACACGTTAAACGACTCACAAGAGTCGTTTCTTTTTTTAACTCGGGCGCATCATATCCCGTTTGTCTAGTTGAGCAATATTGTTACAGTACTATGTGGTACTAGTATAGGAATATACTGCCAATCAGCATCTCATCTCATCTCTAGTTCCACATGTGGTGATTCGTGGCCAGCAAGGTACTCGGATGGTTTGTATGTTGACTACCACTACTATGACTACTACCGTGTATAGCCAAGAGGGCCAAGGCACTAAAAAGATGGGGCAGATCAACTGTAACTGCAGGTCAATGGGGGGCGGCTTCCAAGTCTTCCGGGTCGAACCACTTTCAAAATAATTTGATCCAGAGCTAGGAGTTTTATTTCATCATAAACAATTTCCAGCAACATTTGCATCACAATGACTTGAGGGGGATTCTATGCTCGAGCTCTTTGTTTCCAGATACCAACCGAGTTGTCGTGTACTTGCTCCCGGTTTGAATAATCAACTCTTTTCTCTTATCGGCAGCAGTCATGTCATCCAGTGCCACCGGCCCGACCGACCTCGGCGGTCAGACGCCGTTGCAGCAACACCAACATCAACAGCCGCTACAACACGAGGGCTACAATATTGCCGACCAGATGGAAGTGCGCGCTGCATCGCAGTCAAACGGCCAAGGCGAACATGGTGATGACGACGATGACAACGATGAGCAGCGGCTACCTTGCCGACTGCCGCGCAGCTTGACCCTCCGTCTGTACACATCACACTTTCTCTCGACATGGAACTCTCGCGTCTTTGAGTTTGGCGCCGTGCTGTTCCTGGCCAACATATTCCCAAGCACGCTGCTGTACATGTCGGTATACGCCCTCGTCCGCAGCGCCTCGGCCATTTTGTTTGCCCAGTCCATTGGCTCCTGGATCGACCGCGGCAACCGCCTCACCGTTGTGCGGGTCTCCATCATCGGCCAGCGTCTCGCCGTGGCCGTGAGCTGCGCCGTACTCTGGCTGATGGAGCGCAAGGCGGGCTCGCACACCTACAGTGTAATGCAGGGCCAGTTTGCGCTTGTGGTCCTTTTGGCTTGTGTGGAAAAGTTGTGCTCGGTCATGAACCTTGTCTCGATTGAACGGGACTGGGTACGTCAAGCGTCCTTCTTTTCATGTTTAAGTGATATTTGTAGACTGGCTGACGCTCTTTACCCAAAACCCAGGTTGTCGTCATGACGGAGGGTAACGAGGTTGTCAGGCAAGATCTCAATGCCCGTAGTAAGTCTGTTCCTGGCATGGTTTTCTCCAGCAAGAATTCCCAAGAGAGTTCTCTCAAACTCATTTTCTATACCTCAAAAAGAAGATTGCTAACATATGCTGCTCAAAGTGCGCCGCATTGATCTTCTCTGCAAACTTCTCGGACCCTTAGTCATATCCAGTATCGCCGCAGCCTCAACAATTATAGCTATTTGGGCCACGCTGGGCATGAATATTGTGTCGGTGCTTTTTGAATATGTCTTCATTGCACAGGTAACTATTCTGGTAACTGAAAATAAACGTCTGCAACTTACTGATTACATACTCGCAAGGTCTATAATCGTACCCCGGCCTTGAAGCGTACACCGCCAGCATTAATGAGCGAGGACCAACGGCCGAATACAGACGGCCACAACACTCATGCAGTACAGACGTGGCTCAAGTCCATGAAGGCAAATCTCCTGCCGCTGGGATCCCTGCCTTTCTACTTCCACCAACCGGCTTTCTTGCCGTCTTTTTCACTCTCCCTACTCTATCTTACTGTGTTGTCCTTTTCAGGGCAAATGATCACCTACCTCATATCGATAGGCTATACCAATCTGCAAGTGGGTTTGGCCCGGACCGTGAGCACCATGTTTGAGCTGAGCGCAACTTGGATCGCTCCCCGGATGATGAAGCGCGTCGGCCTAGTGCGTGGCGGTATATGGAGTCTTTCCTGGCAGATGATCTGGCTCGCTGGTGCGGTATCTTGGCTCTTTTCTGACTTTCACGGCGCCGGTACCAACAGCATCATGGCCGGGTCCGGACTGGTGGTTGGAGTGGGACTCAGTCGTGTTGGACTTTGGGGTTACGACCTTTGCGCCCAGGCTATTGTGCAGAATGTGAGTGACTTGACGTTGAATCAACTACCTCCTGGACCCATCATCTGACTGTCTTTGCAGGAAGTCGACGCCAACCATCGCGGCACCTTTTCAACCGTCGAGGCAGCTTTTCAAAACTTGTTTGAAATGTTCTCGTACGTTACGACAATTGTATTCTCGGATCCCAAGCAGTTTCAGTGGCCCGTCGTCATTAGTGTCGTTGCAGTGTACATGGCCGGCGGTATGTACGCCTACTTTGTACGTTGTAGGAGAGGTCACCTACTTCATGTGCCACGCTGTAGCTGTGAAAAGTCGTAAGACGGCGGAAATGGAGGTAACACCATCTATCATCAAGTACCTGTCAACAATGCATCAGCGCTAGGAGAGTTAGCCAGACTGCTGATGAATCGTTTCCTCGCTTATTTGAGAAGTGAAAACAAGCGAGACGTGATATTCGTGTGATTCCTTATAGGATTGACTGTCTTATTCGGAAGCCAGCCTGTATCGGAACTATGTTTCATAAAGACTAGGTCCCATTGTGAACAGGTTCAACGAGATTGACTACATGAATCAACAACACAAAGAGAAATGTATGAAAAAGAGTTCCAAAGGGCGTTTAATCTCTACCCTTTTTACACTTGGAAAACCTAGTTGCCATCATACCTAGGCAGTATAGTGTACGAGTAAGCTCTACACTATTGATAAGCAGAGAGCAACTCCACTATTTCCAGGCTGCAGAACGCCCAAACCAAACCCCGCGATCCTCTCAACCATCCATCATCACTGTCTCCACAGCAAAAAACATCACTTATAATGGCAAGTGACTCACCACCGAACTCCCTGAAGACGGCTATGTCCATCGGGACAAGAAAGGGTTGTTGTAAACGGCTTGATTCTTCGACTCCAAAGCGCACTTCATTTCCCATCAGACGTAGGTATTAGTGACGTTCTCATTCAAGTGTTTAATCGCGTCTGCAAACAGTCTCTTCCACGTCAATGTTCCTTCTTTTCGATTAATGGTGTAACATATTGCAAAAGTTTTACAAAATTAGAATTTAAATATTTTCAATTTGCAAATTTGCAAAATCACATGTAAATATCATTGCCGGCAATGAACAAGATGTTTTCGATTTTGTACGTCCACATAAAAACTTGGGCCCTGGCTGAATATGTAGAAACATAATCCATCTTTCCCCCACAAGTGCCCGCTGCACTAAGGCTGTCATACTGCAAGGTTCAAGGTCCCCAGTCCAGATAAACGAGAGCGAAAGTTAACATGGGTTACGGGAACCCTATAGGAAAGACAAAGAGTGGATTAAACCTTGTAGAACAAACAGCAAGTAACAGGCAGTTGGTGCCTGAATAACACTGCCACTCGGCGAGAGGCCTGGACGCTATAAAGGTGCCTTTTGGATCGTAAGTGATTATACTATTCCACAGAGACGGGATCATTTACACAAGGCAGAAGCACCAGTATTCGACGGACAGTGAATCATTCGGCACTGCGCAAAATCCATTACTTTCTTTCATCTATAAATAAAATCCCACCTAACCTTCTCTTCTTTCGTCCACAACAGATTCGTACCTCTGGGTACTTTCTTTGATCTGGCATTCCTGCACCCGCCACACCAGAGGCAAGGGGCGCGTTACTAGACGAACGCAACGGCGACGACGGCAACGGCGACGTTTGCAACCTCGACCCTTGCCAAAAGACGTGAAAATCCATTCTTCCATATAATTGCCATTCTTTCTACTTCCATTATTCCAATTGGCTTTTTTCGCAAGCCGATTCAAACACCGACACCATGGCAGACCTGACGACCACGCCATCTTGTACGATTCCGTCCTCGACGACGACGGCATCGACCCTATCTTGTCCGACTTCTGGCCCGTCAGAATGGCTTTCTCTCCAGGATTCGCAGGAGCAGCAAGTGGCCCCGCTCGCAATGATCGACTTCTTCTTTCCAGGATTCTCCCTATATGCCGGTGCCGTGCAGCGCACCTTGGGCATTGACTGTAAGCAGCTCCTTGTATCATCGTCCCTCACTGATGCTGGCTTGTCTCTTCCACAAGCACATGCTCGGACACAAATGCTCGAAAATAGCTCCTTGCAAACTTATTCATCAACCTGAGAACAAGGCCAATTGCTGACACAAAATGTTATAGTGAGCATGTACATTTCAGGCCTTGTCCTGCTCAGTCTGTTGACGTGGATCTGGTGTTGGGCCTCAAGCCGCTTCTTGAAGACCATCGAGACCTACTTCATGTCGAGCGTCGATATTCGCACCGACGATGATGTGTACTCGATTGTCATGGCCTGGGTCGCAACCCAGAAATTCGCCACGTCTGCTCGCCGCTTCGTCGCCAATGCCGAGTCTTCCTCCAGGGCCTGGCACCTGCGCAGCTACGACTGCGATAGCTATGACGCAGAAGACAGTACCGACTTGTTGCTGGACCAGGCCGGCGGCGGCAATGGCGGCACCCCGGACGGCAGCGTTCAAGGTCAGTTTGGCAGGAGGGCTCTGGCCTACAGTCCGTCCTTTGGCACTCACTACTTTTGGTATCGAGGCCGCCTCCTCCTCTTCAAGCGCGTCGCCAAGGATTCTACATCCAGCTACCCCAGTAGTAATGAAGAGATCACCATCTTTTGCTATGGACGCAACCCTTGGATTTTGAAGAGGCTACTACACGAAGCCCGCGCTCTCTATAACAAGCGGGACGAGACCAAGACAATCATCTTCCGCGGGATGCTGCGTGGTGGAACGGGGATATTAGAGCCCGAATGGCAGCGGTGCCTAGCACGCAACTCTCGGCCTTTCTCAACCGTTATTCTCAATACAAAGATCAAGCAGGAGGTCATTGACGACATGACCGACTACCTGAATCCAGCGACCAAGCACTGGTACGCGAACCGCGGCATCCCGTATCGCAGGGGATACCTGCTCCACGGCCCTCCGGGTACCGGCAAGAGCTCCCTGTCGCTCGCCCTCGCCGGCTACTTCAAGATGCCCATCTACATTGTCTCCCTAAGCTCCGTCACCGCCAGCGAAGAGCACTTGACGACGCTCTTCGCCGATTTGCCGAGCCGATGTCTCGTCCTGCTTGAAGACATTGACACGGCCGGTCTCACGCACACGCGCGAGGAGGATGGAAGTGACATCGCCGAGACGGACGATGATGAGACGGACGATACTGACACCGAGTCGGCTGCCGACTGCTCCAAGACGAGGCACGGCCCTGTTGCTGGCGGACGCCCCGGCGGATCTCCTGGCGGCCTATCACTCTCAGGCTTGCTCAACATCCTCGACGGTGTGGCATCGCAGGAGGGACGAGTTCTCATCATGACGACCAACCACGTCGACAAGCTCGACAAGGCGCTGATCAGACCTGGTCGTGTGGACATGATGGTAGAGTTTGGACGGGCCGATGAAGACATGTCGGCAGCCATTTTCCGGGCTATCTTTGCGCGTCTCGAGGGTGACAGGGACATTTCCCACAGGGATGCCTCGGCCTTGGAGGAGATGAGCCTTCAGGCACGGCGGAAGCGAGATGAGGATATGGCACAGGAGCAGGTCAAGGAGACCGCCCGGGTCGAGGCCATGGCGCTCGAGTTTGCTGCGCGAATTCCGGCTCACGAGTTCAGCCCAGCTGAACTGCAGGGCCACCTTCTAAGACACAAGAGGGATCCCCAAGCAGCCATCAACACTGCCGACGAGTTCGTGGCCCAGACCCGCCGCGATCACAAGGACAAGGAGCTCAAGGAGGCCGAAAAGAAGCGCAAGGCCGAGGATATGAAAAAGCAGAAGGAGGAGAAGGCAGCCAAGAAGACAGACAAGAAGAACAACCGTGATAAGAAGTGCAAGGAGGCTAAGGGCAAACTGTGTGCTGATTTAGACTCGGAGTCTTCCGACGCAGGCGCCGAGTCTGAGAACAAGATCAAGAAGGAGCGAAAGAGCAAGACCAAGGGAACGCAGACGAGCAACCAGCCAGCATCCTCTGACTCGGAATCGTCCTCTGTAGTTGAGGTTGAAAAGCCCGAGAGCTCAGTCGGAGGGGACCACACCAAGGCAGGGGAGTAGGGTGGCGGCGAGCAACTCGTCAAGTCCAAGCCTCAAAAGATGGACTCGCATGATGGCGCATCGACAAGCGCCGGGATATCACAGAATGCCCCCTGACTTGCGAAAAGATCTAGACTAGATCCGTAATTGTAGACCATATTCAGAAGCTTGAGCTCGTGCAGTACATGAACTTGGTGGCAAGCTAACTCAAGTTGACCAGCAAGAGAGCACATAATGTGGGTGTCGAGTCGATCAGTACGAGCATAAGAAGTGTCATGCTGACTAGACCCTCTAAGCTGGAGGGTAAAGCCCAAGTTTCCATCCCATTTTACAGTCACGTTGTTTTCCCATTTGTTGAACGATCGAGCGTATGTTTGTATCGGTCAAGTTCCCAGCTATACAGTATGGCTGTCTATCCTATTGGCTCATTGCATTCCCGGGCAGGTGAAACTTCGATGGTCTGCTGTGGTGAAGGACGCAGTCGCCGTAATTAGCCCCATGTTGACCTGGAAAGGCCCCCAGCCTCCAGAGTCAATCTCTCTGGCCACTTGGCCCATCACTCGACCTGAACACGGCGTGTCTATATGTGCCGTTTTCCTTATTCCTAGGTTCAACTGAGGCCATGGCAAGGACTTATTCGGTTGAAGGTGTGAGTTGAGAGGTGAAGAACTGTGGTAAAAACAGTCCCGGGTATCATGACCAAAATTCGCCCCCCTCTTTCCATGCAAGTGTTGTGGCTTCCTCGGACATGATCAAGCATGATCGCCTCTGGTACGTAATATGCTGATGTCCCAACGAACCCTTAAAAGCAAACAATATGAACCCCTGGATCCCCCAATCTAGCGTGGGCTCGAGGTTATGTTGTTCAGTCTGTGGTCCCGGCCCCCGCTGGAACCATGGTACTAATGATTGATACAAGGACCTTTGATGGTCCGCGTTCTGAAGTGACCCTAGGTCTTCGCCGAGGATCCTCAGCCGATAACGACTCTAGCGCCTTCTTTGCCGAGCACGCCTCTTTCCTTTGGCTTTGGACTGTGGCCACGGCCTTTCTTGCGGCCAAACAGACCAAAGACGCCGCCTCCCGAACTTCCAGACTTGTCATCGTTTTGCGCGTTTGCATCCGTCGGCAAAGTCGCGTCTTGTCGTGCTAATTGTGACCAGCTGCCTGCAGCATCAATCGTCACTTGTACGCCGCCCGTGGGTGACTCAACTCGCATGCCAGAAGGTTGCGATGGGCGACTGGTGTACGAGGTCGGGTATGGCGGTAGAGGAGCTGGCCTTCCAGGTGGAGCTCGACCTCCAGGGCCGTTTGGATGGTCGCCCATATGTCTCTGTACGGGCTCTGGTCGGTAGATTCCGGCTCCATTCGGAGGCTGAGCCTGGATTGCTGTATTTACACTCATGGCCTGGCCGTGAGTCATGCCTTCTGGACCAGGAGCTCTCGGATCCGCTGGGTTGCTGTTCTCGCCGGCTTCGCCCTGCATGGCCGTGATCCTGATAGGAACATGTTAGCACTGTCGTAGTAGATATTGATTCACGGGATTTCATACTTGTTGTATGCAGCAATCGTGTAGTCAAACGGCTGAAAGTCCCTCTCGATCGTCTTGTATAGCTCCTCTTCGCGAATCTCCTTCTCGGTCGCATCGTCCTTGAGCTTTTCTCTTGGCTTTTGTCTGCGTGCTCTGGCCTCCAATGGCGCCTCTTCCAATAACAATTCCTCCAGGTCGTACGTGGCATCAAAGTTTGTCTTATCTGCTGACGGCACAAACACGGGCTCGAGCTCCTTTCGCAGCAAAGCGTCGAAATCGATAACCCGGAAGAACTCATGGTCGATGAAGCTGTTCCAAGTGGAACCCATGCGTGTCTTGGGGTTGGGGTCGAGAGCCTTCTGGATAGCGTAGAGACACGGTAACGATACAGGAGGCGACGTAATGGGAAACTTGGGGTTAGCAGCAGTAATTACGTTGGACAGACTCGACTCGGAGTTGCCCTCAAATGGACGCTGCCCAGGCTGTCAGCTTTTTGAGTCTTGTGCTTCATGCAAAGTGGCCGGCTTACCTTGTTGTAGATACATTCGTAGAACAGGACGCCCAAAGACCACCAGTCTGCCGTCACGGTGTACCCCTTACCGCCATAGACCTCGGGAGCTAGGTAAGCGAGCGTACCCGACTTGCTTGTCAGGACCTTGCCAGGGATCACATCCGAAGCAACGTTCTTGATGAACAGGTTAGCATGCCAAGTCTCCATTGATGGGGCCATTAGACTTACGAAATCAGTCAAGTGGACGTGTCCATCGGCATCCAGTAGCACGTTATCGGGCTTGACGTCTCGGTGTATGATGCCTTGCTCGTGTATGTATTTCAATGCACAACCCAGTTCTGCGATCCAGAAACGAACAGCTTCTTCGGTGAAGGTTTTCCTGGAAATGTGAAATCGTAGATCGCCGCCAGTCATCAAATCGACCACAAGATACCTTTTTTATGGGAAATCGAGTAAGTTAGGGGCTGGGCCGGGTAGTACAGGCGGGGTTGCAACGTACATATACTCGATATCTTGAAAGCTGTAACGCAAGTTACAGATGAAGGGATGGTTTACATGTTCGAGCATGCGCCGTTCTCGAATAATGTTCCGAACGCTTTCAGACCGTACGACTATTGATTCGAATCTCAGCATGCCATTTCGCGGGCCAAATCGTAGTAAGAGGGGGGATGGTGGGTTGTTCTCGTTCTCGAGGGGGGAAACCAAGAACCAATGCCACTTACCTTCATCTTTCCGTATGTATTTGAGAGCAAATGACAGACTGGTATCTTTCCGCTCTACAATTCGCACTTTGCCAAAGGCTCCTCGACCGACGACTCGAAGAAGGCGGAAATGATTGAGGTTCACTGCAAACGGGACCCGCAAGGGCGTTGGTGTCAGCCAAAGGTCAAGGTCACGGCCAGCAGGTTTGGACCGTTTGAGGACGGCTGAAATGAGGTAGGCGATGGTGAAAAGAATGTCGATGTTGTAAAAATGTAGAAGCATCGAACCAGGGGAGGTGGCAGACTGGCAGGCAGGTAGGTGGGCAGGATAGAGAGAGGCAGAGCGCGATGGGAGGGGGGATGTGGTTGCTTGCTTACCTTCCCCGTTGAGATCAACGGGCTTGCCCTGACTGTTGCCCATAGCTATCTATGTGCAGATACAGGACCAGGACAGGTGAATGGCCTCGTCAGCCGTCTTGCACGTCTTAGGGGGATGGGATTGACGTTGGCCAGTTTGACGGACGACGATGGGAATTAGATGGTAGAGACAGTCGACGCAAGACGTTTGACGCAGACAGATAGGACGGGGCCGAGACTCGAGAGGGGCAGCAGTTGTTTGGCAGCAGTAGTTTTGAGTTTGGCAGCAGTAAAGAAAAAAAAAGTTGCCAATGAAGCATCCAAGGTCACACACTGTCGAGTTTCTCGTCTGGAACCAGTCAGTCAAACCAATAGATTTCGGCGAGTCGGTCAGGTGAAAGAGTGCAAAAGGGAGCGATCCCCATTGATATCCCCTTCTGGCTTGGGAAATCTGGAACAGGTATGGGGCCCTGATAAAGGATCGGCGGCTGAGGGTAACGGAGGCCAATTCCTTTTGAAAAGTAGCGCCTGTCGGCTAGGTGGGGACGCCAGTAAAGGCCCTGTAAATCGTGAGGATTCTGATCAAATTGGCGGCTCCCTAGGGGGGATAGACTGGGTAGTGGAATCCCCTACCCCCCAACTCAGCCTAGAGGTGTCACACTGGCCATGCTGCAGGCAGTCTCCCCCCCGGATGCACGCCAAACTGCCGTTACAGGCCTACGTATGTACATACATAACGTACAGAGAGTACTGGGCAGCGGCAATGTGAATAGATGATATTAAGACAGAGGATGCTTTGAAAATGGGAAGAAGTAGTAAGGAGTAAGTAGGACAATCAAAACTAATGCTAACCGGCCTGTCTGTGTACAGTGCCTACATTCAAAGAAACTTCATGTTTGCATTCACAAAGTCCACATGCTACACTACATACATATCCAGCCCAAGGTACGAGACTGCGATCACATCTGGCACAATTGGACGCAATCTAGTGCAACACTGCGCAGATACTTGAGGTAGTTGGGTAGACAACTAATAAGATTGGGTTGCATATGTAGGTAGGCACGGCAAGCAACAACACGGCGCATTGGATACACGTGTTATGGGAATGAATGAAACCGTATGTAGGTAGATGGCATCGATCTTGATCGGTCCGTCAGTCGGGGAGACGAGCCGCTTTGCATGGGACGTGGGGGATTGGGATGGTGATCTTGCAAAGCGCATGAACTTGGGTGATGCGATTCTATCAGAGAGAGAAGAAGAAGAAGAACAAGAAGGATTGACGAGTCTCATGGCTGCCGGTTCAATTTCGTTTTCCAAGCCTCGTCCTGTTGTCCCCTTCTCTTTCCCACTCTTTGGTTTTTCTCTCTCTATGCATACTGACCTGCATATGTGCTCACCACCCCCAATGCTCGTTGCACGGCAGTTCGTCAGCTCATGTGCCTGAGGAAAACCAGGTGGACTGGCAATACGTGCAAGGCGAGCAGGGATGAGATAGCCCAAGTGACTCTAGCTCATCACGACAGATATCTCTATCTGCTGTGGTATAAAGGTGTCTGTCCAGTAATACCGGTAATTACCCTCTCAATCGACATGTAAGCAGCCTGCCTGTCACGACGTCGTCGAGGGACGGACAAAAAAAGATCAGATCAGATCAGCCGTACGAGCCCAGAGTAAGTTGAGAGAGAAAAGTGGACGAAAGTGCCTCCTTCTCTTCAGCCCTTTCCAGTTCCCCCCGTATATTGGTATACCTACTCACCTTGCATGTGCCTGTCCCATCCTATTGTGACATTCCCGTATCCCAAGTGCTTCCTTTTTTGTTGCTTGTCACAAATCAACCGTGCATAGATGGACGGGAGCACGTGCGGTTCAAGTTTGCCATCCATGTTGATTCTTTTTTGGCATGGAACAAGCAAACAAGGCCCTGTCCATGATTGAGATCCCCCAGGTATTGAGTAGTAGGTAAGTAGTGCGTCGTCGTAGTAGATAGATTCTCTCCAATGCGTGCGTTCCCGTGCCCACGTCTACACGGCCCCCCCTCATCCCAGCTTGTTCCCTGTGTCGAGCCTGGTCTATTCCGTAAGGTTGCTAGGAAACTCATAGTACCTATCGCCAATATTCATAAACACATATACCCCCCACATGGGACAGGCAGGAAACACAGACACACATGTCAGCAAGCAACACATATTTACTCCTCGGGTTTACTTACCATGAGATCAATCTGTGCTGCTGCTTGGTGGCCTGCATTAGAAACCTGGACAATATAGAGTACATCATTGATTGTACCGTACTCAATCAAAGTGAAAGCCAATTGGATCCTCCTCCCAGCGCCCTGGCCTGGCTGACAGGATCTTGCATTTTGCGCAGAAGGTCGAGAAACAAGCCCGTCGGCGCGCACACCCTTTTGGGCTTAACGTCGAGCTACGCTACTCTTAGGTCTGCCACCCCGTGAGTCGACAACCCCTGGGCACCGTATGAACTCGCGCGACGTGACTCGAGTAGCGGCCCTTTAAACTGTCATGAGCAGGCAGTCTTTCTCGCTGTCTTTTTCTTTCTCTCTTTTCCACAGAAGCCTTCTCCTTTTTTAAGTTGTCCTTGTAGCAGGTGGTGGTGGTGTTGGTAGCAGTAGTCTACTCCTGCTGATCACCAATTATATCAATGTGCTTAATGAAACAAGAGCCGCAAGGTAAGCATTTTCAGTCGTAATCGGTCGTAATCGGGCCATGGTAATCTTGTTAGCCCAGTGCTTTATTCCAAGTTTGATGCAAAACTAAAGTCAAGATCAGGAGAGCGATTGCTATAGTGCCTGCCCTACGGCCGGTCTTGATACATACCTTTGTCTCTTCTTCTAAAAAAATTACTTACCTGATAATTCTCTCTCATTACTGATAGCTATCTACATGGTGAATGACAACAAGAGACGACGAGTCACTGGCAAGGACCTTGGTTGCCAAGTAATATTTCATTCTTTGTCCTTAGCTAAACCCAGCATTCGGCCCCGTACGGGATGCTCCACCAACCAACGAGCCAAGGACCTGTTTACACTACTACGTATTTGCACACACAAATGATCATCAATCATCTATTATAGAGTACAGGGGTACCAGGCGTTGGCTTGCTTGCCCAAGCCGAGCGAACACACTGACAACATTAGCGAGAACCCTCCGTTCCGAATTTTGGGTCTTTGATCCTCGACTTTACCTGGGGTATAAAGTGGGTGTCTCGAGATTAGTATTGCATGTGTATTCTGCCGTTATACTGGACAGCCAACGTCTTTTGGTAGACCGTAGCATTTGCCCCTGTAGAAAGCTGAAAAGCTCATGTCTCGCAGCCAATGTATTCGCAGCTACCTACCCAGCAAAAACTAGGTAGGGTTGGACTCGAGCTCAGATCGCGGCACGGTTCAGGCATGGCTCTCTGTCTCTAACATCTGTCTGTTCTCGCAGCGATACCCGGATCAACGTGCCGCAACACCTAGGTTAGGTACATACATGCTTTGTACACACTGCAATATTAAATTGCTTTCAACCAAATAACCACGGCACGATAAAGCGCTTTCCGGCCAGAAGTGTAATGCGCTATAGTGTGTCTACATGACATGCTTATGCACAACGGTGACCGTGATGTTAGGACTAATCGATAGCAAGTATATAGTGAGTATAGTAGTGCAATTTTATTAGAATCTTCAAAGTCGGGCCATTATTCTGAATCTCGGGCTGCTGGCTATGTGCGCATGGGCATTCGGGCGCTCATTCCTTCTCTTCTTTTCGAGCCTAGTCCGAGCCGCAGAAGCAGCAAGCCGAGCCGATCGATGGGGCGATATGGTGCGGGTAGATTTGCTGACCTTTCAAGCACGTATAAGAGAGGCTTTGTGGCGTCAACTTGGCATTTATCATATGCATTTTTTTTTTTTTTGGGATGCTCCTGAATCGTTCCGTGAGGATTGAATGCCATCTGACCTTTGGGCAGTTTGACACAAGGCGGCTGATCTTTGCTTGAGCGCAAGGATACGTCAATGCTCTAATTCAATGCTGTGTCATTGGTGGTGATGATGATTATTATTCTGCTGATTACATATCCTTAGTTCTGCGCCGGGCCGAGGAATATGTTCTCGTTCTCATAGATGATACACCATGTATCCAAGTTGAATGCAGGCGTACGTACGGCAAGGCCAGAATACTAGCAACTCGTGTCGTCTGCATGGCGTTGCTGGTCGGAACCTTGGGATTCTGGTTCTATACCATGGCCGGCCAAGTTAAGACGACGGGACGGCACCGGACGAGCTGGACTTGGACGAGTAAGTAGGTAGATATTTTGGTCAACACGCCTGTCGCAAGCAACTACCTTACCCCAGATAAACTGACGCACAAGAGGATGGGAATGAGATCCTTCCAACCCACCCGGCGGTGAAGGTGTAGGTTTCCCTAGTAGTGACATAACCGTTTGCGAAGGAAGGGATCCTTGGCTTCACCACGTGCTATAGCAGCCGTGGAACAAATTCTTGCGTCTGGCATTATGGCAGTCGCTAATCAAGTCAGTCCGTTCATCTGTCTCGGGTCTTTTCTTCCAGTCAGCAAGTACATAGTCGACCCCCAACTACCACCGGGCCTCCCCCACACATAGATCGCTATTGGCATAGCATCATCATCATGTTTCCCAGACTCACGATGCTCTCTTATCTAAGCCCAGACAGCCCAACCCATCTCTGCGCTAGATATACGTACTCGCCCTTTGAACACTATCATTCCATGAATCTACATGTCAATTGGAGCATAAGTACAAGACTGGATATTGCATGGATTGCGTAACATAGAGTAACAAAACGCCCCGGTTGCGCAAGTAGACTGAAAATTCTCAAAACCCAGTAGTAGTACACGGAAGATCCAGAAATAGTTGTAGCTCCAGCTGCATCCTACAGGAGTCAGCCCAGTCGCGATGGGCTATTCGTAGAATTGATGCGGCGCTAGACGACTCAATTCGTTGCTGTCAGGTCACGCCACGCCCGTGCTAATCTACCCTTGACCTATTGTAATGGGGTGTGGAGTTGGAGCTGGGCCTTCCCTCTGAAAGCCCAGGCCCAGCTCAGATGCATTTCAGTCTGTTTGTGGTTTGTGGTTCCCAGCGGCGTGGTTCTACAATTCCTTTTTTTTCTCGCTAGTATTTCATCCTCCAACTTAATCCAAACGAATTATAATGATCAAAAAGCAATTTGCTTATATGCAGTGTATTTTGCTAGACCTAACAGCTTGTTATAATTAGCTAATCTGGGTAGGTTTCGGTCATAACCGACATGCAGAAAAGGTCTACCTCTCAATGTCAATATCTTGATGCGTTGTACACTTGGAGACAAAAATACATGCAAGAAAAAGAAGAAGACTATTTGTCCCATTCGAACCAAATGGGCGAGGCCAAATGCCATGTTCCTCAGGACATTGAAGCGACATTATGTTCTTGCATGACATTGCGTCTACCTATCTACCTACCTAGATACTGTGTCAATATTGATACATAGGTACTCGCTGTGTTGTTAGTGGGTGCCAATGAATGGGCCAATACTACACAAGCAGGCCGCCTGCAGGATCCTATCCGTGGTCGTTCAATCAAAATCTACTGTACGGTACTACTGGCCTTGTCCCCATCCATGGGCCATGCGAACAGAAACAGACAAGGAGGTGCGGCGGCGCATTGCATACGAGAAAAACGTGGCAGAACGTGGAAACCTGGAGTTGAACCGCATGGGTGCGCTGCCCTATCATCTCGTCCAGAACGTGCTACTCCTGCATTTGGAACCTTCGATTTGAGGGGAGGGGGGACTAATCGCATGGGAGAAGAGCATGTGCCCAAAAACTCTGTGACATGCCCAGTCGTCCCGTCACCGGTCCACGCGCCTACAGCTGGCTGGGCATGTCCGCCGGAATCAAATCCCCGCCCTCCTTCTCTTCTTCCTTCGCGTAAGCTGCAGGCTTTTGAAACATTCTGGAACATTTCCATGATCGGTCTAAGGTAACGGTAGCAGTCAGCAGTCAGCGAGGATTATCAATCGGCTTTTTGTCCATGACACCTTTTTTCTGTAACTGGCCGCTGCATTATACGATTGTCTTTATTACATGAGAACTAGATGTATGTATAAAGTGTAAACAGTAACGATTGCACCACACTAGTATAGCACTAGAAAGTGATTTAGATTCCCCCCATAGTATGTAAGAATAGACACGGGCGCAGAGAAGAAGAAGACAGGGACAAAAAAGGACTTGGCCGTCGCAGCGCATCTACCCCAGAATATCGACAAGACATGTCACTGCCCTATACCATGAAACCACCTTCCAAAAGATGCTTCCAGACCCAGGGGGTAACTATCACAGGGAAAGTCTGCATCTCAGGGAAATTGAAATTACCCAGTCCAGAGACTATTTTTGTCTCCCCAGACGGGGTCATTGGTCGTTGATCAACGGTCGTCAACGACGAGATGCAAAAGTCCCCGAAAATATGTCACATCCTCATCACTTGCAACGGAGTCGCCGTTTCGCCACCTTTATTTACGCTTGGCCTTGGTCCGTGCCGACAAGGGGAAAACAAAAAACCACGTTATAGAAGACAGACACGGACAGATAGATAGTAAGACAACAGACATTAGCATTGATGATCGCATGTAGGAATGTACCTTGGGGGGAAGAAGATGAAAAATGACACACGAACGTATCAGCGTGCTGTAATGTACACACACAAGGTAGGTAGGTAGCTTTGCATGTTGCAATTTGGGGGGGAGCAAACTAAGCCGGTGCGCGGATCAGGGGCCGCCCAAGCGTCTCCTATTCTCCGAACCACAACCAACATGGAGACAAAGATAGATCATCACTTTTTCATATTGTTTTTTTATTCCAAACCCCCACGGGCAATTGGTCACATTGCGGCCAGAATCACACTGTTTGCAAAACCTTACCGCTTCGCACAAACCACATGTTCTCTCCTCAATTTCCCAATTACGAAGCCTCTTACTATACCGGGCAGTTGATGGCCATAGCTTTCTGCAAGATGTAGAGAGAGGGAGACCATCAAGCTCGTCGTCGTCTTTTTCCTGCGTCGTTTTGCATCAAGGCTGTTTCCCGAGAAGGTAAAGGATCCTCATGCACCGGATTTTGATTCTATACGTGTCGCAGTCGCGCGGCACGGTGCAGCTCGGCTCCTCTTCAATACCTTTGTTTTGTGCTGTGGCTTGCCAAGCAAATATATTGTTGCATTATGATCCGCAGATTGGGCTCAACTTTTGCATCTACAGAATACGGTATATGTGAGCTGGAAAATATCACGGGTTCGCGGGTCGCCAATCCTTCTTTTCGTTATTGGACCTCCCAAGATATTCCGCGTACGAAATTACTGAGATGAGCAAACGTTATACTCACCCCTTCTTTCCTTGCGTACATAATCTGGAGAAGCTGTGCCTCATTTCCACTGGTTCTGTAACAAGCGGCGAGTAATCTAATTTTACAACATCCTTTATAGATGCACGAGTACGTTCACTGCATGGCCTATCAAATACAACAGGTCGGTGTGTCCGGTTCTGGTGGTATTAGTCTAACTGACAATCGACACTGTTCGTATTCGTGATGATCATCCATTTTCAAGCCTTGTTCATGATTGCCATCTCTAGACGGGTTGATAGGGGAGGGATGGGGGAAATTCTCGTGAAAATAAACAAACACGCAAGATGATGAGCGTGTTCCGAAATCCGTGACAGATTACCGCCATGAACCCGATAAACCTACCTGGCCATTTACGGTTGCGTCAAATCAGTTGAAGCTACCAAACGTCAAGATTTGTATGATTATCAAGGATCATATGTGAATCGCCTCTGGGTTGCTGCTCTGTGATGCCATGGAGATGAACAGCAGATGTCACCGGGAACCTCTGTTCAGCAGGTTTATTCAAAGTCTTGAAGCTTCACTACCTCAGATAGGAGATGGATGAGACATTCCCCTTGACGCCTCTCGCCTGCTTGATCAGATCTAGCTGACATAAGTGTAAATATTGCTCCCTGATTAGGTATTGGTTGACTGATCCGCAATATCATTGGATGAAACCCATGTTTGTGCAGTCAGAATTCACAAGAGCCGTTACCCAGTTCGGCAGATACGTGCGAGACTCTAGCATGCAATTTTCAAATATCTATACCTGCTGAAACTGACTGACTAATTCAGAAACTCCATCTAGGATTGTGACCAACCTGCGATGATAATTTACAGCACCCATATGCCGCCATTTTGACACAATTCCTCCATTGCGGCTTCGTAGGAGCCTTTTACACGTTTTGACTTCTTCTCATGTAGATGCAAAATAGGGCATATCCTAGAGCAGAGGCATCGCTAATCGATGTGCAACCCTCCGCTCGCAACCAAGTGTAGCCCATTGATCCAGCTGGCCCGGGGCTCGCACAAGAAGCCAACGGCATAAGCAATCTCCTCGGGCCTAGCCATGCGCGCCCCGACGGGCGTCTGCTCCATGACCGGGCGCATGGCGTCCATGAACTCGTCGCCCGCCGCGGCGAAACCTTGCGTCATGGTCGGCCCCGGCGACACGGCATTAACGGTGCAGCCGTACTTGGGCGGCAGCTCCTTGGCCCACACCTTGGTGAAGCTGTCCACCATGCCCTTGGTCCCCGCGTATATGGTCTGCAGCGGCGGCGCGGCGCGCGCCGAGATGGAGCAAATGTTGACGATGCGGCCGCCGCTCTCGCCCCTCTCCGTCGCCGGTTTGGGCAAATGGGGTAGGACGGCCTGAGTAAGGAGGAACACGCCCCGCCCATTGAGGTTGACCAGCAGATCCCAGTCCTTGAGATTCTGCTCCGAGAACTGCTTGTTGACGGCCAGTCCGGCATTGTTGACTAGGACATCAACGCGGCCGTAGGCGGCCACCACGGCGTCGACCAGCGACTGGGGCCCAGACTCGGTGCTCAGGTCGGCCTGTACGCTGCGCGATGTCGACGCCGTGGGCAGTGACACCACGACGGCCTCGGCTGCCTCGCGCAGTGACTCGAACGGGTAGTTGACCACGACGCTGGCGCCGCGGCCGGCGAGCTCCTGGGCAATGGCGGCACCAATACCCGTGTTGGCACCCGTCACGATGGCAACCTTGTCCTTCAGCGTCTGGTCTGGCATCTTGTTCGTGTCATGTAAAAGTCTCTCGTAGATTGGGGGTGGCGGCTCTCAGATGTCTCTCTCTCTGTCTGGAGTTACTTTTTGCTAGACCAAGATGTCTTTCTCTTGCTCCCCGCTATGCAATTGACTGACTGATTCCCCGAGTCAAAACAGTCCAACGCCGCAATGGATAGTGATTGTCCGTCTTATACAGCTGGAAAACAAGCGTCGACCCGGCGTGTGGAGGTTTGACGTAGTGGCGGTCCGCACTTCCCGCCCACTGCTATAATAGTCGACTATGTGTCGTCTCGGGAATGTGGGGGAGGGGTCGGGTCACTCGACTGACTCTTCCCGGCAATTTACTCGCTCGTAATACGCGTCCGGGCAGTTGGGGAGTTGATCTATGGTAAAGCCTTGACATCTGGTGCCTTCATTTTACTTCTTCGAAACGTTGCTCGCGTCTTTGTAGACTGTAGTGATGTATACAGCCATCTGCCGGGTTCATATCCCGCCCTAGTCACCACTGTATAATTTAGCGCCGTTTAATATGAAGCATGTGAACTTGCCTGGTAGTCTCAACGATTTTCGCCGTATTGACACGATTTCCCACACAAGCGATGGTAAATATGGTTCAGTGCATGTATCGGTTCTTGACTGACATTGGAATCTCTCCTACATTTTCATCCTGTGCCAATGGCCTCTTCTCAATAGTTCTAGCAGATAATATTGATCTAGGTAGCATCAGACCTATAGTGACTTACTCGTGGCAGTCGATCGAATACGAATTGTCATCTCTCGATGACTACTAGCAAGGCATATGTGTTGTCAAGATGAATTATACTGTTGTTAATTACAGCCAGAGATCAAGCATCAGCTCCAAGCTCTAATCATGGGCTCATTTCATCATCTAATCTAGCCTCTCATCCAAATGAATGGTGCTACAGACCCTGTCTCCCCCATGACTTCCTATCATAATTTCCGGGCATTCTTCAGATATTGTTCAGCCGCATCAACTCTGGCAAGTCCATTGCAGATTTGATCTTCTTTTGTTTCCGCAATTTTGGCGAAGGCGTACCACCACCACGTGAGGCCTCGGCCTCGACGACCTTGACGAAGCGATGGGAGATTCCGAGTCCCTGCTCTTCGTCAACTAGAAACCTCTCGACCTTGGAGCGCTGATCTCCGCTCAGGACAATTGACTCGCCCACTTCAGGATCGTTCATGATCATGCCTCCACAGCCGAGACTCTTTTTCATTTGCTTGAACACAGCCTTGAGGTCAATATATGGGTTCGAGTCCAGACCCTCTACCAAGGTGAAGCGAAGCTTGTGCACCTTGATTTGAATCGTTGGGGGAGTGAAAGGATCAAAGGGTATACCCGAGATGACACGAGACTCTGATTCATTGGAAGCCATGGTCAAGTAGTAGAAATTGTGTTGGCGGAAGTAAATATATTTGGAAAATTTGTTAATATATCCCAAAGTATTCCACTTCCCGTGCACAATAGTGTGTATAGAGTGTTTATATAGTTGTTTTATCTACTGTATGGGCACAAAGAAATGAAGAAACTTTTGAAACTACTTCAAAACGGCAAAAGAAGCTAATTATAAAGGTACAGAACACTATGGGACAAAGGAACCGACAATGCATTGACCGTATATTGATGGCAGAAGATCCAGAGCCGTCAGTCGTACTTTGTATGGAACGTGTGGCGTCAATGATTCGCAGTGAAACACAATGCTCCCAAAATAATCGAAACTGAAGCAGAAAGCCACATGTTTATATTAGGTTCAGAACACGTCGTCACTTTCATCCACAACCTGGTGCAACTGTATCTTTTTATTACTGATGTCTAACAGCTACCTGCGCAGTGGTGTGCTTGACAATATAGGAGTTTGGCTTACCTGCAACATTGAGTTTTAACTATGCACTTGAGAAATACACGAATATCAAGGGGAAGGGATGGAAGTTTCAAAAGAAAGAAAGAAGGGAAAGCAGAGTAGAGTCAAAAGAAGAATATAAGCAAGATAGCAAAAACTACTGATGATCCAGTGTTTTATTGGATTCGAATCCCGAGCCTCCTCCCAAACTATTCTCTCTTCAAATCGGAGACAATCTCTGTTTTCACTTGGGTAGCCACTGCACTCAAGAGATTTTTTTTCTCCGTACTGCTTGGCGATTGGGCCTTTGTGTTCCTGTGGTTGATAATCAAGCTCTTTTTGGAACCTGTCTGCTTCTCAACTTTGAAAATAATTTATTCTTGTCCCTTACTCTGCTAATTATCTATCATTAATGTGTCTCGATTTGTTGTGATACGAGACTGGCTTGAAGTCCCTGAGGGGGGCATCAGGGACAATTATTTATCATGGAAGGAACCTAGCTCAAGAGTAAAGGGGGCGGTGGTACTTAGCAGTCGCTTAGTATATCGTAACATGAGCTAACAAGTCTTGGGGAAGCGATACGCTTTACAATCATACAGAGAGAGCAAAAACTCAGCAACAAGAGGCTTTTAAACCCAAATCATCCAAGGACTGTACACAAGAAAGAAACCGAAAATCCTATTTCCGATTCCGCGCAAATACAATACCATTTGGTGCCCCACTGCTGTTATCTTTTGTTTCTCCGCGGTCCATGGGTTTGGGCCATTGACCTTATCGTGTCGCTGCTCTGTACTATGTCCATGTTTGAACGCCAAGCTATCTTGTCATTGGTCATTGGCGCTACTCTTATCAGCAGGCGAACAGCAGCCCAGCGGCTCCTCTTGGGGGTTCACTTTCACCCTCTTGGTGATAGGGGTTCGAAAGCCACTGAGAACCTGCTCGTTTCAATGCAGTTCCCGTGAAGGAGAAAAAAACAAGTGCGTAATAATGCATTTCCGGCAGTTTTCCCTCTCACCCATCCATCCAGATAAACCCACAAGACTGGGGTGGAATATACAGGACATGACCAATCAACACTTGGCCTTGGCGCGGAATGTAGTCAGCCCATTTATCTCTTGCCGATTGGCGAGATGCACTAATACTCTCAAGTCCGGAGATGTTGGAATCCAGACACCTCTCTCCTCACCTTTGGGCCAGCTTATCCTCGAATTGGCATGCACGTAGTGTAGGTAGTAGGTTTGTATGTAGCTATATAGGCAGGGTGTTGGTGAACGCGCCCCCAAAGGATTACTGCATCCCCAAAAGAATTTCAAGCTGAAATCGATACTTTTAAATTCTTATAAGCATTTTCTCTTTTTGATTGCGCTGTACTTGCTATTACTGTTTTCTCGTCCATGATACCCTCAAAGTTACAAAGGTTGTCTTTTCTTGTTGCAATACCTGAGCGGTCGTCGCAGATCGCGCGAGTCTGCACGTTGACTCGCTTAGAAACGTGTGACGTATAGCAGTATCGATCCCCCATCGTCTGCGCATAACAGGTGGAAACAAACAACTCACCATGGCGGCCAGCTCGAGGAAGAAGCTGGTCGTGGTCGGCCTGGGCATGGTGGGTGTAGCCTTCATGTGAGCACCGTTCTTTACAACTTGTCACCCGCATACATTTAAACTTGCTCCTGTTACTCACACTGCCACGACAGAGAAAAACTGCTCAAGCTGGACGCCCGGAGCCGCGAATACGATATCGTGGTGATCGGCGAGGAGCCGCATCTCGCGTACAACCGCGTGGGTCTCACGAGTTTCTTTGACCACCGCAAAGTCGAGAACCTCTACTTGAATCCGCAGGATTGGGTATGACCCTTGAACAAAAAGCCAGCTCCACATGCCTCTAAACTAATCCCCCCAACAGTATGCCTCACACGCACCAGAGAACAAGCTGGGATACCACTTGAACACGCTGGTGACGGCCATCAACCCGCAAGACAAGACCGTAGCGTGCTCTAATGGCGACGTCGTGTCCTACGATATTCTGGTCCTGGCCACCGGCTCCGACGCCGTGCTCCCGCGCCATACCCCCGGGCACGATGCTAAAGGAGTATTTGTCTACCGCACCATTGATGACCTCGAGAGACTCATTGCCTTTGGGGACAAGTGCAAGGGCACCGTGGGCGCCGTTGTCGGCGGCGGTCTCCTGGGCCTCGAGGCCGCCAAGGCCATGATGGACCTGCAGTGCTTTAGCAAGGTCAAGCTGGTCGAGCGTAACCGCTGGGTTCTGAGCCGCCAGCTCGATCAGGACGCCGGCACGCTGGTCGTGGACAAGGTCACGGCGCTGGGTGTCGATATTCTGCTGAGTAAACGCGTGGGCGAGATTCAGAGAGACCAGGACAACAACGTCACTGGTGTTGTCTTTGAGGACGGCGAGCAGATGGAGTGCTCGACTATTTGTTTCGCCATTGGTGTGCGGCCACGGGACAGCCTGGCCAGCAGCGCTGGTATCAAATGTGCCGACCGAGGTGGCGGCATCATTGTCAATGATGACCTCAGCACCAGCGTACCTGATATCTACGCCATTGGCGAGTGTGCCAGCTGGCAGAATCAGACTTTTGGCTTGATTGCTCCGGGTATCGAGATGGCGGACGTACTCTCGTTTAACTTGACGCAGGCAAAGCTTCATCGGCCAAGGGTCTTCAAGCGACCTGATCTCAGTACCAAGCTCAAGCTTCTAGGCGTCGATGTGGCTAGTTTTGGTGACTTTTTTGCAGACCGCGATGGTCCTAGTCATCTGCCGGTGCGTGCAGCCAAGAAAAAGTCCGTCGAGCAGAGTGCCATCAAGACGACTGAAAATGGATCATCGGCACATCCTGTCAAGGCCCTCACCTACAAAGATCCGTTCCAAGCCGTGTATAAAAAGTACATCTTCACTGCTGATGGAAAGTACCTGCTGGGTGGCATGATGATTGGAGATACCAGCGACTACATCAAACTAGTACCCATGGTCAAGAACCAGAAGGAGCTCGAAATTCCGCCGTCGCAGCTTATCCTGGGAGCAAAGAAAGAAGGCCAAGACGACGGGGATGATCTGGACGACGACACACAGATCTGCTCGTGCCACAATGTCACAAAGGGCAATGTGGTGGATGTTGTCAAGAAGGGAACTTGCAAGTCTCTGGGCGACGTCAAGGCGTGCACCAAGGCCGGTACTGGCTGCGGTGGATGCATGCCCTTGGTCACTACCATCTTCAACAAGACCATGAAGGACATGGGCGCCGAGGTCACCAACCACCTGTGCTCGCACTTTAGCTACTCGCGGGCTGACCTCTACAATATTGTCATGGTCAAGCGGCTCAAGACGTTCCAGGACGTGATGCGCGATGCTGGCAACGACAAGGAGTCCGAGGGCTGTGAGGCATGCAAACCAGCCGTCGCCAGCATCTTTGCCAGTCTGTGGAACCGGCACGTCATGGACCGCACCACACATGGTCTACAAGAGACAAACGACCGCTTCATGGCCAACATCCAGCGAAACGGCACCTTTTCCGTGGTTCCCAGAGTGTCGGCTGGCGAGATCACACCAGACAAGCTGATAGTCATTGGCCAGGTTGCCAAAAAGTATGGCCTATACACCAAAATCACTGGCGGCCAGCGTATCGACATGTTTGGCGCCAAGAAGCAAGACCTGCTCGCCATCTGGAATGAGCTTGTCGCTGCCGGCATGGAGAGCGGGCACGCCTATGCCAAATCTCTGCGAACAGTCAAGAGCTGTGTTGGCACTACGTGGTGCAGATACGGCATCGGCGATAGCGTAGGCATGGCGGTGCGCCTTGAGGAGAGGTACAAGAGTATTCGCGCTCCGCACAAGATCAAGGGTGGTGTGTCTGGCTGTGTGCGGGAGTGTGCCGAGGCACAGAGCAAAGAGTAAGCAACAGATACCCCGACGTCTCTAGTCGGAAACCATGTTCCTCGTAACTGACAAAATCCGTGTTTCAGCTTTGGACTCATCGCCACCGACAAGGGCTTCAACATCTTCGTGGCCGGCAATGGCGGCGCCAAGCCCAAGCACGCAGAGCTGCTCGCAAAGGACGTACCCCCGGCCGAGGTGGTCCCCATTCTAGATCGTTATCTCATGTTCTACATGCGCACCGCCGACAAGCTCCAGCGCACGGCGCGATGGATCGAGCAGCTCCCCGGTGGACTCAAGTACCTTCAAGACGTGGTGTTGCGCGACAAGCTCGGCATCTGTGCGTCGCTCGAGGCACAAATGCAGGAGCTGGTCGACTCCTTCTTTGATGAGTGGGCCGAGGCCGTCAAAAGCCCCGAGATCGCCGCCAAGTTCCGGCAGTTTGCCAACACGGACGAAGGCGCCGACGGCATGGATGTCGAGCTAGACCGTGACCAGGCTCGTCCTGTCATGTGGGCCAAGGACTCGGCCACTGCCGACTTCAAGGGCCTGCGTGCTCGCTGGTCGTCGACGTCGTGGCAGCCCGTCATCGAGGCTGCTCATTTCGCCGGCGCCGACGATACGCCCAATGGCATCTCGGCCAACGTCAAGCGCGGTGATACCCAGCTGGCCCTCTGGCGCGTTCGCGGTCGGTACTACGCCACTCAGCAGATGTGCCCACACAAGCGGACGTTTATTCTGAGCGACGGCCTGGTTGGTCTCGATCCGTCAGCAGCGTCCACTGCTGCCTCCGCCGATACCAACGCACCACCCTCACCACCACCCTCGCCGACATCATCCACCGCCGAAGCCGTGACAGCCACGACGGCGGCGAAGACGACGACGACAACCCCATCTGCAGAACCCTGTGGCGACGCCAAGTCCCCCTGGGTCTCGTGTCCATATCACAAGCGCAACTTTGATCTTACGTCGGGCGACTGCAAGAACGACAGTGAGCTCAGCATTGCGACATTCGAGGTCCAGGAGCGGGATGATGGCCTAGTGCACATCAAGCTCCCTCCCGTTGATGAGCTGGACCGCGAGCTAGGGACCAAGAGGTGGATGGTCAAGAAGGGCGAGGCTGGGGAAACCCAGTTCGCCGACCTCGACAGGAAGATCGGCTTCAAGGGTTTGCGGGCCAAGAAGCCTGGGGTCCGCCCCATGGGCGATGCGACTATGCGTAAGCCTGTCGAAGTGCTGGCCCAGTCTGCCCATGGAGGTTGCGGTGGACCAGCTGGTATCGATTGGTAAGAGTTGAACAAGAGTAAGGTCCAGAATTGTAAAGATACTATGCCATGTTGACGAGATCCGTCCGAGGCGCTGAAGGATGATGAATGTTCTTAATTTTCCTGGGCAAAGGTGTTGGGGACAAAATTATTCATGTGATTAGAGAAAACGACTCATTTAACGAAACGTTAGCGAAGCAATTGAATTCGACCTCGAGAAAGGCATGATGGCACTGTTCCGTCGACAATTTACTTCATTGTGGACGACGTGGACAAGCGATACGCCCATCTGGCACAGGCTAAGGGCATTGATTATATCATAATTTGTACAAGAATGTCAATTTTTCTTCTTGTCACTATTCGCAATAATGAGGGCTACCGTCCTTTTCATGTTCCAGACGATGTGACTGCCCCAAAAAGGTATATCTAATAAAGGGCCACCCTGTCCCCTTCTATTAGGAGTGACCTAACCTATCTTCTTTTTTTTTTTCAAAGGCGAGAAAGGCCACCGAAATTTATTCGCTGTGACAGAAAAGGAGGAAAGGGGGTATTAGGCCAAAACGAAACATAAGACCATTGAAGTTGCCTTCGTCAGCCTTGCACCGCATATTTGGCGACTTTGGTAGCCTCTAGTGAGCTATTTACTCGTCCTCGGGCAGAGGCTCCTCCTCGTACTCCTCCTCCTCCTCATCGACACCGGCATCCTGGTACTGCTGGTATTCGCTGACCAAGTCGTTCATATTGGACTCAGCCTCAGTGAACTCCATCTCGTCCATACCCTCACCAGTGTACCAATGCAAGAAAGCCTTGCGACGGAACATGGCAGTGAACTGCTCGCCGATACGCTTGAACAGCTCCTGGATAGCGGTCGAGTTTCCGACGAAGGTCGACGACATCTTAAGGCCGCGGGGAGGAATGGAGCAGAGAGCGGTCTGCACGTTGTTGGGGATCCACTCAACAAAGTAAGAGGAGTTCTTGTTCTGGACGTTGCGCATCTGGTCCTCGACCTCCTTCATGGAAACCTTACCACGGCTAGTGACAATTTGTTAGCTTATGAGTAATGCGAGTTGCTTTGAATCAGTTGTCAAAACTTACAAGATGGCAGAGCAGGTCAGGTAGCGACCGTTGCGGAAGTCAGAAGCAGCCATCATGTTCTTGGGGTCGAACATCTGCTGAGTCAACTCGGGAACGGTGACGGCACGGAAAGAGTGAGCGCCACGGCTGGTCAGAGGAGCAAAGCCAACCATGAAGAAGTGCAGACGAGGGAAGGGCACCATGTTGACTGCCAGCTTGCGCAGGTCAGAGTTGAGCTGACCGGGGAATCGGAGCGAGGTCGACACGCCGGACATGACGGCGGAGACCAGGTGGTTCAGGTCACCGTACGAGGGGTTGGACAGCTTCAGGGTACGCATGCAGATGTCGTAGAGAGCCTCGTTGTCAATGCAGAAGGTCTCGTCCGAGTTCTCGACCAGCTGGTGGACGGAGAGGGTGGCGTTGTAGGGCTCGACGACGGTGTCAGAGACCTTGGGGGAGGGCACGACGGAGAAGGTAGCCATCATGCGGTCGGGGAACTCCTCGCGGATCTTGGAGATCAACAGGGTACCCATACCGGCACCAGTACCACCACCCAGGGAGTGGGTGATCTGGAAACCCTGGAGGCAGTCGCAAGCCTCGGCCTCGCGGCGGACGACATCGAGGACCTGGTCGACGAGCTCAGCACCCTCAGTGTAGTGACCCTTGGCCCAGTTGTTGCCAGCACCGGACTGACCGAAGACGAAGTTGTCAGGGCGGAAAAGCTGACCGAAGGGACCGGCGCGGACGGCATCCATGGTACCAGGCTCGAGATCGACGAGAACGGCACGAGGGACGTACTTGTTGCCGGAAGCCTCATTGAAGTAGACACTCATGCGCTCGAGCTGGAGCTCGGAGGTACCGTTGTAGCTAACAAGGCCACAAGTTAGTTCGTGTGCTCAACAGGAAGCAATCGGAGGATATGGTACGTACACTCCATTGCTGTCGAGACCGTGCTCGCCAGAGATGGTTTGCCTATCAATGACCCATTAGCATCGTGTTTTTATCCGTGACCTAATCAAGCGTTCAAGGTCGTCGTAGACTCGTCAAAAGGCGTCATATCGAGGCAATGCCGAGGTAGATAGGATACATACCAGAAGGCAGCACCAATTTGGTTACCCTGTTCGTGATTGTGAGCTTTGGTGTTTCGGGCGCGCTACAGCGCGAGATTTGGCATGTTACTTACGCACTGACCGGTCTGAAGGTGAACCTATTGGCAGGAAAGAAGACTTGTTAGCTAGAGATCCTCGTTCACGTTATTGTGTTGGCAGTCTTGACGATAGAGCGGCGGGTTGGGATGAATATGCTGCTGCTGCCGCTGCTTCTTGGGTGCACAGCTTTCGAAAGATGTGGGGTAGAAATCAGGGGCCATTGAGTCTGGGACGCGTCCAGGGTAGGTCGATTTTGTATAGTAAATAGAGGGGAAGGTCGAGGGGGATTATGGACTCACAATCTCACGCATGTTGGCGGTTTGTAGAAGATGTCGACGAGGCTGAGAGGAAGCAGCAAAGAGGTCTTCTTTGGTGTAGAGCTCGACGGAGGAGACGAGACGAGAGGTGGATGTGCGAAGGGCGGTGGTTTTGGGCGGGAATGGAAAGATGGAGTATCTTTGAGGGTCGGGTCGGGTTGGGAGATTGTTGATTTTTGGCCTGGCGGTGAGAGGCAAGGGGACTGGAGCGCTGGGCGATTGATTGGTGACTTTTGCACTGAGACTGACTGGCGACTGGCGGCCACTGCCCACGCCGCGTCTGCCCCCCCAAGCCGGTTCAGTTTAGCTTATTAGCCTCTCTGAGGGTCCCCTGCTGTTGATATTACCCCACCCGTGCTGGCAAACCATTGACACTAGCTCCTCTAATGGCAATTTACGGGTCCCGCTTTCCCCTAATTGCCTAGTCAGAACCCTCCCTTAGACCTCTTTCAGGACTAGTCATCGCGGGCTCGAAGCCAAGGCAGCCGCGATTGGGATCTCTGCCAATCCAAATATGTAGTACCACTGGAGCTAACCGCTGCACATTCATGTGCTGTTGTAAAATGCTCGTGCTGTTTATCGCAAGTTAATTGATTCCGAAATAAGATGTTTACACACTTCGAGCAGGCTACCATATAAACAAATCATGGGGTGACCTCCTTCTTGTTGTCCCGGCACTTGAATTGTGTTGCCTAAAGACTACTTACTTTTCACCTGCCCTCGTCTTTAGCTGAGCTTCGAACAATTCAATACTCTCCAAGTACGATCCAGTGGCCCAGCTAAGTCTCAATGTCATGTTTGTATTATTGAGAAAAAGCACATGCCCAAGGCTTTTATTGTGTTCTCTGTAGTCACAATTTTAGTATTGATATAGTATCATGATGATATGTACCATGATAACGGTTACTCATATCCTAGCGCAGAAAATCGTCTCTCAATGTCCTTGGACAAAGGAACTGCAGACATTTAGGTGCATTGCAGAGCCCCAAGCTTATCAGTCGCCAGCATATCAAACTTGAGCAATACTGAGTTATTAGATTTTGCGGGAGGGTATCCTGGCAAGAAAATAATCCCAGACAAGCAATGGTTTTTTTTTTTTACACGAAGAAGCTCCACGATATACCAAATTGCTCTACCACTACTACTCAGATTCACAGAAGAATAGGTCACGGTCAACGTTGATGACAAACTAGCTCTGTATATTTGGGTACTCATGGAACATGTCTACAAGCAGGAGCTCGCATAAGGGGCATCTCCTATTTACAAAACGGGGACGGATGGATCTGATATCTCCATCCTTTGCTGCTCTTGGCCTGCCATCATGTACCAGTCACGTTTCCCTGTCTGCCTGTCTCATCTTTTGAGCTGCTAACATCTCTTGCCTCACGTAATAACCTAGCCGTCGTATTCATATACTTGGAGGCGTAGGGCGCTCGTCAGACTCTAGTTGGGAAATGGCCTTCTCGGGATTCGGTCACAAAGATGCATGCACAACATTTCACCGACCTGGCAAGCTGAAAATTCATAGTGCGTCTGGCATTTTGCCGGAAACAAATCCAAGGGCTGTCGCTTGGAATATTTTATTCATCCTTCCCTGGCTGAAAACCAACCGTAGCCTGGAACCTATCCGCGGTAGAGAGCCAACCGTCCATGCCAGTGTCTACCAAAGTTGTACAATGCCCCATTATATATGCCTTTCCATTGTGCCGTTTACCCTTTTGTCCCTTTTTTCGCAGCCATGAAGGGATACAACATAAGAAATGAAACAAAAAAATTAATCAAGAATCCTGTAAAACGCCGGTGCGCCTGGACGGTGGTGGGAATTGCGGTGCGCAATGATGTTTCCGTGTAAGTGCTTCCGACAAGAATCTGCACATGATTCGCGTATTACACCTCGGCTTGAGAAAAATGAAATTAAAAATCAAGAGTTGCGCCATTAGCGGTGGTGTTTCTCCCACATCGTATGCCTGATACTTCGTGGCGGTGCGACAAAAAGTCGTCGAAGCAGCTCAATGTGTGTCTGGATGGTCGTCATTGATGTCTTTCGTTTTCATCCATAATTCCATTTCCTTGCGTCTATACTGCTCTTCGGCAACTTCGTGTATATGGTCTTCGAGTAAGGAAGAATGACATGACAACATAATAAGCTCGTCATTCGTGCCCTCTAGTAATTTCTCTTTCGTAACGAGAATCAGAACAGGTCGTGCAGACTGTGCAGTGGAGTGAAGATGAATCACAACTTTGCTCGATTGACTGGTCGAATGCTCTCATTACGACCAAGTCAGGAAAAAAAGATTTCGGTACAAATGCAGAGCTTGAATGTAACGTGGCTGCCGAAAAAAGTGATCGGACCTTCGATGAATCGGTGCAATTCTCATCGCAGACGAAGTTATTTCAGTGGGCCGCAGTCATCATCTGAATGCGCCGGTTCATTCCAGTAGATGGCGAGCTAGTCATCGAACTAGTTGTGAGGATTGAGTTGGTGCTCCGGCTGTGAGGAAGCGGGCGCGAAGGTGTTGACGAGGGTTCCTCAAATACTCTCGTGAAAGCAGGACTTCCGTCCTCGTTTCTAACCTTGTCGCGTCGTGGAGTCCGAATCGGACTGCTCGTAATGTGATCTTCCTTGCGGACCAGATCTGAGAGAGAATCCCTCAATTCGCCGGCACGCTTAACCAGATCCCTTAAGCTAGTGGTGTCAAAGTAGTGGGTCTTCTTTTCGCCTTGCTTGTCCTTGCTATTGGCCGCCTTTTTGGTCTTCTGCTTGACTTGTTCATCGACGTCTCCATTGACAGTTCCAGCCTCATCGTCGATTTCTGTCGGCTGTTTCTTCCACAGATGCATAGACTCCACCAGAGAATCGAAGGTTACAGGTTTGGGACGAGTACGCACGGGCTCTCCATAGGGCGTGATCGGGTGTTCCGAGGGCGCATTATTGTCAGTTTGCAGCCAACCGCCAAAGATATCGTCCTCAGGTGAGAACACAGAGCGGCGTCTGTTCTGAGGGCGTTCTTTCACTACTGCTGTCTTCATTTGCCCAGTGACTTTACCCAGGCCTTCTGCAAGATCCAAAACAGAGCCGTCAAAGCCCTCGTCCACAAAGCGCTCATCGCTGAGGTCCAGATCCAGATCACTTAGCCCCGAGTCTAGGTCACTCAAGTCTGAGTCTGGAGTTTGTGGCGAGGCGCCAGATGGATCGTTGCCGGGGCCATCGTCGCACAGAGCAATGATGCCTTCTGCATCATGCCACAGCTCCAGCGAAGAGCCACTCATCATATTCATGTCACGACCTAAGCGACATAATCGCTTCAGGTCATTGACCAGGAGTGACAATTCACGTATCTGACCAGAATGTGCCTTGACGGTTGGCTGGTTTGCTTGAATTGTGGACGGCACCCGGATAACTGACAGACGATTTGCTGCCTTTTTGTCCGTTTCAAGGCCAGGAGTAAGGGCTTCGTCGAACTCGAAATCTTCGTCCCATTCCTCACTAACGTTCTTGCCCCATGTGCGAAACTTGGTTGAGATAGAACTGTCAATAGGCTCGGGAACAACGGGAACGCTCTGGCTCCGTATGTGCACTGGTACAGGGCCTCTTCGGCTTGCTGTTCGTCCACCACGCATGTCCAGCTCCTGTTTGCCGTGAACCGTCTTGGGTCGGAGACCAACGCCCTCGTACTTATCGAGAGACACAGGCTCTTGCCAATCCCAGATATTGCTTCTAGGCCGCTCGTAGGGACTTTCGTCGTAGGAATCCTGGGCGCTGTTTCCGTTGTTCAAAGTAAGCGCTGTTCTAGGATGTGGGCTCCCTCTTCTAGAATTCATGGAGCTTGGAGGCGATAGATGGTTGTAAACTCCGTCGTGGTCATCTTTCGTCCAGTCCAAATCATCGTCGTCATCTAGAGATAGCCGTCCAAGGTCCCGATTTGCCCACGAGAGGCTCGATTGACCGACTGGGTACTGAGACTCTTCATCATCGTGGAAATTGGCGAGTCGATAAGCGGCTTCTGTCTCCCCGTAAGCCCTACGGACAGGCGTAGGTAGTCCTTCGTCCTCTTCCATAATCTTGTTGCCCCCATCGAATGACGGCCCAAGTATCTCTTGAATGGAAAGGCGCTTTGGTTGTTTGGAAATCCCTGACGTACTCGGTGGCGACTCGTCAAACATGGATTCTACGGGCGAATCCAGAGTTTTTCGACGTGCTGAAATTGAAGTGCGGAAAGAATCAAAAGGGGTGTCTGTTGTGTCGTCATCCTCCCCAGACATAAATCCTCGGTGGTACTCCGAGCTGCCAACAGTTGAGGTACGAGCGTGGGATGCATTAGAGTTAACTCTTGCATTGTTTGTTGGAGCGAGACTTGCATTGGCCAAGTCATCTGACTTGGCATGACCGTTGGAAGAGCCAAGACGGTTCAGATCAACATGGAAGCTAGAAAGTCTAGATAGTGGCGGCAGAGGGGATGGTGTGTTCTTCCTGCTGTGGGGTGGTTGAAAAATGGCTGTCAAATCTGTCTCAACCTTACTTGATGTGCTAGACAGATTCACAACCCCCGTACCTGTTTCATCTGGGGCAGCATTCGAGGTCACGGGCACGGGATCCGATGTGTGACGCTGGTCTGTGACTGTTGCTTCAGTCTTGGCCCCGCGTTTCCGTCGGCGAATGCTTCCATTTCTTGGCATCCAATTTGATGATGAACCCAATTGTATCGAGAGAGACCGTTTCGGTGTCCTGGAAGGCGTGCCACTGAGAGGGGAATCGGTCTTGTTGGAGCCCTGAGGACTCTCCTGTGCATTTGCACTCGTATCTGCCTCCAGGCTGCCATCGTAGGCCTCATCGTCAACCGGCATTGTCATGACAGCTCTAGGCGTAATCAGGTACGCTCTTTCGTATCCCGTTTGTTCTACACACAGCCGCTTGGCACCCAGCTTAGCACTGGCGTCGCTTTTCTTAGTAGACGACTTGATGGTTGGCCGGGTAATTCTGGAATGGAAGAATGATTTCCACCTAGGTTCTTCGCTTGTAGATATCTCAACACCAGAGTCAAGTTTTGGTACTGCCAAAGTCTTCGCTCTTGGTCTCGTTTGTTGTGGTTGCTCCGACGGGAGCTTGGAGGCAGGTTGAACAGCCTCCACGGTTAGTTGATGAAGTGTTGCAGATCTCTGATGACTTGTTGCTGGCCGCCGTAACGTTGGCATCTGTGACCTTGCGCTCCGCCGATCTAGTAAACCTGGGTTTGTACCATTTGCTGTAGACGACCTTTTGACGAGCTTATTAGGCGGCAGCTGAGGTGCTGTGATACTGTTTGGTGACAAAATTGGTGCCGCTGAACCATGCGAGAACATGGACTGGGAGTCGGGACCAATACTGGATTGCAGGCTCTCGTGCTGCGATATTGGACGGATCGAAAGCCTTCTCATCCACGAGCCATTCGAAGAGGAAGAGTTGCGCACGTCCTCGGCAGTAGGCACAACATTCACGTCGCCTTGCTTCGCAGATGTATATCGCCAATTTGAGGCCTTTGGCGATGTGATCTGCGTTTGTGACATGCGACGGGGCATGCGCGTGGGATTTGTTGTATTCTCGAACTGGGCTGAGAGGGGTGGACTAAAGATGTCTGCGACAGCGGCGGCCGAGTCTCTGGTGCCGGGTCGCGATGAATATGCGCTTATGTTCAGCTCTGCTTCAGCAATCGCGTAATTATTTCTAATCGGTGTCGTATGAGGGGGCGGCGGAGGAATTTGTCCTTCGACGAGTTGACCGAATACAACGCCCGTCGCAGCTGCGGCAACAGCAGTGCCAGTACCGATAAGCTGTGGTGGTGGTGGTGCAAGTCAGTAACCGGGGTGTGGACGCGGGGAGTGGGTGGACCACGGATGATTTGTTGTGTAGATGAAACAAGAAGTCTCAAGGAAGAAATAAAAAGGCAGTAGGATGTTTAGAAACAAGAAGTAACGTGATTCTCAAAATAAGAGGAACAAGCCGGAGGCAATATGGTAAATCCATGGACATGGGATGCAGCAGCGATTGCGAACATTGAACCAGGTATGGAAGTACGCTCGGCCGCTGAAGGGGGCACTTACACTGGGGACTGTCTGCATGTTGCAGGATGATCGGGTCTTACTGCCAGGAAGGGGAGCCTGCGAGGACGAGGCAAAAGGAAGAAGCGGCACTCTCTGTCGTTCTCGTAACCATTGTTCGTCAAGGCATCGCAGTTCCTCTGTTGTTGAGCCCGAGGAATGCCAGTCGAAGTGTGCCAGGCGGATGTTTTGGCGAGTGCGTGTGGTGGTCAAGGTTGCGTGCGCGCCAGCGACGGTTGGTGTGGGCGTTTTTTTTTTCGGGCGTTGGGCTGTCTGTCCAATGTCCCAAGCGGTGCGCAGTCTTTCAAGAGACAAGATACAAGATAGCGATACTTTTTCGTTTCTTTGGGCCCTCCGTAAGATTTCAATTGAACCTGCACAAGTCCACGGGATCAAGTGACTGCTGCAACTTCTCCGAGTCCACACCTAGGTGCATCGAAGTGCAGAGCGTGTTTCGATGCTCGCGTCCGGACGTGGACCAATGGGCGGGCAGTCGTCGTGACTCTGGGCTAGCTGGGCAAATAAGTCCACTTCAGACGAAGGTCGAGAGAAGAGGAAAGAGGTGAAGAATAAACTGCCTTTGGAGGGTCCGAAACGGGAGCAGCTAGTCGAAACGGCCAAAATTACTACAATAGAGGAGAAGCGTAGTCGAGCTGGTGAGAATGTCTGGAGAAAGAAACCTCAGCCCGTGAGTGAGAAAAGGAAGCCACAGTAGTATGTAGTGTACTACTACCATTGGAAAGGCAAGGTTCTGGACTGGCTTTTTTGGACGGGAAGCGGCGGCCAGGGGGATGGATGCTTTGCAGGCATGAAAGACTGGAGTAATAATGTAGGTACCTACATACTCCGGGTGGCCCAGCAGTAGGTAGTCAATGTTGTAGTATTAGTAGCGAGCCAGCGAGTAGTACCTGCTTGGCTCTATGGTATGTAATGTGATGCGAGGTAGCGAGCGAGTCACTGGTCGAGCGGTCGCAAGCATTGATCAATTAGAATAGTGTACCGGTAGTGTAATTTGCATACTAGTGTGGTCTATTCCGTGGAAAGCACAGAGCCCAAGCTACCAGGTAAAATGTATCTACGTACCCCCGTCCATCCTGGGAACTTTACTACGTAGGTTAATAAGGTGTGTATCATAGACGCATCGACAGCCAGCGTACGATTCCCCAAACTAGTGTAAAGAAGAGTTGCGTGGGTCTCGGCCAACTACCATGGGGATCCGTAATGCCATGGAGATCATGCCACTCTGCTAGGTGGGCGGGCATAAACATCAATTGATCCATCTACTACGTATCTACCTTCCTTGGCCTATGGTACTGTCAGATCCACACTTTCTCAACACAACTGTTCCATACACACTCGTCGCATCTCTCCCACCTTGCCCACTACTTACATACGTAGATCAATGACTTACCGGTATGCCCACAATGGTATGTACGAAAGCGGGATCGCCATCTCAGATCTCCATTCAAGAGGGGGACTGGAGCGCTTTGCTGGCCGCGCCGTGTGGTAATTGCGCTGCAGCGCATTGCAGCCGGAATCACATAACAATTAATGTACCTGCCTGGGTGCATATAGGTTGGACCACTGAGGTTGCTGTGTGTTAAGCCTGGCCCTACAGCGGGCGGAGCTGGAGTCTGCAAAAGGTACGAGCTACGGGCTTACCCTGGAATTAAGGTAAGCAGAAGCGCTGCTTGTTATTGCCCAGCTTCCAACAAGGCCTTTTTTTCTTTCTTTGTCCCTGGGAGGAAATGTTCCACCTTTTCTTTTCACCCTCCTCCCTTCCCTCGTCTCTACAGAGTACTGTGCATTTTGTTGCTTGTTCTGCACGTGCATTGATTGGTCCCTGCCGAATATCCATCCGAGGCCCTGCACGGGGCGGCGACCATATTCGTCCGCCAGGCGCTGCACGGAATACCGTAGGATTGATTTCGCTGTTTTTTCTCCGTCTTTCTTTTCCTTCTTCCACTACCGTAGCCACATTACGTAGGTAGACAGCTAGATGAATAGATAGGGCTGGCACGCGTCGGGTGCTTGTTTATTCCTGATGACTCCTCTTGTGCGATGTGCTAGTCGCAAGCAGACCAGTCCATTTGAGCAACAGGCCACTGGGTAGTCCGCGCTCAACCGCTGACGCCTTGTAGTAGAAAAACCAGTTCCAACGGGTTCGAAGAGAACATGTGCGATTGTCCATGGAATGAAGGAGCGAAGCCAGGTCAGACCGCGCTGCGCCCGGTCCACAAGAGACCGCCCCGGAAAAGACTGGGTCTTGGCTATCAAGGCTTCGGCAATGTCACGATGAATGGGATCGGGGCTTGATAGGAGATCTTACCATCGGATAGTGTGTCCGTGTCGCTCTCTCATCACATACCTAGTTACATGCTACCAACGGGATGAACACGGAGCAGCTACGTATTCTAAAGCAAGTAAAAGCCACGGACCGATACGCCCTGGCAACTATTGTGGCCACAGACAGGTCCAAGGCTCGTTGTTCATTCTCCCGGGTGCCGCACAACTGTGAAGCTGCTTGCTACTAGTGGACCATGCTTTCTTTTCTCAGGAATGGCACGGTGGACTGCCAGGGCTCAGATGTCTCCACGCGGGCTGGGTTGGTAAGGTGTGAGGCTCGAAGCGAAAACGACCCAGGCGGGCTTCCTACACCCACTAGTAGATTTCTCTGCCTTGATTTGGATTTCTTCTTTTACTTCTCAATGTCCCGACAACTCGGGGCAATAATGAGGGTTGTCTTGTCTCTCAAATTTCCGACATTCCTCTATTCGATACATGTCGACACTTGTCACCAGATAAAACAGCATTCACCCACTGCACAAACGCCACAATTATGTCCATGGCTTTTTTTTTTTTTTTTTTTTTTTAGCAAAACAAACCACCTGGCAGGCAAGCACCTGGTAGACGGTCGGCAGGCATATGAATACAGTACATAGATGGTAATAGGCAATTATTAGCAAGCATTACGGAATGTCGCTTCAGTTCTTCTTGTGTGTAATGTAAAGTAGGAATCAGAGGCAGGCATTGCACCCCCTGCCCGTCTCCCCGCGAACTGCGCCGTGCGTCAACTTCCTTGCCTCAATAAGCCTAATCTGACAATTAGCGCCAGTTCAACAACACTGAACCGTCATTCGTCTGCTACCGAACACTTAACTTGGCCCCAAAAGTCTTACCAAGGCAAGCGAACAATTCAGGTGCAACTACTATTCAGGGCTCTATTATACCTCGCTAGATATACCTATTCAATGTGACAATACGTATCCGGACTATGGATACAATACCCAGCTAAAGTCAGTGCACATTATTCCGGATCACATTTCGAAACTTCAGACCTCCGGCGGCATATCGGCAGCAGGGGTTGGCGGATCGTGGAGGCAGATCGCCTCCGCCCACACAAATATGGCAGCGAGTGGTCCAAGTTTCCTCTCGCACAGCCAGGAGGAGACAACCTTACCTGAGCCCCCAAGGGCCCTAGCCGGACTGAGGTCTTATTACAGTGGTGATGAAGCATATGCTCCAATGTTGTACGGCCTGTCTCCTCGCGTCGATCTCTTCCACATTAATACCGGGCACAAAACATACCCACGGCTACTACTGTACGCTAATAGCAATAAGAATATCCCTACGTGTGTACGGCAAGGAAACTCGGGTCCACAGCCTCTGGACTACAAAATAAAAAGTAAGTTTGCTCTCCATTATGACGGACGCTGTGTGCCATGACTTTGGTGTCATGCGCTAGGATCAGGAATCATGTAACCACCAGATCATGCTTGCGCCTGTGTTCCATCTTGAGTTCTTTCCATGCGGTACGATATCTAGTTCAACAAGAGTCGATGAATTGGCGCAAAAGAGGAAAGAAGAAGAAATCATCACACAACAAAGATCCTCCAGGGTAATTGGCGGCTAATGAGATAGCGGCCGCAACTTATTCTGCAGGAGCAGGAGCCAGGGAGTCTCCTACGGAGCCGACCTCATCTGCACTCCATTGCCCCATGAAACCTGCGACATGGGCGCATAAATCCTACAGCAGATGAGGGATGTTGTTTTCTTTCCTCGTGTCCCTAGCGACCCGTTGCCATGGCTCCAGGACCGCTCAACTTTTCCACGTTACAACGAAGTCCGAGCACACTCTCGGTTCTGCTATTGACGGTAATAATCATCCAAAGTTTATATGAACCACCGCTACCAAGGTAGCAAAAAGCCGCACCAGCTCTTTCGGCAGAAGAAGAGTGTAACACTGGGGGAAGAAAATTATCTGACTAGACCACCAGTGCTGCAAGGGACCAAAGTTGCGCGTCACATCTTGCATCATGCCGATGGATGGGCGAGATCTCTGTCCACTTTGTCAAATCAGAGTACTACCACCACCACTGCTTGAGCGCGTAATCAGGAGTGGAGACCTGGGAATGGCGGCAACTTGTCGACGATGACAGTGGAGGGGGATAGCCGAGGGCGCATAGGCCACCTAATAAGTGTTAAGAGTTGGCGCTTCAGCTGTCATTGTTGCCGCCATGTCGTGAGAGTCAGTGCCGTGGATTATACCGTTGTGCGCTGTCACGAATCAACACGCTGAAAGCTGTGTTAGAGGGAACAGGCATATTGTACCACCTGTCTCCGTTTTGCGCGCAAACATATTCAGACGATTGCGGGAAAGTACAGTAGTGTACAGAGTACGTACATGGTATCATGCTCTAGCTCGCACTCAATTACCTGCGGCATATAGTGACTTGGCAAGTCTGCGGAATTATTCACAAAATAAGCCCAACGTCACTCTTTCGGGCTTTTCCCAAGTCTACTTACGGAGGTTCTGGGGACGTCAATGTACACAGTAACTATTTGACGGGGACAAGCAGGGGAAAGGTCCGGGAATCGATCACAGCCAGCATCTTATCTGCTACTGGTCAGGACTCAGCATCGTGTTGTCCCTACAACCCCAGGGATGACAACATGGATGGCACGCATTCAGCTACTTAATTGAACTTCAGTGTTGCACCCGAACTGGAACCCTGGAAAAGGCTCCAAATTGCAAGAAGGGGGAAAGATGCATACACATACATACAGTACACAGTTCGCTGCCTTATTACAACATCAATATGAACACAAGCCCTATTTACAACGCGCGTTTGATGATCCGACAGTACTGTGTAGACAGCCTGCTTGCTTTGTATCCAATCGCGGCAAACGGGAAGTAATAATAATACTCTACCTAGTCTTATGGCATAATTCCAACCATCACACACATGCTCTCTTTTTCACCGCCTTCCGTTCAATGGAAGCATGCAGTCTAGCTTTCCCATAAGCCGTCGTGCCTACAGTAGCTGATGCAGATCCCCTGACAAGAAGAACAACCATCAAACATACATTTGCTATTGATGATTCTGTTTTGCTTGGAAGTTTGAGACAGCTGTAATGATTGAAGCGCCAGTTGCTACCATTCGTATGAAGACAGCTAATCAGTCCATACGGGTATGTGCATTTGCTTTCCAGTTGCATACTGATGTCCTGCTTTGGCATGATCACTCGGCCGTTTCATGGTCCGTATTCGTCTAGTTAACATCCAATTCCTCCGGAATGAGTAGCTGTCTTCGTCTCATCCTTTCGTCAATTGTCCACCCTAAAAAAAACCACAGGCACTGACCGGCACATATTGGTGGTGCAGTCGGTCCCCTCCTACCCCTCAAGCCTCGCTCGAATTCCTGCAAATACCATTGATTTGGTCAATTGGGCATACCTAAATTTGCGCCCAGTGCAGAGGCTAAGGACCTGTATAGAGTAGCTCTGCTTGCTGGCGTTGGCGGCAAGGACCGGCGGCCTTGTGAAAGCTGAACCTTTTACACTGATAAGCTGGCTTTGGCTGGTTCTTCCATGCAGGGACTATTCAAGAAGCCGTTTTGTCCAACCGAATTCATCGAAGTCATCTGACTGCCCATCTAGAACCAAGTTCGAGTCCCCCCAAAAACCAAAACGTTTTGCCATGAAGCCCTCACCGCCTCTGAAGTCCCCAAGATGAAGCCTTCACCAGCCTTTTCTCTCCAGCCTTTACGGGCAAGCCGATTGATGACATCACTTCAAGTGGGTTTATTTTCGTCGGGACACTTTATCTCATCCCAGCCATCCCTCCTACCTGATAGAGCCGCGACAGCGATTTGGTCTGGTAGCTAGCTCGCCAGGCTAGCCAAATCCGAGGTCCCTCTATTGGGGCTATTATAAGGGAAAAAAGGTAAACAAGAGGCTAAGCAAGGTGTGAAACCCATAGATTCGGTAAGAACTAGTAGCTTTCATAGGCACAACGGTCGTCCAAAAGAGCGCTTGAGCGAATCTTTCCCCATCTTGTTTGAATCTAGACGGATCGTGAGATATCCGAGCGTCCACAAAGATGGGTTAGATCCTGGAACCTAGGTGGTTCCTGTGGCGGAGACAATGTCGTAGATTTTCGTGGGCATCACGATCTTTGAAAATTCTCCAGCCACATAGCAGGGCGCAACTGAGGGATAAATCGAGATCTTTGAGAACAGCATATGGATCTTCCCGAGAATGGTGCCAACATGCCCATGTCTATCTAACGGGGACTCGACGGTCAAATCATGAGCTAATCTTGGGTGGAAACAAGAGAAAGAAAGAAGCAAAATGATCATCGGTCGCTTGCTTTCCCCAGATCTAGCGCCTGTAGCATACATCACAAAGTCGGTATGCTTTGCACCTTGGCACCAGGAACGAAGCAACAAATCTGGAACACGAATTTTTGCGATGAAAGTTGACTTATTAGCGTATCGGTGGAAAAGCCCAGAACTGTGAAAAACTTGGTCGTGTGTAGGGATAATGCCTCGACCTCTGCATACGACAGCTCATCAATCCAGGCGCCACCGGTCGCCGGCACTTGGAGACCAACGGCAAAGAAGGAACCTCACGCAAACAGCAAGAAACATAGTGGCCGCCATGGGCCGGAAGGTGGTAAAAATCGTGGGTTGCGCTGGAGACATGGGACGAGATGACAAAAGTACAAGGTAAACGCACTGGTAGCAAGCAAAAGACCGGGTGTTTCGTGCCCGGGCTTAGCACTGCAACTCTACCCGTATATCCTACGATCTTTCTCGGCCCCTGAGCCCAGCTGAGGTTGCGTTCCTTTCCCCAGGAAACGCCCGAATCAATTAATAGAACAAAAAGGGCATCCGATTGTATCCATTATTTGGTTGTTCCCGGGCCCTTTTTGGCGCTCTCGCATGGCTTCTCGCGTCTCCCCACTCCCCGAGAACTGAGCACAGCTAGGTGGTCACAAACTCGAGGCTTTGTATCATGAATAATTGGGCGTCTTGACATGTTCAGCTGGTACATAACATGTAGGACTATGTTTTGCTACATGATAGTGGTACTTCGTATATTGAAACCAAAAGCTGTCCATAAGGCAATTGTGATTTAAAGTTTGCTCGAACTGGTGCACCAACTCATCAGAGTTCAGGCGATCCCCCTACGTTGCGCCATGTTGAGATTTTCCCAGTTGAGAAACTGGGTTCCGTGGCTCGTTATTGGTTGCACCAAGAGGACATTGATTTTTTCAGCCGCGCTGGGCATGCTGGGACTAGCTACAGGTAGAATGTACGACGTTCCTTTACTTCCAAGGGTCCCAAGCCCAGCTTCTTCTTGCATATCGGATTCGTTGGCTAGCTTAAGGTTTCCCCATATGTGGTGCTGTGCCTTCCGGTCCAGTTGTTTTTGTGGCAGAACCACAGATGACGTGAACTCCTCACACTTGTAGGATGAGGAGGGGTAGCCCATTCTAGGCCGTGGATCCGAACTGACATTCAAGCATTACGGTGAGTGTTGAAAGAAAGGGAGAGGGACAGAGACAGAGACACGATGGGACCATCTCAGAAGAGACGATGATCATTCATACAGAGTGGCAGATGTGACACACAATAATGCCGGTCGAGATCCAGAGATAAGCTTTGAGTGGGAACGAGGAAGGATGGGTGTGAAACTTGTGATTCACTATTACGATATGCCGATTATGATCGCTTGTTATTTTGGGAATTGAGTCCTTTTTTGGCAGCCTCTCTATGGCATGCAGCCTGGCACACAGCATACAATTCTTTCCCTCAAAGCTTGTTCTGAAGCCCCGATTTCGAGCGGTATGAGAAGATTATAGTTAGAGTATGCAGGCGCACATGTACACCCACAGAGTGGCCTCCCAAGAAGAAAAATGAAACAAAAAGAGGAAGAAGCTTGAAATGTCTCAGTTGGTATGAATTTCTAGTGGCTTAAAGATCCGCTATGCATCTCTTGTTCTACGGGCAGGAGAAAAAAGTCTGGATCCTGCATTCGCGCATACATGGAGGGTCTCTGTCCAGTGCAGGGGAAAAACCAAGTCATCAGTCGAGCAAAGGCAAGCAAGCAAGTACGCCTGCAAAGTTCAAACCAGGCATTCCCCTCGTTGCTCACGGGATGGGCGGTTCCATAACGAGATGATCAAGATCCCAGTGCTGACCGCGACCAGGGCCCGGAAACCTGCGAAGGTCCGGTTTTAGGTGGCCGATTGGCTGCCCATGATTGGTCAATCCTCGTATGTCGTCAGCCGGATCACCAGCCAACAAGAACGCGCCCGTTGGGCTTGCCAGACGCGTCTCACGTGGATTTGTCTAAGGGTCTGTTTTTCCACCGACACCAGTGGTTTCTAGCGGTAGCCGCTGAGAGAATCTTGTCAGTTGACGCGGCATGCCCGGTCCGTTCTTCTACCAAGATTCTTCTTCCAGGAATACCTCTCTGCCCAGAAGGAGAAGTTCAGGGTCCCCCCAAGAAGGCTGGAAGGACAACGGCGCGTCCTGGTCGACGCCTCATCTGACTCTCGACCCCCCGTATCGATCCGGATGGTGGCGGGCGGGGGACATCCCGGCGGCGCACCGGAGATGTAAACGAGATTTGGGGAATCTGTCTAAATGTAGTGTGAGCCTGGTGGTACGCGCCTGCAAAAAGGAAGCAGGTTCTAGAAAAAAAAAATGAACCCCTGGTATTAGGGCAATGAGGCTTGCATAAGCTAATAAACTATGCTTACGCAGTACCCAAATCGCTGTTTCTTTCTCTCCTTTTCCAAGATGGACGAACCATCAAAATGTGACTTGTACCTTGCCGAGGTTTGGCGAGCTGACAGCCAGGCGGCTGCTCCTCGCATCAGTTAGATCCATCGTCCGGTTCAGTATGCCAGCCGGCTTGCATGATTCATTGCTGCTATATATGGGTGCATCTACGCCGACGGCGACAATCTCGGACAGATAGCCTCATCAGCGCCTTATAATGGTCGGAAGCGACCTCATCTTGAACAAAGAATGAATTTCCGACTTGGGATTCAGTGATTGTCTCGACTATGATCGGAAAAAAATCCAGCAAGCCTGCGAATGACAGTCATTCAATGTTCGCCACAGTAATACACCTGAGGCAGGCATCAATGTACTCCAGCCGAGCCGCACGAACTCCTGCATCGCAATCGAACGAAATTAGATGAAAATGAACAAGATTTTTAGAATTTCCGAAAATCTGACGACTCGTCGTTTCTTTTGATGCGAATTCTTCGTAATCGTCGTGGCAATAAAGATGATGATCCATATTGTAGCAAAAGACATCAAATCGCTGTACCCAATCAGCTTACCCCGCGATGACCCCACCTTTAACGACATGCCGTCGATTTTTGCCCAAGTGTGATGAATTTTTGATTCGGAGCAAACTGACTGTATGCCGTGCAACAGCTCGTCAAAGATCTGTCACAAATCCAAACCGGTGACATAAAACTCTGATTACCATCGTGGTGGTTAGGATCAAGGGACGGGCCATTTCTCGTGTGAGAAGAGGTTGGAGCGACACTGCGCCTGCAACAATTTCTTGGCCACGTAGGCAATTTCTCAGAGTCGTCCAATTGCACGTGGCAAGCACCCAGCTTCCCACATACAACCAGTACCAGGGACAGGAAAAAGTAAACAGATCAGTGCATTCCCAGCCACTATCATGGAGTCTGACATCAGGGCCGTGCTGCCGGATGTCGACCCCGTCGTGTCCGAGTACTCGGCCGGATACCTGAGGCATGCCTCCATGGCATGGACCGACGAGGAGGAGGCCACCGGGCTGTCGCCGCTTGCCGAGGCCGCTGTCGCCATCACGGAGCTGCTGGTGTCCGCCTCCGGCAATGCGACCGGCGCTGAGCAGAAGAAGATCCAGGACTTGGTAGCCAAGTGGGTTGAGAAGTACGAGGCCGTCAATAACGAAAATGGTGAGCGCAGAGGCCCCTCGGCCGCGAAGCGCTTGGATCAGGCCATTCAGGTCGGCGCCCAGCGCAACATGTCGTCCACGCTCGCTGTGGCCACTGGCAGCATTGATCTGGAGTCTGCCAACCAACGCAAGGTTGAGTCCAAGGTCGATCGCAAGAAGCTGGAGAAGGCCGAGCGCAAGATTGCTGCCAAGCAGAGCAAGAAGCAATTCAAGAACGTCGAGTACGAGGCCTCCAGGCTCTTGGACCAGCCCGACTCTACGCAATCGTACGAGGAATTTTACATGGCTGTCAACCCTCTCCAGCTGGGCGGCAGTTCCAGCAAGAGCAAGGACATCAAGATCGACAGCATCGATGTGTCCATTAGTGGTCAGCGTATTTTGACGGACACTACTTTCACTCTGGCTTACGGACATCGCTATGGTTTGGTTGGTAACAACGGTGTGGGTAAATCCACGCTTCTGCGCGCTTTATCACGAAGAGAGGTTCCTATTCCAACGCACATTTCCATTCTGCACGTCGAGCAAGAGGTACGTGATACAAATCAATGTTGCTTCCTGAGAACAATACTAATGGTTGCAGCTTTCTGGAGACGACACACCTGCTATCCAAGCTGTTCTGGATGCCGATGTCTGGCGAAAAGTCCTGCTCAGAGAACAATCAGAAATCACCGAGAAGCTTGCAGGTATCGAGGCTCAGCGCTCTTCAATGGCTGATACCTCGGCCGATGCAAGCAAGCTGGACCGGGATCGTGAGACTCTCGACAACAAGCTAGGTGACATTCAAGACAAGCTGGCGGAGATGGAGTCGGACAAGGCAGAGTCCAGGGCGGCCAGTATCCTTGCCGGTCTTGGTTTCTCCCCAGAGCGTCAGCAGTTTGCCACCAAGACCTTCTCTGGTGGTTGGCGTATGCGTCTTGCCCTCGCCAGAGCACTGTTTTGCGAGCCTGATCTGCTGCTTCTTGACGAACCGTCCAACATGTTGGACGTTCCGTCCATTACTTTCCTTTCCAACTATCTGCAGGGATATCCCAGTACTGTCCTGGTTGTTTCTCACGACAGAGCATTCCTTAACGAGGTTGCTACTGACATCATCCACCAACATTCCGAGAGACTCGACTACTACAGAGGAGCCAACTTTGAGTCCTTTTACGCCACCAAGGAAGAGCGTAAGAAGGTCTACCAACGAGAGTACGAGAATAACGTGGCCCAGCGCGCTCATCTCCAGGCCTTTATTGACAAGTTCCGATACAACGCTGGAAAGGCTGCCGAAGCACAATCGCGTATCAAGAAGCTGGAACGCATGCCAATTCTCACACCACCAGAGCAAGAGTACAGCGTCAAGTTCAAGTTCCCCGATGTGGAGAAGCTTTCGCCGCCAATTGTACAAATGTCGGGTGTCACTTTTGGCTACAGCGAAGACAAGATCTTGCTCAAGGATGTCGACCTTGATGTCCAGCTTGACTCTCGAATCGGTATCGTGGGTCCCAACGGTGCGGGTAAGACGACAATTCTCAAGCTCCTTATTGGCAAGCTGTCGGCTACCCAAGGTCTCATCTCACAACATACACGACTCCGAATTGGTTTCTTTGCCCAACACCACGTTGATGCTCTCGACCTGACCATGAGCGCTGTCAGTTTCATGGCCAAGGAATACCCAGGCCGAGCTGAAGAGGAGTATCGAAGACAACTTGGTGCTTTCGGTATCACTGGTACCACGGGTCTTCAAAAGATGGGTGTCCTGTCTGGTGGTCAAAAGTCTCGTGTTGCCTTTGCCTGCCTGGCCCTCACCAACCCTCATATCCTGGTTCTCGACGAACCTTCTAACCATCTTGATATTGAGGCAATGGATGCTCTGGCCGAAGCTCTGCAGCAGTTCCAGGGAGGTGTACTCATGGTTTCTCACGATGTCACAATGCTTCAGACTGTATGCACGAGTCTATGGGTGTGCGAGAACGGCACCGTATGGAAATTCCCTGGAGACGTGCAGGCATACAAGAAGAGAATCGCATCCCAGGCAGACGCTTCTGGTGTTGTCAAGGCTCATTAGAGGTATCTTAGCTAGCACCAAAATCAAGGCAGAATGTCATGGCACAAATCTTTTGACGCCATTCCAACGCTATAATGTGTAGACTGTGTCCTTGTCGCGGTCCATTTCCGTTGTGCGTGTTCCATTGTGCTGTCTTCTATAAAGTATCTCACCATTTCAAATGATAGTACATCATGAATCTATTGTCTTCACAAGGGCTAGATTGGCACCGGTAGCTTACTGAGGGATAGTCCTGGAGGAACACGTGCACTCAACGATGGGCCATTATACATCATTGTATCCAATGAAACGAGCTTCAGGCTCCTCACCAACTAGCCATGCCCACGCTGCTCCCGGCCAGTATCCGGTCAACAGGGAAAACTCCCAGCCATAGTTTGCCTTTTCAAAGTGGGCTTCATCTTGGAGCCTTGCCTCGGCAACGCTCCTTGGTGTCGCTAGTTCGAGGAATACGTCTCGCTGGGTCGGTGGCAGAGTTCTTATTTACGCATCAGCCAAGGGAGTCGAGAGCGGTAATGAGGGATGATGAGTGATTCTTACAAACAGTTTCCAAAGGCTCCGTGGCACAAGTTGGGTTCCTTCTTCAGCAGTCCTTCCCTCCACACGAGCTCATTGCCGAGGGTTATGGCGCGGCTGATCTCGTCATCGAGTTCAGGGAACAGAGGCCGAATCGACTTGAGACTCTGAACAAACCCGGGTGCTCCGTGGCAAAACTGAACATAGGGGCGCGGATCAACTTGCTCATTGACGGGCCAGTTGCCGTCTTGCTTTTGCCAGTCCAGGAGCCGGGCCAGCCACTGTTGCAGCTTTTTCTTTTCGTCCACCGTCGGCCCAGACAGCGCGACCTGGGTCAGTGTGCCAATATCTCCGTGCACCGCCCCAATATACCGCTGACCCTTAAACTCCCAGTCCGGACCCTCGGCCACGATCTTTCCTCGCACCAGAGCCGTGGCTTCCTGGAGGAGCGGCGCACTCTCTGGCACCCAGTGACATATCATGCGCAGCAGATACAACATGCCTGCCCGACCCGAATGCCACTCGGCCTCGGCTGGTCCGTCGACGACGGCAGGGACGTGTGAGAGGAACGCGGCAACGTGGGCCGGATCGCCCGAGAGAGAAGCGCGCACCGCCTGCCACGCCAGGACCTCGGACGAGATGCCGCAGCGCGCCGAGGGCTCCAACACCATGGCCTCGGGGTCCCGCGTCCCACCCAGGTAGGCCTGGGCCCAGTGACGAGCGGGCCGCGAGGCGACGAGCAGCTCGGGACGCGCCGCCGCGACGTGGAGGAAGAGGTAGGCGATGCTGGTCGGCCCGTTCCAGAGGCCCTTGAGCGGTTGGCCATAGCTATCTTGCGGCGGGTAGTCCCGGACAATGGTCTCGAGCGCCTCGGAGAGGAGATGGTTCCTGTCTAGCTTTGCTGACGCAACTTCACCGTGGGGTAGGTAGAGCGGGCTTTCCATTGCAATGTTGCCAGTACGAGTTAATGAACTGATCACTTGCGAATATCTGTCACATGTGTCAAATACGTATTGCGATGCCTGGTGCTGACTGTTTCATAGGAATGAAGTCGAAGTGGTGCAGACGATGACAGCCATTCGCTAGACCTGTTTCGGAATTTATAATCCCCTGACCAATCAGGGAAAGATGGATAGGGTCGAATCTGCATGTTTCGTATCTGGATGACAACTGCTGTGAACGAGAAAAGCCAACTCGATAACTGTCTACTTGATCCTATACATTAACTATGTTGCATTTTGCGAGAAGCCCATGGTACACATGTAGTATAAAACTGATCTTCCTTGGAGCATTGTTCGAGAACATATCGTCTGAGAATAGAATAGCTTCAATCCAACCATGATAATAACGAACAATCTGGAGCGTGTAAGATACTGTTCTGAAGTGCTAGGATCAAAGTTGTAGACTGAAACAAACAGCAGTGACGACTCGCCTGATCTAGCCGGTTCTTTGGACTGGCTTCACTGAGGCTTCCAGTTGTAGATTTGTTTCGTGTGTGATTGCAGGACAAGGCTATTCTTCTGCTGTTGGGTATATCTTAATGCGGCAGGTCTTTGTTGTCCTTCGAACAAGAGCGAAGATATTCTCTTGAGCCAAGTATCAAAGGTTGCCTTGGGCTTGTACAAAGAAAACAAGGTACACAATGGACGACTCGCTCCTACGCAGCTGGGTCGTGATTTCCAGCCTGAGATTCTTGAATAAATATGCCAAAATTATTTGACTTGGTCTGTACAATTCAGTAAAGCATTTCAGCTAGGTTCCCCTCCCGTGTCTTTCATGTCCAACTGTCCCTTAACCGTCGCCGCTGCCGAAAAGAAAGAAACCCAATGTCTCTCAGTGGGGCGTCATCGGACGGGTCATCGGATGATTCCTACTGCGGTGATGTAGAAACTAATGACAACACATCCCCAACTGGATCGGAGTTCCAAGACGTCGACTCGCAACCAAATAAAGGAAATACGTTCGAACCGCTTGGCGAGTATCTGGCGACACAATACGAAGATATTGAACTCTATAGACCCGGAGGCTTACACCCAATCCACATTGGGGATTATCTTGACGCGGACCAGAACTTCGAAGTGCTACATAAGCTTGGGTTTGGTTCATCGTCAACTGTATGGCTCTGCTTCGATCACTACTCGCGCTACTACCGAGCCGTCAAGGTCTTTACCGCCGATACATCGACCTTGCGGTGGTACGATAACCCCCAAGTCCAAGCTCTGGCCGACCGGACCGTGGACGAAGCTCTGCCTCATACCATCGTTACTCCCCTCAAGAAGTTCTGGGTCAAGGGACACAACGGGAAGCATCTTTGCTTGGTGTTGCCTGTCCTCGGACCGAATCTCCTGGATGGACTTGAAGGAGCAGGATTGGATACTCCCGACTACCTCCAAGATCTCTGCCGCAGTCTCGCGGGCACAGTAAATTATCTCCACCAAAACGGTGTCATTCACGGTGACATTCGCCCCCAAAAGATCATGAGGGTCTTGGCGAGCCAGTGGATGTGGACGGTTTCGCGCAGAGACCTCTTTGGGCGGTATATTCCCAAGCCCGAATCGCGAAAGCTGAAACCGCTTATTCGCAGCTTTGCCCACGACGGGCCCCGGTACCTAGTGTCCAGGGCTGACCTCGGCGCGCTCGAGCGCGAATTCCGGACGAACAGGATAGCCATTGCGGATTTCGGCCGGGTGAGCCAGTCCTCGGATCTACTTGAACCGACACAAGTGCACTGTACCGGCTATAGCGCGCCTGAAGTTAGGCTAAAGGGTATTGCTGCTGGCGCTGCGAGTGACGTTTGGTCCCTGGCAGCGTGCCTTCATATTGTGCGCACTGGCAGAGAGCTACTGGCCGATATGAACTCCGATACAGCATACCTTGGTTGGCTCACCTGGGTCTTCGGTCCCGGCTTAACTTTACCTATTAATAATATTAGGGGTCTTCTCGCCCGGGATGGCACTACCCTCGTCGAGAGTAATGGTCGGGAGGAAGAGGAAGTACACAGGTGGTTGGACAGACGTGACAAGCCGGTGTCGAGATATAGGAGGGCAGACTCCAAGCGGACATTTAAGAGGGCCGAAAGGACCGCGATCAAGTCGCCAATTTCTAAGAGCAATGGCAGCACTGATCTGGACTTGGACGAGGAAGAAGTCGATGGTGACAGCGAGGCGTCTTCTCAGTCGGACACGAGCTCCGATGGCTCCGATAACTCTTTTGTAAACAGCCGCAGGAGATCAAGGACAAGGACACCACCGGTCAAGCCACGTCCCGAGGTCATATTGCCCACTACTTATGCCGAATGGGACTTGCTGCGGGAGGAACACGCACAACGAACGGGATTTCCGACTCTCTTGGACAAGTCTATTGGATCTACTGAGACTTGGCACGAGATGTCTGAATCAATGAGGTCCCGGGGTCTGCTGTCTTCAGGTATAATGCGGATGCGGCCCGGATCACGGGAATCCACTTCATCTTCCCACGACGAAAGATCCGAGAAGACTACATCTCGGTCCAGGTCGAGATCCCGACCGCCCTCAGAGGCACCCCCAGAGCTTAGGCGAAGTCCCCGGATTAAGCGTCCGGCCGACGACGAAGATACAAGCTGCAGCTGCAGCGTCAAAAAACAGAGGGCCGAAGAAAAGTCAGCCATTGTGGTGCCCAAGATTGATGAAAGGGACCAAGTTTCCTGCAGCGAGACGGCGGATGGAATGATCGAGTATGTCTACAAAATGCAGAGTTCCGAAGTAGCTTTATTTGCGGATCTTCTCATGAACATGTTGATGCCGGATCCGAAGCGGCGTTTTACGGCCAAGCAGGCACTAAAGCACCCATGGTTCAAAAAGAGGAACGGCAATTCAGCAATCACGGCCTCAGTGGAGGCAAACACGGATCAAGTCTGAGATATATTCAGCTATACTAGACGAGTAGTTTCTTCTTGTATTCTTGACAAGAATATTTAGGGTGCAGCGGTAGGACGGAATCGCCATGAATGAAACCGTCATTTTCTCTCAACACGGGTCGCTTTGTAACTGAACTTGGCTCATACTGTATGGGGCGGAGTTGGATAAAAAGTATTATTGAAAAAGCCTAATGCGAGTAACCCAACGTCCAATTCCTTTTTATTATGTCAGACAATCCATCCCACAACATGGGATCGGACATGTGAAATCTCACGTAAAGGCCCAAGATTGGCACGTCCATATTCGTAACTAATATCAGCCCGCATGTCAGATGGATATTCCAGTATTCAGTTCAAGGCTGCCACATTCTGCACACGTTCTAGTTTTTTTTTTTTTTTTTTTTTGAAATAGCCAAGACCGTGCTATGCCCGGCATAACTTCCATGTATCGTGCATCAATGTACGTGTATCCGGGGAAAAGTACCTTTCTCGGTTTGGCGCCCAACCATTTTTTATCCCCGAGTATGCGGCGTTGTGATGGCTGCTCCGAGGAGGTCTTGAAATGAGGCTCTGTTTTCGCATCATCGGCTGGCTCTGTCAATCAAGTTCAAGGCGATCTTCACTGCATGTACTGAAGAGGCGCAGTTAGTCTGCCAAGATGGGGAAGAGAGGGGACAGGACGTCATTGAGAAAGGGCGTCATGGGAACTTTTTTTCACTATCTCTTTTTCTTTATTTTAACTGGGCAAAGGAACACCCCCCCGTTCTTGTCCTGTGTGAACCGGGGGTAGAGCCTTGCGGGAAAAAAAAATGCCATGAAAAGATTGGAGAATAACCTTGCAGACGGCGGCAATATGAAGAAAAATAGCCAAAGCAACGAAAAGAGTCGTATACCCAGTTAAAAACCAAGCATGTTTTTCTTCTACGAAGAAAGACTTGTCGTGAGGCTGCTTTCGCAATGGTGAGGCTATTCCACTCTTTCTTCTCCCTCCCTTCCTTGTTGCTGCTACCCAACACGGGTGATACTCGACATTACTTGACATAGTACACTATTTATACTTGTTACAAACACCATAATATTGAAGAATAGATACACGTCCGTTTCGAAAAAAGGCTCTCGAGTACATGCAAAGCAGGGGTCCCCCGAAAAAGAATCGGCAACAGAAAGAAAGAAGCCCCAGCCTGGCAGGGCCAGGTAAGACACGCAGGTGGTGCAAGCCTGCAAGGCTCTCTTCTGGGCTTGATTGCTGACCCAATAGTCCCGAGCATGTGGCACCCTTTTCTTCTTTCTTTTCAGCCGCATAGCGAGAGTTACTAATTGTAGGCGGGCCGGAAACAACCCCCCTCCCCATACTCTTGTGTGTGCGTGTGTGAGCCCGAGATAAAAGATGCAGGCGGAAAATAGAATACTTCCATGGCCCCCCTCCCTCCTCCGGGGGGGTTTTTGGTATGATTATGCACGATGCAAAATAGGCAGATTGAGTCACAGCCACAGACCCAGTGGGAAGGAAGATCAGCATTGCAGGAGCTCCCAAGCACTGGGCAAGGGAATGGATCTCATCCCATGGTACTTGATGTGTGATGAACATGTCGCGGAGGCCATTCAAGGCCCCTCCGCCCTTTGAAGAAGATTGGCAGAAGAGGTATCATTATGGTACAAGATTTAGTAAAGAACAAGTATCATTGAACATTGCCTACAAGAATATCCGGACCTTTTGAAGGAAAATCCTCCTGTTTGTACTTGAGTGGGTAGCTGTGATGAACCGTGTAACGCCGAAGGTCAGAGGAGAGCTTTCAGAGGTTTGGCTGTACTAGATGGGCAAACCAGGTATCCACCAACTCCTGCCGTTCTCCATGCTGATCTGTTGACTCCAATCCACTTATTGAGCTGCCATTGTGCCTGTCGCGAGAGATTTGTTTCCAGCTTTTCCGATGGCCATGGTCCCATTAGAAAACCACCGCCATGGTGTATCATTCGTTTCCCGGCGTTGGAGATCTCTCGCTCGAATCCTGGTATCGGGCCTCCTCCTCTTCCTCGTCCTCCTTCTCATACTCATCGCTCGCGTCTGCTGGAAATTCCATCATTGGCGTGTTTGTCGGCGCTTGCGAGACATTCCAGCCTGCTGTTGATGTTGTTGTCTCTGCAGCAGTGTACGTCGGTGATACTTGGTAGTTTGGGTACCACTGCTCTTGACCCATGGAGTTTGAATTCATTGTCGACTGATGGCCATAATTCGGAGTCATCATCGGTTGACCGTAGCTAATCAAGATCAGTCAGATCAATAAACCTTTTTTTCCTTTCTTCCCTCCAATGGGCCAACTCGCTTTGGCTCACTCACCTCGTTGTCTGCGACCAACCAGCCACATTGTAGTATGATGGTTGATTTTGGACCCAGGAACTTTCTCTAGGATTCATCATTGCGTCAGGAGAATTGTAGCTAGTCTGATCAGATGGACCCGGGTTCGAAGGATACTGCTGGTTTGTCGCCTCGTTCCGTGGTGGTTCTTCGCCGGGGCTATTGCGAGATTTGTTCTCGCGCGGCTTGTACTTTGTCATGCCCCATTCATCGAGTTTCTTTCTATAGGCACGCACTCTTTTCCCCAACCCCGTGTCAGCAGCAGTACAGCAGGTCTTTTGGGAGAACTAGGTTTTCCGGGAGGAGCTTCTCACGATGCAATGAATCCGTTTTCTCTCTGCATGGTCTCGCGAACAGTCTTGAGAGTATGCTTGGCGTAAAGTTCCCTGATTTTAGCCTCGTGTTCATCCCATGGTTTCGTCATCTTGTTTCTCTGGATCAAAACGATTTCTCGATTCGTGGAAATGACTTCTTGTTCCTTCCGTTGGCTCATGTAAATATGGCACGGCAAGGTCGAGAGCAAGCTTGCAACGATAGAGATAGGAACAAGGCTAAGTTGCTTGCGGCGTGACTTGATCTGGAGTCTGAATCACTTTCTGGAAGCCTCGCGTCAGGCGCAGCATAGATATATCATCCTCAGCAGCCGGGCTCGAGGCTCTCACCATAAGAGTTGTTAACAAGACGTTGATCATAGCATGCATGCCGAGTCGCTTTGAATAACAATAGCAACCAGGAAGGCTGGCTAGGCCGGCCGCTGCATGTCCATTTTTGTGTCGGCAGTTCGTATAATAGCCACTGCTTTGCCTAGGTATGGAGATGCAGCCGAAGGTTGCACCCCCCTACATGAGGATGAACTCAAGCAGTGGCAGACTGCTTTGTGAATGAAAGTTGATGGGAGCCTCATCGGCAAGTAGCTGAAATTGGCATACTCGCAAATCCGTAAAGGGGTACCATTATAGTCGTCCAGAAGGATCAAATTTCGGTATGATGCTTCTCAATGCAAATAAGACTGCCTTGCAAAACCACCCCAGCCCTAGAAAGTGCACTTTTGTTTCAATGGCCACTTAGAACAAGTATCCAGGCCCACAGCCACTCTGTATCGTCCCTCATGGAACATAACCGGGCTTGCCGCCTACTCCTTTTCGTTTGAGAGAGCTACCCTACGAACCATAGGCGGGTCCGGGCGTTTTCATTGCATCCCTCACAACTGGCTTGGTCCATTTCTTGATTGGCTTCTACGTCACCAGTACCGAATCCCAAGAAGACTTGCCGTTGGCAGACACATGGCCAAATGTCCCCTGCAGCTCCTCTCCATCACGATGTTTTGGTCTTCGGAACAGCCGGCCGTGATTGGCAAATGGTAAGTATGGAAGCCCATGATGATGTTGCGAGGTTTCCTTCCATTTTGGGGCCTGAAGTTTGGCTGAACTTGCTGCTGACGTATGCAATCATCTCATACTACCCTTACCCAAACATTGCCTGACGGCCATACTGAATACGGTACATATGGTAAGACTGCTCCACAATCAATCAATGAAGACAGCATAGCCACCCCCAGTATACCGAATTGGTGACTGACTGGCTGTATTATGTCAGAAGAGAGTCAGGGACGTTTATAGTGTGCATACTTGTAAGGAGCACGGGCAGAGGAGAACTTTTTCTTTTTTTGAAATGAATTGATTGGATATCGAAAAAGTGCAGTTGAAGTTGTAAGGAAACGAAACCAAAAAGCTCAGCGCAGGCCAACAAAAACGTCCGTGTGCTGATCGCTCAAGAATGGTATGCCATAATATCCTGCCTTGACTGTAGTGTGTATCTTTGCTTCATTAAATGGAGTCGCGGGTGAGCCTCCGCGCCTTCTCCCGCTCCCATACCTGCACAAGGGAGCTCTTTCGTCTCGATATGGCCGACGCACTGTACCTCTAGGCAGCCGTCTTGGGCTCGGCCTTGGTGTCTATGGTGCCACTCCGACTGAGAGGAGACGGGGTGGCGGGCGAACTTGCGCCTCCGCTGCCCGTAACGCCTGCCTCCTGTTCCTTGAGCGCAGCAGCCTCGGTCTTTTCGGTGCTGGGCGAAGTAGCATCATTAGCCACAACTGGAGAAGCTGGCGTGCTCTCATAGGCTGCACCTGTGGCGCCTGCTGCAGCGCTGATGGCTTCGAACCACCGCTGAGCTTCGGCAGGGCTGTGCGCCTTGAAGGCCAGCTCCGACGTTCCGGCCAGCTTGCTGCCGATACCCTTGGCCTTGTCCTTACCCTTGACATTGAATTTCTCTCCGCTGGGGGTTCCGACCACGGCGTCCGGAAGATAGATGGACAGCTCGGGCTTGGGGTCATTGGCAAAGTTGTCGTCGTCCTTGAACTCGTGTAGGAACTTTGACGGGGTGACAACATAGTAGCCAGTCTGCGTACCCCAGGAGAGCTTGTTTCGCGACTTGCGTTCCAGCGAACCCTCAATCAGAGCCTTGGTAGAGTTGTGGTTCTGATTGGGGAAATTAATGGCGTCCACGCTTCGTGGCGGGTCGTTGGGGTTGACGAGATTAGCGCCTTCACGGTGGAGGAATCCCTTCCATTCGAAATCGGGCGGGATGCGCTGAGCAGCACCAAGCATGTCGGCATAGAGCGCGCGCGTCTTCTCGGCTTGGCCTCCGGCCACAGCATTGAAGGCTTCCATTGCCTGCTGCACAACCTGTATCACATGGGCCTCGAAAGCTTGAAAGTTTTCCTGCACATGGATCAGGTCGTTGCGGTGGTTGTTCTCCTCAATGACCTGTTTGTTCAGTCGGTGATAGACGCCGCGCTGAATAACATAGGGATCTTCGGTCGGGTTCATCTTGCCACCAGTCGACTCAAAGGACGCACTGTGCTGTCCTAGCAACTCAATGTGTTTCTGAGTGGTGTTTCGGGCCTTCTCAACCTCCTTTGCACTCTTGCCGGCACCATGCTCAACTTCCTTAGCCTTGGCCTTGATCTCCTTGTGCAGTCTCTCGAGGATGGGGAGGACGGTTCCCTTGAGGGTCTTTTCGGTTTCGGTGTTGGAGTTGATCATGGCCTGTGTGTTGACTCGCATGTTCTCAAAAAAGCCAGCAACACCACCCAGGCCCTGGTCGAAATGCCTGCCCTCCTTAAGTGGCTGGGAGATCGTCTTGAGAACTTTCTCGTACTCCTTGGAGTGGTGGGCGTGGGCTTTCTCGACAGCAGTGACGTAGCTCTCGAGGTATCCTACGGAGTGCTTCCAGGCCTGGAGTCGTTCGGCCAGGAGACCGGCAGTCTGCGATTATGGAGGACATCAGGACAGTGCCACAAAGCAATACACCCAACACCGAGACTTGCACTTACAGTTGAAGGGTCAAACTCGGGGACAGCCGAGTCAGTGCTTGCCATGCTGCTCATGGTTGTGCCATGTCGCAATGGCATCTCCTTGGTGTCTGCACTCATGATTGCAATTTTGTGGTAATGTTAACCGGGGGGGAAATGGGCGTAAATGGGTTCAGCGTAAGAATGTATGATATTAATTTGGATTCTCTCGAATCGCGGTACTATGGTGATGCAGGTGGAAGGGTTGCGACGACTAGGACTCTAGGAGAGTGCCGAGTATATAAAAGGGAGGACGGCCCGGGTATTCTGTTGGAACGTCGGGTGTGTGCCAGCCAACAGTGTGTGTGTGCGCTCACTGTGTCTCAAAAGGAGGTAAAGTAGTATCGTGAAGTGACGAGGGGTCTTAGAGTTCGAGGGCACTTTAGCTAGGTGGATCCCTGCCGGCGATCTAAAATGACTGGAGATCTGGGACCACCAAGCGGGCAGAAATGGGGAGCTGGTGACGGAAGACCCTGTGGTTTGTGTGCGTGGCGTCGGTCCAGCAGTGGGAAAATACCAGTTTGACAGGCCGGCACTTTGCCTCAAATTGAATTAGAGCACATAAATAGAGGGAAGAAGGGAGTCGATTGATAGGTGCGCTGGTCAATATTGAGGTCATACACTCGATTCTTGTCTAGATGATTACACAAACCAGAAGCAGGGCAGTTCAGCTTTTAGGTCATTCAACTCCCCTTTGTGTTTCTTTCTAACCGCCCAAATGGAAACTCGTCCAGAGCCTGGAGCGCAACGGCGCCGCCCGCTACGGCAGGACACAAGGAACAGCAAAAGAAAGCGCGAAAGAAAATGACGTCAGGCGCTGGCTCGAATCTACCCCACGTGTTGGTCCTATCTTTTATCCAAGGGGCGTTATCGGCCTGCAACCAACCATCCTTTCAATGCGGAATAGACTGAGATGATTCTGCCTTGATCGGTGCAAACCAGTCGCTTGCATCTACGCCATTTGACGCATGGCGCAACCTTAAGATATTTCCTGGATTCGAGAGGTAGCTAACAGCGGCGGCCTCCTTCGCTCACAAATGCTGCAGTCCGTCAAATAAAGACAACCATATCAAGTTGGCCTCAGCCAATCCCAAGCAAAGTGACCAGTTGACCTAAGAGATGAGATGTAGTAGTATTGACCTCTTTTGTGTGGCCAGCTGTATTCTAATGTAACCAAAGGGGGTATATTTGCAATAAAAAAATGCGCACCGACTGTCCCAGCTCCAAACCGACAGTCCATCATCTATTGTTCATGGTGCATCCACCCGCTGGAACGCGTTTGGGGGTTCAAGAATCCCATTATTCCAATAACCATCCATATATCCGACTGTAGTGCTGCACCTGGATAACTAATTCAGGTATAAACGCCTGCCATGCTAATGTAAAGTTCCATCTCTCTACTCCTAATTTCAAGAACGCCGTTTCATCGGGTTCATACACCCAATGTATTATGCAATGTAGTTCGTCGCAACTTGCCATTATATAAGAGGTAGTTGCCCCCCAATGGGCGTGTGCCAAATCAGTGCCCGTGTCTTTGCTGTGTCAAGCGCAGATGACGTTCACCATGACTGTCACCAGGGTTTGAGCGGTGCAAAAAGTTGAATCCCAGAGAGGAGTGGCTTCGTCGGTTAGACGAGTTGCTGCGCGAATGGCTTCTTGTTCCCGGCTCAGTGGCTGTTCCTGCCGTGCTCGGGTCGTGGCGATCTCCTCCCGCAATGGTTCCCTCTGTGATGGTCGCCAACGGATCATGGAGTTCGTGATATGGCGTCCTGCTTGGAGATGTGGGCGCACTCATGGCCGAGAGGTAATCGGGCAGGGCCAAGGATCCTGTAAAGCTCGGCGTCCTTGGGAGCGGCGTCCTGGTAGCGGTCGTATAGCTGGGAACCTTGCTTAGTTCGGACATGTCTACCTCCAGATGTTCTGGGGGTGTGCTGTGTCCCGAGACACCGCCAGAGTGCTCTTCTGCACTAGTTTGGCGAGACAACTCGGTCGAGTGTGGTTGCGAGGATTCTGCCGTTTGTTCACCGTCATTGAGCTGCAGGTAGGGTGTCGCCGTACCAGAATGCGGCTGCGAATGCGGCTGGGATCCCACCGAAGTAAAGGATGTGTTCCTCCGCGATGGATCCAGTGACACGTTCTGAAGTCTCGAGCTAAGAGCTGCCGGTGTCACTGCGCCGTTTGCGAGTGCAGCCAGGTTCTCCGAAGAGCCAGCACGAGACTGAGAATAAAAGGGACTGGCAAATCCACTCTGGAGACCGCTGTAGATGCCGCCAGGAGTCATCATGCCGGGTGTCATGATACCACTGGGGTCAACATCGTCGTAGAGCTGGTCTAGAACATGCATGCCGTACCCTGGCGGAGCCATGTTGCTGCTTTCAGCATCTGCCCTTCGCTCGTTGGACTCTGTCGATTCCTGAGAAATAAGATTGCCATCGTCGTCAAGCGGCATGTTGGGAGAGATGAAGATGGTCACGGGTAGAGTGGCTCTCAGCTGTCGAGGGGCAGTTAGCGCGTGCGCAGTGAGTGCATGGAAAAGACGGATCCAAATCTTACCTCGGAAATGTGACCATCAGGGTTCTTGAGTGCAACTGTGAGCTTGACCTTGTGGCGAACCTTGATTCCATGAACGTGGCAGTCTTGCAGGCACTTTGTCAACTTCTTCGGCAGAGGGAGCTCCTTGTTGACAGCCCATCCATCCTGGCCAGTTTCGTCGATGTTGTCGTTCCAGCTCTCCTCTCGGTTGACTTCAAACGACCAAGTGCACACCTCTCGTTCTGTCTTGTGAGTCTTTGAAGTCGTCCCGGGGTTTGATACACTGAACTCCTGCGTCTCGAGGAGTTTGACGGTGATCTCACCCATGTCCAAGCCCTTGAGGAGGGGCGTGAATCTCATCTCCAACGGAACGGTGCTGCCAAAAACGAGGGCCTTTTGTGGAATGACCACAGAGTATTCAATCTTGTTGGGCCAGATATTCTCTACACTCATGGCATGGTTGAATTCCAAGGCGGTCGGGTCCAGAGTACGAATGACTCTGACGCGCTTGTATGCATGGTGATTCTTGGCCAATTTTCCTCGAGAGACAGTCGCCTTCAAGACGTAGCTGATATTGGTCTGATACAGGCCCTCGACGCTTTCTGCCGTGTCGCCGGGAAGCAAAAGTTCGAATGGCCACTCGTAGTTTCCGGCAGCGAGAATCTGGCCATGGGACTGCGGTCCACCAATGAAGGGATTCCAACTGTGCTTCAATATAGTAGTTGTCTTGTCGACCTTCTGGTTGTGAATTCCGGTGGGGGTCTGTTTCGCCTCTATCCAGGCAATTCGGCAGTTTCCTAGAAGTCTGAGGTGAACATCCTCAACCCTTAGTGGTTCCCTGAGACAAAGCACCACGTTTCCCTTGAGGAGCTGACCGGCAGCCTCGTGTTCGTTGCCCCGGAAAACGATAAAGTCATTCTCGAGCCTGCGAGGTAGAATTGTCTTGTTAGCTTAAAAGTTGCGCATGCATACGTCAGAGCTTGTATATAAGTGGGAGAGAGAGACCCACCGGATTTCAAAAAGCGTGCAGGAATGGCGATGGCCGCCAGTGAAGGGAATAAAGGACGGCATGTTTGATTACTGCCCAAAGGCAAAACTGTCAAGATGCCTGAGCAGACTGTGATGGTTGGGAGCGTCGGCGCAGACTAAAGACGCAATTGTGCGCCGATCAGATCTGGGGAGGTGAAAGCGGTAATTATGTAGTAGGTAGTAGTAAGATGATGGGCAGTGTTGGTGTGGCTATGTCATATGAATCAGAGTCGCCTGGTAAGCGAAACTGATCGCAAAGCGACGACAACAATTGCAAAGCTATACTAGCAAGGAATAGAGAGAAGAGGGAAGAGAAAGAGACGACAGGAACAGTCCCGTGTGGGACCACGATAGTTTTATCTACCTACGACTGACTGACGACTACTAACAGTTACGAGTGACTACCCGCCAGGCCCAAGCATCGATACGTGAACCCTGAATGGTGACTGACCTGACTGACCGACCCTGGGCTGCTGATGAGTGAATACCTACTACTTACTACCTGGGTTAGGTACATTGGTAGGAGCCAGGCGGCGGGAGCGGCGAAAATGAATCGCTGGAACATTGCACCGGCCGTAATCGCACGAGAGAGAGAGGTGAAGTACCTGCCAAGAATCTTGCCAAAGCCACAAGGCCCAGAGCGATTTTACCATGTTGCAAGGGCCCGCCCATCACAGCGGAAAGAGGTAACAAACCAGAAACCAACAAGCAGGAAAAAATAATCATAGACTAATAAACGGAAAGCCCAATCGTAGTGGAGTCGCCAAAGTACAATGTATCTCTCTCTCTGTGTGCATGTGGGCAGGTGGGTTACCAGAGTGAAAGGTTCAGGCATCTGGCATTCTTGTTTCTCGCAAATGCTCCCTCCCAGTGGATCGCTCATCCCGTTCAGAGTTTTGATGGTGGGGGGCAGGTTCGAGTTTTCCTTTTTACCGTAATGTACCGACAGACGTGCGCAGCTCCTATAAAAGTACATACCCCTGCTACCCTTGTTGCCAGCCCGCCCGAGCCCAGGGGAAATATTCGGCAGCAGCCTGCAAGAGGGACCATTGGGAGGGGCCACCTGAACAACAAACAGCAAGCAGTTGTGCGCTGCGTGACTCGTGCGAGCTAGCGGCGAACATGTAACAAATTTCAGACAGATTTACAACCCCCCATCAACACCCCCCCAGTCTTATTCCCGTTTGGTCCCGATGATAAGAGAACACAGCTTACAGCTCATATTTATTATAAAGTATATATCCACTATATCAGGAGGGAACAACATACGAGCGGCTGTCGATCCGGGTTGCCTTGTCTGGCACGGGTAGGCGGCTGATGAGAGACAAAAAGCGACTGACTAATATGTCTCGCGGCTACACTAGTACGTATACGCCTCGATGCATGTCTTACAGCAGCAGCAGCAGCAGCAGCAGCACACATCGCCGCTCAGAAACAGTGCAACGTTGAGCAATATGCTTATTAGTCTGATTGTTTTTACAACTGTATATGGCTCGTCTAGACTTGACTGGCCTATCACTAGCGAATCGTATTCACCATGACCCTGGATAAAGTACGACATGTGCCAGAAACGCCGGCACTACTAGTGTTGTTGCCCATATGTATGTCAGATTTGCAGATTTACATATTCCATATATCTCATAAGGCAGGCGCCAGTTGCCTCAAGGTTCGACTAAGAACTGGTAGTCTGAAACTTCCTTCTGCCCGTCTGATGTAATTGATTGCAAAACATCTACTGTTGGCCATTATCAAAACAACTGCAGCTCCTTTTACATTCCATCCAAGCGGCAAGCCAACAGCCACAAGGTCCAATTTTTTTCTTCTCTCTCGGCGAGTACAAATGCGCCATGTACTGTATATTTGCAACTCTATTCTTGACTCATCGATGGTAATTCACCAATGCCACTCCCTATAGTATGCATCAAGATTATAGAGTACATATGTAGGTAGAGTGGACGAGGCGCGGCAGCTCTTGACCTACTCCCAGTGAAATTCAAAAGCTAAGTGTATTGCTCTGGCATGGCGGTTCGCGTGATGCACGATTTCGTGTACACACACACGAGGCCAGCACCCTCTGACATGCGGATCCTGCAAGGTTCACCCTTTTTTCAGTGGACAAGAAAGAACATATAAAACGGTTTGGTACATTCCACTAGAGAGTGATCCATTGTACCGTCATGCCATTACGGAGACGGAACATTTCCAGCAAAGTCCCAAGTCCTCAAGATGTCACCCAAGTAAGAGAAGTCTCTCGAGTCTCTCGAGTCTCTCTGCCCAGTGCCGACCGACCAAAAACCCATGCAGCGATCCAAACCTGGTAGTGGAGATACCAAGGACGGGAGCTTGCAGGGATGAGCCACTCGGTCTTGGAAGTCTTGGGTTTCGTGGGACTTCTGCGACCTTCTCATTGCACCATATCCCGTTGCATAGCTTTCTTTCCAATATAGTACCGTCGGATGCCGATCAGAAGGATTCAACTGCAAGCAACACATCCAGGCAGACTCGTGACACGCCATTCCCTCGTCTTCCCAAAGGGGCTGCACATGCCGCTGTGCAGTTGGAAAAGGCCACAGGAGGAAGGCTGCGGCCGAGAGCATCGGCGGCGAATCAATCCACCGGTCGTGTCAAGCCGCGCCGAACGTTGATGCCAGCGAGCCAGCAAAACAGGCAGGGTCCATGCATTGTGCGCGTGGGATGAGATGAGTCGATCGGAACTTATCAGTCCATCGACCGAACGAGGCTTGTGACCCATTTCAGTCCAAGTCCCGAAGGGAAAGGTTTCTGGACTGGTGAGCGCCTCACATATAAGAGCGGGTCCGCGAATAGAGTTGCGTCTGTATGTATGTGTGCCCATATGTGCGTAGGTCTATCATGTACGGCAGCCGCTCGCAATACCGGATGCGACTCTTGCTCGACCCGTCGAACGATCTCGGAACGATTTTCCTGCACGGCCCACGAAAGATTGTCAAGATCGTACATATTATAGCGACCTTCCTTTTCACCGACCTCGACACATGCCGCATAAGCAGTTCCGACTCCAACAACCGTCGACAGAGAAGCAAACACAGTAGTCTTCGCCTATGCTGTGCGCAGCTCCTTGAGACGAACTCCTGGGTTATCTCCCGCTCTCTAATGCGCACTACGTACTATGGTCTACTTCAGCTGCTTACTGGACGGGCACCAAGACATTATGTGTGGGTATATCCACTTCCAGCCAGCCGCTCGTAACTTATCTGGGCCCGCGAGCGAAACGAGCCTCTCTCCTTACATTACCACTACTGTGTACAGACCTCAGGTACCCCAGTTGCCAGTTTCAATGTTGCTCTCAAAGTAATACCTCTCGCTTAGGTACAACTGCAGTACCTCACATCTATTCTCAGAGATGTGCATCCACTCCAGAATTCCGGCTACTTTGTCAACATGACAGCAATAAGTCCCTATGGCTGGCCGTGGTTGAGCCACAACAAGTATCCAAAGATAAGATATCACGAATCAAAAGACAATGCTCTCGCGAGCCATCAAATCCTTAGCAGCACGCTAAGGGATCCCAATGGACGGCTCGTGCTGTATCTTTCCGTGACAAGCTCGCCATTCTTGATCCACTCTGCCAGGGCAATAGATCTTGGCCTTTCTGCAACTGACATCAGTAACCAGCCAAGGACCGATAAGGACGCCCCTCTTCGTATATGTTTCTGGCAGCATGACAACATGACGCAGCAGCTTCCCGCAAGGCAGAGGAGGGCCAGGAGACCAGAGCCTGCTGCATCTGACCCGGTTTGCCTGATTCTTACGAACCGAGCCATGCCATTGAGGGGTGGGCACGAAACGCGCAGCAGAGCCAAGAACCACAAACACTAGGGTTCAGCCCCCTTCTCGATAGTAAGTAGTAATAGTCCTACGAGTATACATGCCAATGTGCGCAAAGATCACCACGCTCCAATATCCGACATTGCCTCGTCCCAAGACAGCAAAATGCTGGGTATATCACATCTGCAGCCCGCGGTTTTACCCGAACAGCAATAAGAGGAAGAAAAAAAAAACCTCAAGGATCATGTACAGTGGAGAACAGTCGAGCCGGGCTTGCGGCGGAGCTTTCACACGGATGGATACCGTTTCAAGCAGGCATTACCGTCAAAGAAACGAGCTGCTCAAGCTCTCGAGAGATTCTAGACCATCGGTTCGCCAGACACGTGGGGTGCGAGAAGGGCCTAAAGGGCTTGTGGAATTCGCTGGTTTGCGCTGCCACCAGCCACTATCGCGTGCACAGGGCTCAGAGACGGCGGGCGATTAGGCGGTAGGTAGGGGTGCGAGAAACTCATATCGGACCGTTCAAGAATTTTTGACGGGGACCTAGAGATTTCACGCATTAGGCCTTTTTCTTCCAACAAAATGGCCAACTAGCTACGGTAGGTACAAGACAAATTTTGCAGGAGACAGTCTTGAGGATCTGCGAACAGAGACAAGGTAATGACGAAATGTCCAACGACTATTCGTTCGTCGTCGTAATAGGAATCGTCGTCCCACTGGTGTATAGGGCCGACTCGACATTTTTCCTTTCGTTTTCTTTCGACAAGCCCAAAAATTATAATTATACGGTGGGAATGCAGGTACATACGTACGTTTCAAGATAACCAACCTAGTACATTGCTACCGTATTAATTCTGTTGTGTCTGCTTATTACGTTCTTAGACCTTGCTTAATCGGGCACTTATCTTCACATGCATTTCTTGATCTGGGCTTCTGAATTTCTTCTAGCGCCGATATCACCGACAAACTCTATTTCCTGAATTTTTTTGGCGTCAAAGATTCGCCAGAGGCAGAGACCGGGGCGGTCATCCCGTGGCGTTGAACTAACGCCCGGCTAAGCGCCTCTCATCAATGAGGAAAAGACCCTTGGACTTATCGGCACCACGCAAGAAAACCCAGCAACACTCACGTTATCTATCATCAGGCACATAACTGTATGTACGTGATTGTGTTCTCCTTGTGACCATATATCGATATTATGTATATGCATGCATATGGTGGGTGTGTTACAAGACGACCCATTTTGTTAATTACTGGATCGTCAGGGGCATCAGATCTCATATGAGAAAATAGCATGATCCTTTTTTTTTTTTTTTAAAAAAATCCTGTCCCGTTCCCACAGATATTAGACTCCTGCAACAATGCTGATCAATGCAAGATGCGTTGGCCAAACAAGAAAAACCAAAAGGTGAAACTCGAAATGTTCATGCCCACCAGGTCTGAGAGCAGAAATGCGTTAAGAGATCCGAGCCGCGTCGTCCATATACTATCCCATCTTCCTATGCGGACATCGCCTCTCGCTGCTTTTCTCCGTCTGATTAGACTGCATTACACCGCTTCGTCAACGGACCTTTTTTTATTCATTAGAATACTTTAGTGATGCTGTCGAGCGCTAAAGCTTTTGGGAACCGAACCCCCCCCGTCACGGTGGATGTAATAAATATTTGCTTTGAGATTACTACCGTATAATCATGGTCGCTCAAGCCCACGTCCAGCCCAGTCCAGCCACGGACCTTTTGTGAAATAAGGAGGCGAGCAAGAAATCCCCCTTGGATTTCTTACTTACTGCCAAAGCCCAATTGATATCTTGGGAGCGCCCATAATGGAAACACATTTTCTCTCGTATCCCCCAACAAATTGAACATATTGACCATAGGGGAGAGGGGGAGAGAGAAAGACAAGCCTGAGCCACTTTCATCACTGTCATCACTCTCAAAAGCACGGCACGCCATGTCGACGATGCTTCTTCCATCTTGACACTAGGACAGTTTAACGCATATCTGTGGGACTCGTTCAAAAAAAGCAGAGGGGAAAAAAAAAAAAGATGGCCAAGGTACTAAACTTCCGGGCCGATTTCTCTAGCCTCCGTGTCACAGATACCCGACCATTGTCTTTGCACCATTGGCCCAGAAGAAACAGTTTCACTCTCGACTCCCGGGTGCTGGGCTCCGTAATCCGTCTTACAAAACGGGCGGTGATGATGATCTCTGTCCTGATGACTAACCGAGTCCACAAATGGGCGTGCGGTCGTAATCCACGCGCATATAGGGCTGTGTGATCTTTAGTGCACTTACTGGGAGCATACCTAGCAGGTACTCGTTCCGTAAAAAGATGCCGCTCAGATCAATATTGACTCATGACATTCAAGCATTACATATCGTGACCAATACCGCGTGCCGCCCGGCACCAACCCAACGAGAAACACAATCAACAACATAATATGTGCCAAAACGGTGGTTGGGCCACACCCAAAAAAAATATAGTATTGTGCCTTTGGGTATTTGTTATGTCATCAGGCTCCGAAGCGCGGTGTTTCTGTACTAGGTTGTATCGTTCCACTTACCGCCGGGCCAAAGACGTTGCTTGGATAATAATACACTTATTTCTGAGAATTCACAGTGTACCGTCTCCTCTCCCTAGCTTCCACTTCCAAAAGGTTTGTGGTTTTATTACCATCCTCCCAATGAAAGCCTTCTATCATTAATCGGCTGAGCGAAGTTCGCTCCATTATCTCGAACCTCGATTCGCACAATTTCCTCTTCTTTAAACATACGCGATCCACAAGGGATGAGCGAATGTCGAGCAATAAAATGGTTGCGTCGTTCCAAGATACAGTCACATCCCCTTCTCAGGATCCGGTGTTGTCAGAAGGCCTAGTCCAAGTTCGAACATGACCTATCGCAGTTGTCAGTAAGCACTTTCGCTTTTGTGATACAATGCAAGACTGTTGGGTTGCCTACCAGTCTTGGAGCTGGTCAATATAGCATCCGCAGTAAAAGTCAGCCAGCAAAGAGGGTCCTTATCCGCTTTCTTTGTGAGCACTGGGGGAAGGATTGGAACGCGACCCCTTGGTTCGACAGTGTGGTTGATGGCGCCGTCTTCCTCATCACCGTCTCCTGTCAACGCTGAGTTGGATCTCAGCCTAGATACCGAGGTGCCTTGAGTATCAGCACGGTGCAAACCGGTGACGCGGGACGAGATGGAATTTCGTTGTCTGACGGAAGTCTGGGGTATGTCATATCAGCACCATGTTCAAAGAAAGAAGATTGAGTTCAAAAGACTCACAGCCTTGGGAGTGTGCAACATTCCCACGTTGAAATCCCACAGGCACAGTTTGCAGTCCTCGCCAACACTGCCAAAGCGGTAATTTCTCTCGTCGCATCTCCATGGGTCAAAAGCCACTGATGTAACCCACGAACCGTGGCCTTGGCATCGTGCTATGATTGAACCATCCGAGGGACACCAGATGGATATCAAATCGTCTTGGCCGCCCGTCAAGACGTATTTTCCATCAGGCGACCAGCAAACACAGATGAAACCGCCGTAATATGCTGGGAACAAGCTCAAAAGCCTAGTACAAAATGTCAGATACGAGGCCAAAGGGTACAAACGTCACGGTCTACTTACTTTTCATCCAGATAGTCGATGATGCGAAGTGTTCCGTCCTCTTGTACTACTGCCAGATGTCTGTTATCTGGCGAGAAGGAGTATGCGTTGATCCGCTGGTGAGAAAGTTTCCAGACGGCGACAGGATTGACCTTTTGATTCTTGGAATGTACCGACTTCTGGACTTGCATACGCTTGGAGAACTCGACCCGGGTTTCACCTTCTACCTCAGGTGACTGCTCTTCCTCTGGATTGAAGTTGGCATCTTCTTTCTCTTTGTCATATACTACTAATGACCCATCCATATGTGCTGCGAGAAACAAGTTCTCGGCACCTGGAATCCACCGAATCTGAGATACGGGCGTCTTGTTTATCACACCCTATAATATGAGGCATGTCAGCAACGAATCTCGGGAGAGCGAACCACAGTATCCTACATTCTTGTTCAGTCTGGTGTATCTTTGTGATATGGGCTCCCACCAGATGATTTCTCCTGTCGAGAAACCCATGATAACGTCCAAGTGTCCGGTTGCCTTGGTGACCTGGTTCACGTCATGACTAAGGCAATGTGCTTTGGTGAACAAGATCTTTGTCAGGTAGTCTGATTTCGAGGGCGATGACAAATCTAGCCATTGAAATGCACGATTAATGTTGGCGAATGCAAAAACGCCGTCAATTGATCTTTCCTGCAGCTTCTTGGAAAGAGTCTCATTGATGATGACGCGTGAGATAAACGACGAGTTACTCTTAGTCATGTTGTTCTTGGGCTTTCGCCTCTTATTCAGGTCCTTTGTTTTCTCAGGCGCAAGTAGAGTGTTACCTTCTCCGAAAGCCGGCGCCGATACTGCATTCAGTGACGCCGGTGCGTCGCTCAGCGATGTTCCTCGGCCTTCGCCATCGCTGCTTAGCTTGGCATCATTCGAGTATCGTCCTTCGCTCGGGTGCTCAGCAATGCTGGTGGATAGGGCGCTTGCTGAAGGATGGCGGAAAAAGGTCGGCGGCGGAGCCTTTGTCTCAAGACTGATCAGTGATATACGTGTTCCAGCTGTCGCTGGCTGCGGTGTGGTGGCCAATGGGTTCGGGTTCACGATGGGCGCTTCGGAGGGATGCGGCGGTGGTGTCGCAAGGTGGAGATCTTCCTTCAGCACATAGGTACCCTCGCCAGCTTGGAAAGAGTCTTCGGGTGTGGAGAGTACATTGTTCGTCTCTATCATGGGGGTCGCATGACCAGCAGCAATGGCGGCATTGTAGGCCGCCTGTGTTGGGTAGCGCGGCGGAGGTGGAAGAACGCTGGGTTTGTCTTTGTCAATGACTGTTGCTGGTTGCGGCGTGGAGTCACGGGTGTATCCTTGATTGACTTACAACATGATGAGGAAAGGTGCTCTAATCCAATGAGTAATCTGTAAGGAAAACAAGGCCCAATCAGTTGTGGTAGATATCCAAACCACTATGTTCTTGGACCACACGACAATGTTGATTAGATCAGACCTCGGCCATTGAGGAGCGCGAGTGGAACGTGGGGCCGATCTGATGTAGGTACTCGGTACTGTCTAGTGTTGCGAATCTACCTTGTCAGTATGAGGCGTTCGGCGACTTGATCAATTGCAGTCGCAAATGGCGTTGTGTAGTGAAGAAGCGAGTGCCCAAGAAGCGGAGGATGATGAGGAGAAGGAGCAGAAGGCGGAGGCATTTGCGACAAGTAGAAGAAAGCGAAGCCCTTGCAATACGACAAGGTCAAGGTCCAGGTCCGGGAAGGCTGATGTTGAAAGGTCCCTGCTTTCTCTTCCCGTGGTTCACCAGACGAGTCCAGCACGCGGGTGTCCTGGGATTCGCCGGGATGCACCAATGATAATGGATCTGAACAGGGGTGAATGCAGCAGCTTGAAGTGCTTGGGAACTGCTGAGTGTGGGGTATGACGAGGGGAGCTCTGGGAAAGTTGGGGCAGGTGTCCGGGCTCTCGGTGCTGTAGCCGACACTACTTGCACCATCCTGTTATGTGATTAGGTACAGCAAGATTGCAATTGATGCACTGCATTTAAACAACAACCCTTGTGCATGAGACAATGTAAATAGATTGATCAAGCAATAAGATGTCCGCTATAGTTTGCGGGACTTTGTGGGGAGATCTACAGCTGTCATTATTCCTGGTGAATCTGGATCTAGAGTCAAATCAACATGGATCAGTGAAGGAAGTGATGGGATATTAGATACCCTATGGATGGTGTTGCCTTTTTTCTTTTTACTCTTGCTCCATCTTTCCTTAATCTGCCTGGTCTGTTGTAATCAAGAAGAAGAAGAAAAAACTGGACGTCCTAAAAAGACCGGCAAGAAAAAAAAAAAAAAGAAGAAGAAGCCAATATTGGCTCCCCAATAGCTCCAATGCAAGAAGCGGGAACCTCAGAAAGGCAATAGATCAATGGACGGTAAAGCTGCTGATGATGAGCAGAGAACCCACTGTTTTTGGAGCGGGATTCCACCCTTTGGGCACCTTTTCTTGCGCGCCGACACCCAGACAGGCCAGAAAGCTGCCCTATCTCTCCAAAAACTACAGCAAAGAGAGCATCACCAGCCAATGAAATACACATTATACCCGCAAAGCTAAACCCATTCTTTCGACAAGCATACCGCGCGTATTTTTATTTTCTCTCTCTTCTCTTGTCGTCTTCTCTGTCTGCTATCAGTGTCTGCATTTGCGATATATAAGACCACCTGCAGCTGTGCACCAACCGTTGGGGCTCTCCCGTCTTGCTGCCACGAACTTGCGCAAGCTTGCTGCTGCTGGCCGGTCCTGGGATGGCACCGTGGTAGGTCTGGTTTCATACAACGACCACCCAAACCTTTGCCAGCATGACTACCGGTACGTCTCTGCGAGCTTTTCCTCGTTCAGTCTTTCACGTCGCTCGTCTTGGGAAAATCCGACTGACACATTCTCGCGAAAAGTCCGCATTTGCGTCTGCGGAGACGAGGGAACTGGCAAATCCAGCCTCATTGCCTCCCTCGTCAAGGACGTCTTTGTGAGCAACAAGATCCAGTCCGTCCTTCCTCAGATCACGATCCCGCCGAGCATAACCACGCCCGAAAATGTCACCACCACCATTGTCGACACCTCGGCCCGACCGCAAGATCGCACCGTGCTGCGCAAGGAGATCCGCAAGTGCAACGTCATCCTGCTAGTATACAGCGACCACTACAGCTTTGAACGAGTGGCATTATTCTGGATGCCCTACTTTCGCTCGCTTGGCGTCAACGTGCCTGTGGTGGTGTGCGCCAACAAGTCAGATCTGGTCCGCGACAGCAGCACTCCACAGGTTGTAGAGGAGGAGATGCTCCCAGTCATGACCGAATTCCGCGAGATCGACTCGTGCATTCGTGCCAGCGCCAGGGAACACAGTAATGTAAATGAGACCTTCTTCCTATGCCAGAAGGCCGTCACGCATCCTATTGCACCGCTTTACGACCATAAGGAAGGAGACCTGAAGCCAGCCTGCGTGTCCGCACTGAGAAGGATATTCTATCTGTGTGACAAGGACCAGGACGGCTATCTGAACGACGACGAAATGCACAAATTCCAGGTCAAGTGCTTCAACAGGCCACTTGCGCCGGAGGATCTAGATAACATCAAGTTATCTCTGTCCAAGTCGATTCCGAGATACAGCACCGAAAATGGCATAGATATGAGAGGGTTCTTGCAGCTCAACAAGTTTTATGCTGAGAAGGGCAGGCATGAGACTATTTGGGTGATTCTGCGAAAGTACCACTACACGGACAGTCTGAGCTTGGAGGACAGCTTTATTCATCCCAAGTTTGAGGTGCCAGAGTATGCGTCAGCAGAACTCAGTCCAGCTGGCTATCGTTTCTTCGTCGACCTCTTCCTGCTATTTGACAAGGACAACGATGGCGGACTCAACGACCATGAGCTCAATGCTCTATTTGCTCCAACCCCGGGCTTGCCGCAATCCTGGATCGAGTCGTCTTTCCCCTCTTCAACAGTCCGCAACGAGGCTGGACACGTCACATTGCAAGGATGGCTCGCTCAGTGGAGCATGACGACCTTCCAAGAACCCAAAACTACCATCGAGTACCTGGCATACCTTGGATTTGAGCCGTTTGGCGCCAGAGATACTTTGACTTCGGCTCTCAAGGTTACAAAGGCGCGCAAGAGGAGAAATCGACCCGGTCGAGTCGAACGAAACGTGGTGCTATGTTACGTCCTTGGAGCTGCCAGTGCTGGCAAATCTTCTTTGCTTGACTCCTTTTTGAACAGACCTTTCGACAGCTTGTACCATCCGACAATCAAGCCACGAAGGGCAGTGAACAGTGTCGAGCTTCCAGGTGGAAAGCAGTGCTACCTCATTCTCGAGGAGCTTGGCGAGCTTGAGCCGGCCATTTTGGAAAACCAGGCCAAGCTTGACGCATGCGACCTAATCTGCTATGCCTATGACTCGTCGGATCCAGATTCCTTTTCGCATATTGTCGATCTTCGGCAACGATTCCCGCAGCTAGATGAGCTCCCGGCCATTTACACTGCACTGAAAGCCGACAGAGACAAGGCAACACAGCGCAGCGAGCTCCAGCCGGACCAATACACGTCGAGCTTCATGATGAGTTCGCCATTACACGTCAGCGTTACTTGGAACAGTATCAGTGAATTCTTCGTGGCGCTTGCTGAGGCTGCTACGAACCCTAGCACTGGATTTCCCAAGAACGAAGAGCCACCACCCGACAGATCAAGTTACTACATTGCTGGTGGAGCCGTCTTGTGTGCCGGCGTGGCGGCGTTCATGATTTGGCGTCGATCCACGAATGCTGCTTAGCAGGTAGTGAGCGCCCTGATCGGTAGCCTCTGACTGTCGCCTTTTTCGCTTGCCACAGATACACAAACCTCCACTCTTCTTCATTCGAGCAACAATTGCAGGTCCTAATTTTGTTATAATGTTGGCATTTTCCGGAGCTGGGTCGTTTCTATTATTTCTTTCCTCATTCGAGATAGAGAGATCCGGAGTGCAAATTGGTGTTTTCCTGCCTTCTGATACCCACCTCCCATTCTGCTCTCACGGACGATCCCCATATATATAGGCACCATGAGACGAGATGCACATGAATATGCACAATAGTGTAGAATCTAATTTCAAGCAAACAGTACACACTTATTCCTCGATCTTGATTTGTGATTGCCATTTTGTGATCATATCTGTGGTATTCGCGACGTATATACCACCAATAATCGAAGTCCGTCATGCTTTCCCCTATCCGTGGAGCATATAACAACCAGGTTACAAGTAGCAGCCAGAATCTATCCTTTCTTTCCTAGTGTAGGCAGTGCTGTTGCTTCTAAAAAATGTATCGAGGATCCCAGCGGGGTCTTGTATCTGCTAGTCCTCTTCCTCTTCATCATGCTCGGCATTCACTGTGCCACGATTTCTGGGCTCCTTCTTAATGTTCCGATGTGAAGTGACACGCATACTAAGGTCGTGCTCTTCTACTTGATCGTCCTCATCATCGTCATCGTCGACATCTTGTCTCTGTGCGCGCTTGATTTGGCGGAGCATGAACTGATCTAAACTGAAATCACGAATTGACACCTCCTATTATTTTTTTCGTGGGGGTTTAGTATCGACTGAATATGGAAACGGGGTGACGATGGAGACAAAGTAACATACCTGGTTACAACCCGTCTGGGGACACCTTGCCTTGCGTCCAGCGTGACTTTTGAGAAACTCTTGAATAGCCTTCTTCTCAAACGTGTGATTGCACTTGGCGCTCGTGTATGGCTCTTGCATCATGACCATGCTGAGGGGACATCGGAGGTCCTTCTTTTCGCGCGCGAGGATAAGGTCATCATCCTCTTCCTCTTCGTCGCCATCTTCCTCGCCGTCATTGTGGCGCGACGAAAACCACTTGGAAGCGTCGGGCAGCGCTTTACCATCCCGGTGTGCGGCATCATGCCACAGCTTCTTGAACTGAATGTAGTCATTGTTCAGGCCGTAGCGCTGGTACAAGCTCTTGCCCTCATAGTCGGCGTGGAGCTGAGCCTTGTTGTCGTGAAGGCGCTTGAGGGGGCCCTTGAATGGTTCTGCCCTCTCCTCCTCCTCCTCGGGCTCCTCCTCGTCATCATCTCCCACGTCTTGCCCGCTCTCGATCTGCCGCTCTCGCTGCTGTTGTCGCCAGTTTGCTCTCGCTTGTGCGGCTGCCGCCCGGTCCGCAGCACGTATACTCTCCTGCTCAACCTCCTGCACCGTATTCGCTGAAGCAGTCCGGGAATCCTCCATCTCCACCATCCAATCAATAACCTCGCGCACGCCCTCGTCGCATCGCTTCGTCAATTCGGGGACCTCCTTCTTGAGCAAATCAACAGCAGCGCGGAGCGCCCTCGTCTCATCATCCTCCTCCTCTTCGTCCTCGTCGTCGGCAGCGCGCTCGCGACGTCTCTCGAGGTGCCGCGCCAGCACCTGCTTGCGCTCCGTGAACCGGTCATTGACCTCGGCGACGCTCTCGCCGAGCAGACGGACGCTCTTTTCCAGCTCGGCGCCGTACTTGCGCGCCTCGGTCGTGTTCTTGGAGAGCTCGGCGAGGGCCTGGCGACCGCGGGCGTCGAGGGCAAACGAGGGCGGCTCGTACGTGGGCATTTCCTGACCTTGTTGTTGTCGTTGCCGCTGGTTACTCGAGGGTCCCCGGCCGGTTCCTGGCCTCGAGCTTCCGTGGCGCGAGCTCCCGTGTGCATTGGAGAGGAGTCGTCGAGACATTGTCGCTTGTTGCTAACCTAGCTTGCCCTCCAAGAGGTTGCTGCTTTCGTTCTCGGCCGAAATAATTGCTTGTCTTGTGGGCAATGAAGCTGTTTCCGTAAATAAAATGAACGAGCAGATGTATCTGAGTCAGTGCGTCTGAAGCGCTGCTGCTGGACTGTGCCAAAGACCTGAAGGTCGTCGGTCATTATATTTTTTGGAAACGGTTTCGGGCTCTTTACGCGTGGAGAAGACGCGACTGCCAAGGTTGTGTTTAAGAGGCCGTGTGGGTTAGGCTGGTGCTGGGCCCAATCGCACTGTCTGATTGAATACAGCAAGGTGCATTAGGTATGTAGGTATTGGGGGGTCATGGCGGGGTGCTGAGGAAGATACCGAAAGTAGGTGCATGCTACTTACTGGATAAGGTTCTCGTATAAACGTCCACTAGCCAATCCTGTGCAGTGAGAGGTTTGCATCCGGCATCAACCCGGTGCTGGAAGTGATCGACATTGGATCAGGGTCCAATCATGGTCTGAATTGATATTATTGAACGTACTTGTTAAGTCTCTCTTGTCTTATTTTCCAGGTTGGTGTTGTAGGAAAAGATAAGCATTGACGAAGCTCCTAATGCATCTGCTCACGTACCCTTCGAGAATAGCATTGATAGATAATATACGAGCTAGACTTGTCATTGGTATGCAGTGTTATAAAGAGCAAAATTGATCAAACATAATTGAATTGAATTCTTTGGTTGATTAGGTATTCATAATATCTTCAAATGTCTTTCCATGTCCATAAATCGTTGTCCCATTGCAGCATTAGCTGTATCCCACAATATTTTCCGTGATTTACCAAACGCCAGAAAAGCCCACGCCTCTCTGACCATAAGTCTAAGAAAAGATAAAATTGATATCGTGGTCGCACTTATTCTCCGTAGTCACTCTCGCTGTGGCGTCCGTCGTCCCCCGTCAGATTGTCATGGATCGTGTGGAGTGTTTGCAGCCACATGCCAAACATGGATTGCACTGATTGTGTGTGTTCTGCGCCCAGCCCCATGTTGTCGACTTTTTCCTTGAGCTTCTCGTACGCCTCGATCATGAGCCAAACCTGTAATGACGAGGTTTCTCCACTTGGCCTCATGGCGTTGCTGCCGAATGCCGTGGACAACTCCTTGGTCAAGAGGTCGGATATAATCTGAACCGTGGGGTTCTCGGGGAGCAACGAGGCCACGGATTGACCATGGCTCGGAGACACTGTTATTACTTCGGCCACCTGGTTTCGAGGAGAGGGAGGATCCGTCAACAGCGATACGGGCTTGAAATAAATGGCATCCTCCTCGAACCCAACCAAGGTGCCATCTGAAGCAGTCGGCGAGCCCGTGTCCTGCTTGTACGACTGTGACAGGCTAATCACTGTCTTTACAGGGCCATCCGCGGGAACCTCCCACGCCCGCGTCCCAAGGTCAGAGGGTAGTTCCTGGAACTCTTGAAACGGCGTCATAAACCTCTCCTCCACATCAGACGGCGTCTCTACCAGGGCTCTGTACGACTCTGCAATGTGCTCAATGCTCGTGGCATCTTGCATTGAGGCCGGGTCGCGCGTGGCGGCGGCCGACTCTTCGAGCTGGCCAATGCGAGTGACGGGCGTTTTGGCCTTTCGCCTGGACGTTGACGCAGATGCGGCCGACGAGTGGCTGTCGGGTGAATAAAGACCATCAGTCGACGCCGTCTCTGACAGATTCCGGGGCAGCTCATTGGTCACATTCAAATGTGCAAACTCGGGCACGATGTTGGTGACTGGGGTGGTGGAGTGCTGCTTCTCTTGAATGTGCGGTTGAGGCACAAACTCGACGTCCTTGGCTACATATCTGCTAGTCCGTAGATAATCGTTCCATTTGGGATCAGATAGATCAATTGGCAGGGGTGAGGAGCCATTGGCTGCCTGTGATGTCCCTTTGGTAGAGTCGTTTCGCTTTGTGAATGCTGACCATCGGAACCCTCGAGACTCTGACGTCTTGGCGTTGCTGGTGATGGAGTTTGCATATGATACACTATTCCGCTTGTTGTTGTTGTTATTGTTGGGAATCTTTTGCAGCTTCCGCCTGAGTTTCTTGCCCTCGGGTTTTGGAGCCGTCTGCAGCGCCTCTAGCGCCACAGGTGATCTATATCGGTCCATGTTGTCAAAGAAGTGTGAAGAGAACCAAAGTATGAGTGATCAGGTGGGCAGGCAGTAGGTGGGTATATAATGCGGCACCACGATCTGTTGAGCCGCAAGCAGGCAGCGCAAAAGCCGCCAGGCAGGACTAAGTAGTAGTCACTATAGGTAAGAATCTAGTAAGTAGTATTATGGCGGTCTGGGTATATGGGTACCATGTGATGGCGTTTCGAAGCTCTTGAGAAGATCGGAATTGTACCAAATACACACAATAAAGAAGAAGAAGATGATGATGACGTTGAGGGAACAGAAAAAATGTATCGCGACGAACAGTCACGGTGTAGTCAAAGCCAATGCGAAAACAGGATTGATATTTCGCAAGTCGACATGGGGCACACCTACACGTCGGGAAGGGTGGGTGTGGTGGCTCCCCAGTACATAATGTATAAACTACAATCTATGGGTTCGACCTATGGGGGGGATCCCCCCTCAGCAGATACTGTGCCCATCCATGTTATGGAGGAGGCTTGATGACATGGCTGCACGAGCTAGCGATTAAACTGTGGTCATCCTTGAATTGCCGTACGAATTCCCATGCGTGGCCGTCGCCGCCGCCCCTCTAGAAAGAGACCAAAGAAAAGAAAAAAGATACAGAAAAAAGCCGCCTTTGCCTCCCGACTGGATGCCTTGATGGAATAGAAAACCGACGAAGGCAAACCTTGAGGTGTTAGTCTGCAATGCTAATGTATGTTGCCGAAGCTTTGGGGCGGCTGGTTTGCAGAATGCAATCCAAGCAGCACGAGTAGTAGGTAAAAGATGGAGAGAAAATGGACGGGGTGGAACGAAAGTAGCCAGCCAACCGTACCTAGTTGGTGGCCACGCCCCGAGCGCATCCGGGACTCGGAAGGTTGGACGGACGGATTGACTGATAACATTGAGATAAAATTGGTAGATCGGCTATGTGTAACTTGTGCTTATTACCTACCTACTACCTCCTACCTTACATATGCATTTCATTTGTTACATGTAGAATCTGTATTACAAGATGAAAGAATCAATCGTCCACAAAAGCCTATAGGTTGACATGTATAACACATTGTATTAGTCGGAGAGACGGTCTATATTCAAACTCGTCTCGTGTCTCACTGTATTACTTTTGTCGAAAAATTTTCAGTCTTTGTTTGTTTTGCTCTCGTCGTTGGGCAGCAGATAATATGGGATCTTCCTGCCTGCCTACACACCGGGGCGGGGCCTGGGGGGTCCTGCCTGTGTGTTGGTCGGTGGGATCGTGCATTTGCATATCTGCTTGCATTTTGCCCAACCCCAACAGCAAGCTGCAAGTTGGCAAGCAGCAACAGGAATTAGAAAAAAAGTGAAATATTCGCAGGCAGACAGACGGACAGACAGAACAAAGAACAGTATCTACGTATCCAAAATGTCTGTCCATCCACACACCCATCCCTCGGTTTTCTCTTCCGCTTGATCCAATCAATGCTCTGCCCTAGATACCAGGCTGCAGATCGTACAAGCAGGGGGCCCTGGAATACAACCCTTGATGATGAGCTGAGTAGAGAGCACGCACTTGCGCACCCTGCTTCTTCCAAGGTGGGAATTCTTGGAGCTGATGTCATATTATTTTGTTGTGCGACTCGTATTCAACCAAGTCCAAGGGCCTCCTCGCTTCGGTTCGTCGTGCAATCGTGAAGGAAAAGAAGCCTTGAACCAAGGTTTTTTTTTCCCCTCTCTCCTCGCTCGTCTGCTTGTTCCTGCGTTGGTCACAGTCTCCGTAACCTATTTGCACTAGAAGACAAGACGAACAACTGGCTAATGCTTCCTCCGTCGTACCATTTGCTACATGTGCTCGTCAACAACTGGCCAATGTGAATGTCTGATCCATTAAAAGGGAGGTTACCGAACTTTTTGCAGTAAGCCCACTCCGGTATAATGGGCCACTTTACAGTTGGCTAAAAGGGCTGCTAGGCTGGATCTACACTACAGAACATACATGCTCTCCATACAGCCAGCACCACATTGTGGCGACGGAAATATCGCATTCATTTCGTCGAGAACGAAACAGTATCGATCTTCTGGTCCAGTATGAAGTCTATGCAAGGCGGTGTCCGGATTTTCCTCCTGGCTGCTTCTTCTTTTCCTTCGAGATCATCCCTATGCCCCTCCCCGAGCTCCCCTCCCCCCCATTGGGGGCCAAGGGGGCCTTAATTCTTGCCCAGAACCACAATAGGCACTGTCTAGGTGGTATGAATGTAGCCTATTATGCACGGGACTAACTTACACGTGCATATCCGCCGACATACACGATCATCACCATGCTTACCCAGCCCTCCACCACGCTTTTGGATACTGGGCTCCGTGACCAAAGACCCAGCTCACCGCCAGCTCTAAGCTTATATGTACATACCACCGCTTGCTCAACATATGACCAAGAGATATGCGGTCACTTCCGCAAAAGAATAAAGTCCTTTGAGTGCTGGGAAAGCCCTGTCTTGGCTAATGTATGCAGCCGCGGATGAGTGGCGAGCACGCAGATAGACAGTAAAGTGACCAGACAAAAACTCCCGCCGCCCGTTAAACGAGTCGGTCCGGACAAAACGCCGCTGCACTGCGGCTTTCGCCGTATTCTCTCGCCGGAACATGCACTACATGATCTTGGCAAAACCATGATCCGGCCACCACCCATGAGTGAGTGGCAAACTTACTTGCCGGCCAGTGATGACCTACACCCTACGATATTTCCATTATTTGATCCTATTCTGTGCTAGAGTATTCAAACACGATTGAAATAAATGAAATCAACTATTTATACAATGTCTCGCCTTTTTTATTTTTGTGGTCAATTTTTTTTCCTCATTCCTTGCCCGGGTAATATGAACAAGTATACTATGCATTTCGTCTGGCCCAGAAATGTACTGAAAAAGCCGGATACATCTAATTGGCCAGTCAATGGTATTCTCAATATGGTCAAGTCGATATATGTTATATAGGAAGTCGTATGATTCTCCAAAGACTGATTCCATCTCCACAAAAAGTGCCGTCTTCTCCATCATGACCTTTTCTAGTGCCGGCTGTGTAATCACAGTTGACATGCATCCAGCGCGCGTAAGCTTCTAAAAAGAGGACATGTTAGTGCCATGGCTTTCAATCCTTCTTGCTCCACGCAGATCCGTGATTGTCCGTTGGCGCCGCCTATATGTACACGTAGAACTGGACTACATCAAACCACTATTCAGAACAAACCGCAATCATTTCTCAAATCGACAGTAAACTTGAGAGAAGCGACAATGGCATCCAGAGCCTTTTTTGATCCAATGACGCTCCTCAGAGCAGCCCCTGTGATCTCTTCCACCGCCGCGCTGTGTTACTCCTTTGATCAGTACAACTTTCTCACCAACTTCCTGAGACCGATTCACGGCGACTATTTCAATGAGTCTGTGCCCTCGTACTTTGCTAGCTTCTTCCCCGCGGGATTGCCTCAGATCCTCTTGTTCTATGGCATCAGCATCGGCACCGGCATGGCCAACGTCTCCAGTCAACCCAACGACGCGTGGCGATGGTATGCGGCTGGGACGGCTCTAGCAGTTGGGCATTTTGCATTCGTGCCCAAGATTAGTATGTCTATATCAATCCGTCTCCAGCATTCTTATTTCACCTCCTCTTGGCGTATTCACTCAAAAGATGGTCGAGCTCTTCTTTTATTTTATTTTTTCCACTTGGGTGAGGGCAACAAAAATGCTGACGCTTCTCTGTCATAGTGTGGGCCGTATCAGCCTTGTTTGAGGAGTTCGAGGACCCAAAGGGCCAGGGCAACCGGAAGCTTAAACGGTGGCTCGACATTCACGCCGTCCGCTCCTTTGTTGTTGACCTACCTGCGTGGGTCTGCTTTTCTGTCGCCGCTCTGGCGTCTTTGCAGACTGTATGAGATGGTATTCTCTCAGGGCTGGGCAAAGTTGATATTGTTCTGTATGATATAATGTAGGATATCAAAAAGCCAATTGCTACTGGCTTGTTGCTGGTTGCGGGCTGCTGGGGTGTTGGACAATCGTCATAATGTGCAGGCCGTTGGGCATGCCGGCTTTCAATGATCCCAAAGTGACGATCAAATCGCTCAAAGACCAAGGGAAGAGACAGAGAAAGACTGCTGGAATATGCGTACAGCGTTGGTCGCTTGTGTTTGGGTGTGGGAAAAACGTTCAGGGCAAAGATCGGAAGCTTTGTAACCGCTAAATTCTACGTTCAGTTCTTCGATATCAAGCGGTCTTGCTGTGATTTTACGGAATCAAGTCTTCTTCTTAGCATGGTATCCACTCATATTTATACCAGATGGCGTGAAAGCAGAACATAGACCGCCTATCGATGATTTCCCATTCCCATGATCTATTCAAGGAAAAGACCATATCTGAACTTTTCAACACGGAAATAAATAGAATGGGCCTGATATCATGTTGGCAACAGCTCAAGTGGGAGTCTACGGCGGGATACAATGCCTGATGTTCCTCAGAACCCAATCCCAACTTGCTTTTCAGATCTGCTGCTGCGTAATTGGTTGCAAATATACCTATAGTATGCTCAATTTAAGATCCACTCTTTGGTATCCAAGAGGCCGCCGAGCTGAAAATAAGTAGTGTCTACTAACTCGGCACGTATTAATTCGTAGATACGGCTAGCAAAGTCACCTAGCCAACAACATTGAACTGCTACCACCAGGTCGATGAATAGTAACGCGCAACTATATTTGGGTGAAGAATGGGTAAAGATCCTCCATGGCATCCATCGTCATGTACAACCTGATTCAACTACAGTCATACTGCCATTGATTAGTAGAAAACAAGAACGACTCCATTCTCCCCCATGGGCTCACCCCACGATCGATTTCAGGTGCGCGCGACTTCGGCCCAGGCCCGTCTAGAGGGTATTATTCACCCCAGGTAGCCCCCCGTCTATAGCCGGCCAAGTGGACCTCTCTCAGTGCGATTTCTAGGTGAAATGGACAATACTCTTCCCGCAATTGGGAATTTTTCCACCAACCATGAACTGCCTCCGGTATCCCAACTGCAGGGTCCGCCGTAAACTTACCCCACGGATAATGCACTGCTCTCCTCTATGGTGGAAGACGTGCCCCTCAATTTGTATCATGCGTCACGAGGGGGTTTGAAAAGACACGGTCGAGACATTTTGTTATTTAATTCCCCGAACTGCAGCTTCGGTTTCCTCATATATATTGCGAGAGTTACCGTGAATCTGTGATTGCTGTTTCTTGGCTCTATTTTTTCTTATTCATCTATTTCCTTCGAGTATTATTTCTCTTTCAACTTGACCAAACGGGCTTTGCAATTGGCAAATTGTCATAGAAAAGTCGGCGATACAACTGCACAACGTGGAGCCTGTTGTCTTGCACATTCTACTTCTAGAGAAATAAAAACAGCAGAAAGAAAAGATGCCCGAGATTACCATCACTGGCTGGACTACCCGGGACGTGCGGTTTCCCACGTCCCTGGACAAGACTGGCTCTGATGCCATGAACGCTGCCGGCGACTATTCTTCTGCGTACTGTATTCTGCAGACGGACTCGGAGTTCAGTGGCCACGGCATGGTGAGTGAACAGAATTTCTCATAGCATGACATTGCCCTGTATGTTAAAAGCTAACATCGTATATCAGACCTTCACCATTGGCCGTGGTAATGACATTGTCTGCGCAGCCATCAACCACGTCGCGGACCGCATCAAGGGCCGCACCCTCTCCTCTCTGGTCGAGGACTGGGGCAAGACGTGGAGGCACCTGGTCAATGACAGCCAGCTGCGGTGGATTGGACCGGAAAAGGGCGTCATCCACCTTGCCCTCGGCGCCGTGGTCAACGCCATCTGGGACCTCTGGGCCAAGGTGCTCGGCAAGCCCGTTTGGCGGATCGTGGCCGACTTCACGCCCGAAGAGTTTGTGCGCTGCATCGACTTTCGCTACATTACCGACGCCGTCACCCCCGAGGAGGCTCTGGCCCTGCTCCGCGACGTCGAGGGCGGCAAGGAGGAGCGCATCCAGGACGCCCTGGCCAGCCGCGCCGTCCCCGCCTACACCACCAGCGCCGGCTGGCTCGGCTACGGCGAGGCCAAGATGAAGGCCCTGCTGTCCGAGACCCTGGCCCACGGCTACAAGTACTTCAAGATCAAGGTCGGCGGCAACCTCGAGCAGGACAAGCACCGCCTGGCCATTGCCCGCGACGTCATTGGCTACGACCGCGGCAACGTCCTCATGGTGGACGCCAACCAGGTCTGGAGCGTGCCCGAGGCCATTGCCTACATGAAGGAGCTCTCCGAGTTCAAGCCGTGGTTCATTGAGGAGCCCACGTCGCCCGACGACATCCTGGGCCACAAGGCCGTGCGCGAGGCCCTCAAGCCCTACGGCATCGGCGTCGCCACGGGCGAGATGTGCCAGAACCGCGTCGTCTTCAAGCAGCTCATTGTCTCGGGCGCCATTGACGTGTGCCAGATTGACGCCTGCCGCATGGGCGGCGTCAACGAGGTGCTGGCCGTGCTGCTCATGGCCAAAAAGTACGGCGTGCCCATTGTGCCGCACTCTGGCGGCGTCGGTCTGCCCGAGTACACGCAGCACCTGAGCACCATTGACTACGTCAGCGTCAGCGGCAAGCGCTCCGTCCTCGAGTACGTCGACCACCTGCACGAGCACTTTTTGCACCCTTCCGTCATCAAGGACGGCTACTACCAGACCCCCACCGAGCCCGGCTACAGCGTCGAGATGAAGGCTGAGAGCATGGACCGCTTCTCGTACCCCGGCGAGCAGGGCGTGAGTTGGTGGAAGAGCGATGAGGCCAAGCCCATCTTGGAGGGTGAGAAGTACTAGACGACAAATCTATAGAAGAACGTCGCGCAGTGCCCAACAACAGGGCAAGATAGAGGAGGTCGGGCGCCAATAAAAGGACAGCCCTTCCGCAGGGAAACGATGGCATCCTGTTAGTGGGACCTAGGCTATAGAGTTCGAGGTGCCCTATCCTAAAAAGGCAAGAAACATTTGCATGAAGCTGCCGGTCAAAGCAGCTTTGGGGGTTTGATCACCGGAGATCATTCCGGGAGGAAACGATGGCATCTCCTACGACGATCTCGAAGGGAAATCGTCGTCCACTATATATCTAGGGTAGATACTCTAGAGTCACACTCTTGAGTAAGTTCATCTAGAACTTGCCAAGAGGCATGAGGGCTCTGGATGAAGAATTCCAGTGCGCGGGGAAACGATGGCATCCCGTATGGAGTGCAATACTCCATCCGAACCAAGCCGAAAATAGTAGATATAAAACAAGTAAATCATATCGGTACATGAATACATCTTGTGCTTCAACTGTTTCCTGATCATACCCGATGTGTTAGCATTTGAGTCTGTCTCGCTGCCCCAGCCCATGCTTGTCACATATGGCAATTGATGAGCCCAACTCTGTCCCAGGAGTTTTCAAATGCTAGCATGTTGAGAGAACGTTGGTGCTTTGTCTCTAGTCTTTGCTCTCATTTGTGCCCAACCGTATTATCTGCTGCTACCTGAATTTTCACTGCAATTTTAACACTCGGGGAGGGGATCGGCCAAGTTATACAGACTCAATTGGTCACTATATATATATCCGCTTAGTTGAACAGTACAGAGCCCGTGGCTGTCCAGCTCGTGGGAGCGGGTACACTGCGGCTTTTCACTGCACTATATCACTGCGGATTTTCACTGCATTTTTAACCCTCATAAAGGGGATCGGTCGAGTCGCACAAACACAAAGTGGAGTACCACAGATTTGATGAATATAAATCTAGGTGCCCCGTGAAGAAGCTTTACATAAGTTAGGTATATCATCAGAAGATTTTGGACGACGGAAAACACTTCAATATGGAATGAGTAATTGAGCCACTGTAGGCAACAGACTGACCATGAGCCTGCCATGATTCTGGGGCTCGTAGGAGAACACGAAAGCGGCACAATGGTTGCAATGCATTATATGTATCATTCACCAAGAATACTCATTGATGACATCAACAGGAACTAGTGCAGTACAACACACGAGTCGCATGAATGAAGATGCTTGAAAGCAACTCGATTATATTTTATCTGTTATAGACATCTCGTCTTCATCCATTCGCTTACGCCCAAGCCCAAATTCAGCCCATTGCGAGCCCACCAAATTCTAATAGATTTCGAGTCGCCAATTGCGTCTTCCAGAGCTTCCTCAATGTCGCAGGTCTTGTACTCGACCCTGTGCGTCCGGCCCTCGCCCGCCTCCTCGCCCCTTGCGTACTGTTTCCACCATTCCAGGACGTTGACATGTCCTTGACGTGTCGGCGCTACTAGAACTTGGCAGTCGAATGATAGTTTGTCGCCCTTGAGTTCCCGCCAAGCATCCAATACGCCGGTATGGCCATGCGCACTCGCAATCTTGGGCACACCGTCGCCATGGGCCACCGGAATGCCCGAAGACTCCCACCATCGTAGCACAGCGGTTTGGCCTTGTTGCGCAGCTGCAAGCAGACTGCGGCCTGGCTTGAGTATAATACTGCTGTTCTGTGATGCAGCATCCCGCCACCATTCCAGGACTAACAAGTGGCCCCTCGCTGATGCAGTCTCCAGTGCTTGTTCCGTGTATTTCAACGGAAGCCCGGACCGAAGCCACCAATCAAGCACATGCACGAATCCCATGCGGCAAGCGTTGTCGAGAGCCTCGGCGTCGTATTCCTTTTTGAGAAATGATGGAGATGTGTTCCACCAGTCGAGAATGTCCGTCCTGCCATATACTCCGGATGCCTTGTTTGGTAGTAATTTTGAGTGGAAAGAAGCCCAGAAGACCTTGCTCAGATTGTTCTCTAAATATGTAAGAACCTCGGTAAGTGAAAATTTGATGATTAGCTTGACAGCCAGTGGAGAGATCAGGATATCGCTCGGTGCTTCGGATAGTTTCCGACAAATTGCTGAAGGAGAGCGACAAGAAAGAATTAACCACTCCAGTTCGTTGTTGAATATATCGGCAGGATCCGTGAGCGTAAGGCGGTTGGTGCGCCATTCGTTTGGTGTTGGAATCGTGGTGTAAACGTTCAGTGCCTGTGCCAATTCCCAATCCCCAACGTATTCAAATATTATCGTCCATATCTCTGGTGGAAGCTGCGTGGCCACCTTGCTAGGATCCGAGGTGCTAAGCGCTTGTTGGGCTGCAACTTCGACATCGTGGCCCAGACTCAAGAGTTCGGCTTGATTTTTTATCATACCCACCAAATTGTTGAAGCCGTCCCATGAGACCACGCGTTTCGAGGAGGAATTTCCTTCGTAGTGCCACAGGATAGGCGACATGACTTTGACCCAATCCCACTTCTTCTTAATCTTGCTCAACTGCTTCTTCGTCATGGGGTTCTCCCACATCTGTATCGACATGCCGGGGACCAGCAGTATCTTTTTGGAAACGTCCCATGCGCGTAGCACCTCCAGTAGTAACGTATCGGCGATACCGCCCATCATCTTGGCCAAATGGTCTGCATCGATGGGGGCCAAGACCAAGATGTCTGCCCAATCGACCAGCTCGTACGCAGTCTGTCTCGCGGCTTCTATCGCCTCTCGCGTCCTCTGGTCTGCATCGATGGCCAAGGTGGCCAGGCTGCGGTTCTCTCTGACAATAACCTCTTGAGCCAGACGGCGCGGGACATCGTCGACCAGCGCTTGGGTTTCGATCTGAGAATCCTTCAGCAGGCGGACGGCGATAGCCTGTGCATATGCAACATCCTTGGACCCGTTGGCAGCAACAAGCATGCGTAGTTTTCTAGTTCGTGGCATCTCATGGAGCGAGGAGGACGATGAGTTGGCGGTTGGTGTTCGTAAAATGTGTCGGCGTAGAAACGATGCTCTTCCCGGGTCGGGAGGAGGACTGTTTGTGTCTGCCATCGTGTGTCACATGCTCTCCCAGCTCCGGAACTGTCGTGACGTCGAGTGTTTGGTTCCTTCAAGAAGAAGTAAAAGAAGAGCTGGTGGTCTCTGGGTTCGACAGAGGGGTGCAGAAATGATGTCGACCGTGTAAGTGTGCTTTAGTAGCAAAGGTTAATCGTGGCACAGAGGCAAAGGCAAATATAGCGTTGGTCGAGTCAAGCGGTCGGCGCGAGCAGCACGAATGTAGGCTGAAGTGACGCAGATTTTCAGTTGGGCCAGTTACTGACTTCGATCATTCGGCGCGGGAGGTGTTGGGTACCCCGTAGAAGATTCAAAGCCTCGAGGGTTTGTGCAAAGGTGTGCAAGCCGATGACGACAACGATGCGATGGTTCACCACGGCATCTGCCAGAGACGATGTGGGAAAAAAAAAAGATGCCGGTGTCGTGTCTCATCGCCGCCTCGAAAATGGCCGAGTCCCAATTCGTGGACCCTTTTTGCGCCAAACACAAGGATGACGCCGGCAAGTGGAGCTTGTCTCTCTCCCTGGGACTGGTCATTTAGTATTTAGTGGTGTGGTGCCAGCGCTTTGCAGAGGTCTTCCCATACTCGAGGAGCCCCGAATAAATTAACTTTTAGTGCAGTAGTAGCGTTACAGCAGCGGACTGAACCTACTCTCATACTTAAAAACTGGACCTTCGTCTTTACGTCCGAAAGAAGTATTAAGAGTTGTAATATCTCGTCAAGTAATTGAATCACATCATGAGCTTCTCTCCCATACTGTCGACTTCCTACACATACTGACATCTTTGAATACATGCTTTTGTTTTATTTGGGGCAAAGCGACTTGGTTTAGTTATCTATATCGACTGGGACTTTTAGAGTCGTGCCAATAACATGTACCCAAAAGCTTGGTTGAGAGGGGCTATAATCGAGATCTCATACCATCATCATGTCATTATTACGATATCACCACATTAAGGTCACACCACGACGATGATGATGTGAATTGAGACTACCATTTGAATCATTTGAAAAATACATCATGTTCGAGGGCCTTCAGGGAAGCGGTAGTATTTGTTATGGTTAGAGTGGTTCAAATTCAACAAAAAAACACCATCCTTGTCACTGAACATGCAGGCTCAACCCACCGATGTGGTAATATGATTTTGACAGCCATACTAAAATCACCAAATTCAAGCTGTATTGTAGTTGAGGTGCACCTTTCAAGAGTAATTAACAGTCGCATGGAAGATAATCGGAGCTTTTGGTCCAACTGGCTGTATTATACGCGCCTTTGAAATTATCTACCTGGGTAATTAGTAGGGACTTACTTATCTGATTAATCACATGTAAAGATACGCTCTGAGGGAGACTTTAGGGAAATGTTATTTGGGAGTACTAGTTAATAAGGTACCCCGGAACACTTGCGGCTTATATAATATGCAGTCTGCTTCTGCCTTTGGTATTCAATTTGTATATGCCACGTGCCAGAGTCTAACATCACTTTGTTTTTGGAAGAGAGCTAAAAGAGGGCAAGAAGTTATAAACAGTTAGCCAGTCTACATATCCACAAAAACAGCAGAAACCTTTGTAATGCCAAATATTGAAGCAAGGTGTGGTGCATATACTCTCAGACATAGAGAGCTATGATACCTCGATTTCGAGAGCACTGGGTGACAAGAAGAAATATAAATATAAGTATCTTTACGCATCGATATTCGTCTTCGGGCTGTTTTGGTGTTGCCGCTCATAGGGTTTAATTTGCCAGGCACAATGAAAAGTGGAAAGGTATTTTATGATCATTAATATGTCTACACAAAAGAAGAAATAGTTTGTTTTTAATAACTTATAAGTACCAGCGACATCTTTTTGTAACGTATAATCAATGTTTGAATGGGTCAACTCGCAAGTAGTCGCTGGTATAATCTCTCCGTCACCTCGAGAGTTTTGTCGTATAGTACGTGGATTTGACCTCTCGACAGCAAAGAAGGAAGTGTCGTCCAGCTCTTTACAAAGTATACCTAGCAGCCACAAAAAAGTTTATCGTGAAAGTTTTGTTTTGTGCCTGGTTTGATATAGGTAGAATGCCAAGCCCCGCATAGGTGAGCGTTGTTTGCATTCAGAGGCAGGTCCTCAATGTAATATCATGGATACTAGGTTAGAGAAGTGTAAGCTTGAGTCGGCACTCAAATTCTAATGCAGAACAGGTCTCTGGTTACACCCAGGCTGCGTTTAGATCAACGTGCTTGCAGGCTTTCGGAAACGAAAACGTTTCCATATCACAAAGCTTCAGCAAGTAACAAAAATCATACCCATGCCAAGGTATCGTCGATGTGATGTGACGAGATGCCCTAAAAGTTGGTGAACACCTCAACATACATCGTAGGACCAACCGACCGACCCCATACCCCTGAATTTCATCAAAGACTTTCGGTGATTGGCGGTTTGTAGTGGGCGCTTAGCGCTCCATAGAAGGCGCCGAAGCCAGGCAAGACCCGTGCTTCTGGAGATGCTAGCGTGCAGAGCCAAGTACCTGCATTGGCAAATTGGCGGGGAGAACGGAGGCAGAGATACTTCTGGGAAATGGGGAGTGGATAATGCTAAAATAAGCCCAAGCCGGGATGCTGCGACCTAGACCAGGGAGACAGCAGTGCAAGTGGAAGTGACAATTCCCCAGCTTGGGAAAGGGTAACAGCGAAATGGCATTCATTTCTGTTGATTAGCTTGTACAAGAAGAACCAGACACACAAGACGAGACGCGAGGCCGGCGATATTTCCCATCGACGATCCGACCCTCAATTGGGATTATTGCTAAAAGTCTTTCTCAACTAGCTCAGCCTTCTCTCTGGTGTCCAAGGTACTGACTACCCACGAACCAGCGGTCTTGGCAGTCATCTCCGTTGCTACGTCGGCACACCCACCGGTCACAGCGCCGCTCGACTTGTATCCCAATCTCCAGACCCAGACACCGTCACGACATCATCTGAATCAACTTCGACCACGGCGTCGCTCAAAGATTCCACCGCAACCACGTTGCCCGACCAGCAGGAGGTGCAGTCCGGACTGTCAACTGTCATCGAGTCGCTCCGACCCGACCAACCACCCCCGGAACTGACAACCCCCGACGACAAGGCCCACTCGGACGAGATTGACCTCGACGACCAAGACGACGAAGGAGAGGACCAAGACCACCAGGACTTCAATCGCCGCCGTTCGCCTCCCCCACGCTACCCTGACGCCGCATCTTCAGCCTCGGCCTCGACCTCCTTCTCCCTCCCTGCCACGCGCTCATCAGCGCTTCCGCCCTTCTCCAGCCTCTACCAGTTCGCCTCTGCTGAGGATCTAGCCGACGACCATTTCCAGCTTCCCTCGTCCTGCTCACGTGGACCGGCCTCTGAAACAGCTGCATCTTCTGCGACTGCAGCTCCAGCCTACGCGCCGCCATCTTCCAACTTTCTAGGTCAACCCGCTCCTACATCATCCAGCGGCTTGCGAAACGCCGTTGCCGAGACCAAACGTGCACTTCCGCAAGACAACAAAGCCGGCTCATCAGCTCAAAAGGGCGAAGACTCGGACGAAGCGCCTCCTGCATACGAAGAAGGTTATAGTCCGCTCTTGTCATTCTCTTATCTAATGGCTGCTGCCGGAGGAGCATCGAGTATTATTACTCAAGTCCAACAGGGCGGCCCGCCCATCAATGCTATCGGAGGTAAGTTTCGGGCCGTTTGAGTGTACCTGGAGCCGCATCGCTAACTTTTCTATGCAGATGTTGGCGCCGATGAGACCATCACCATGGACTTGCGGTAGGCTCCACCAGAGGTTGTTTGATGTTGTGTGCATCATGGCTGACAAAAGATCGCAGGGGCACCCGCTTCGTACTGTCCAGAGATGAGCTCTTGACATTGCCTGAATTTGTTCTCCTGTCACTTTTCCCCAACGGCTTGTTTCCCGAAGGCCACATGGGTGGCTTTGCCGAAGGTGATGCCGTTCAAGTTGATGTTAGTTCCCAGGCCATAACTTCTGCGATCCCTACCCCTTTGCTGCCAAATCCTATTATCAACTCCAGTCTCACTCACTCGTCAACCACTCGCAATTTACTCTCAAATATCAATATGCATTTCACTGACCTCACCTCCCAGTATGACCCTGCATCTCTCCAGTATATGCTAGACTTCTTCCGCAATGTTGCACAGACTATTCCCACTGAAGCATCTCCTAATGCCTCGCCTGATGGAGGAGTGACGCCCATTGACTCTCTTGGTGGCGGAAGAGACGATGGAAGCAAGCGTGCAGGTATCATTGTTCTTAGGGAGGACCTGGACTTTTACGTCATCCCTCCGAGGGCAGACATTGAGCAAAAGGAGATGATTGAGGTCAAGAGAGCCGCCGCGCGTGCTTTGTTGAAGCAGGACGGCATCTTTTCGGGCTTGAAGAGAAGCGACGAGCCAGGTACCACCGAGGCGCATCTGATTGAGATGCTCACAGCGGGGTATGTTGATGATGAAACATTCTACTTGGTGTCTCTACTAACCTTTTCTCAGCGGCTTCAACCACGACGACACATGGGGTCACCGAGCCGGAGAGCCCAACAAGGCTGTCGTCTGCAGTCTTGCGCTGGCTAGACTACGCAGCGATATCCGTGGTAACGATATGGGTGGCAACGCAGTCGGCATGGCCCAGAAGCTGCTTCTCTTCTGGCGCAAGCCTGCTCGCCGTTGCTGGTGGGAGGGCGTAGACCTGAATGACGTGGAAGGCATTGACGGCACATTGAAGGTCTGGATCCGCAGGGTGTGGACGCTTGAGATGAGCGTCATTGGTCTACGATAGACGACGATTCCCATGGTGTTGCGCAAATAAAAAAAGGAAGCATCATGGTGGCAGTTATTCATTTGTTCAGCGGCATCAAATGAGCCAGCCAGCGTAGGAGGGGCTCTATTTGCTTTTTTTCTTGTTCGGGATTCCCACTTGTTAATACTCGCGCTCTCGCTGTAGAGAAGATACAATAGTTCAATGTTTCAATTTCATGTCTTCTTTATATATCAACTAAGCAAAAGAATTTGACTGCTTGAGGCATGTATGATATGTGTAAGAATGAAACTTCACCTCCTTTTTGTTAAATCCCGAATGCATTTCAGTCCAGTCTCATACCCGTGATAGCTCAGCCGGACTTTATAGTCCGGTTGACCCTTATTGGATGGAATGAAAGTCAGTCAAAACGTCATGGACAATGATCCATGATCAGCGGCCACTAAAGGAGGAGGAGGAGGAGGAGCACAGTATCAGAAAGGACTGATTGGCGTTGGAGAAGCTTTCCCCCACACCCGACACCGGGACAGTTGAAGCTCCATCATGGCTCCGCATATGTCAAGTATGCGAGATATATACATATGCATCTATTTACCTCGTCCTTTATCATTGTGTGACGTCTGGCTCTTCGATCCGGATGGGCACGAGTCAATTGTATCGTGGACAAATTTAGCCATGCTGAGAGAGGCATGCAAACATTATCGCAGTCGTATCAATGAATTAGACTTACACTAGTCGATATCTCATCAACCTCCATCTTGTGCCATTCCAATGAAATGGCTACATTTATGCAGCTCCCCTGCGAGCTCCGGACCATGATATGGGACGATTCAATGCCTGAAGATATTCCCGAGGTCTGCATATTACCACCACAGGAGGAGATGACCGACTTGGGGGAGAGTGACCATGACAGTGAAGATGACGAAACATGCGCAGACGACGAGTCCTTCCTGACGGTCGACACGGCCTTTTCGGTCCTCATGCACCTCTGTCACGAGGCCAGGGACCACGCCCTCTCACGGACGCGTCTGCACTTCTCGCCCGCCGCGGGCATCGCCATTCCCTTTCGGCGCTTCCGCCCCGAGCTCGACGTGCTCTACGTCCCTCCGGGGCGGCCCCAGGCCGTGCCGCCGTGCCGCCTCTTTGCCCGCGTCCGCCACGTGGCCCTGGCGTACTGGCGGCCGCTGTGCACGGCGGCGCCGCCCGTGCGGCCCCCCTCGGCCGCCTGTGTGTTTGCCGGGTTTCCGCGCGTCGAGGCCATTTCCATTGTGGTGCCGTCGTCCAAGGAGCTCCCCTCGCAGAGGGGGCGGTTGTACGCGCCTGTGCCGGCCCGGCGCTGTCGGCTGGAGCCGTTCTACACGGGCGCGGCGGCCAAGACGAACATCATTGCGGCGTTTCGGGATGGCGAGAGGAAGGACGTGAGCACCGTGCTGGGATTCTTGAATCGGATCCACTGTGATATTGCTTGTTATCACATGAGTCGGTGGCGGGAGTTGGGTCCGCGACATGACAAGGTTGGTGGTGGTGGGTTTGTGGACTTGTCTTTGGCTGCGCAGTACTTTGCGGCGTGGTCTCCAGAAACATCGTCAGATTCTCAGGTGAGAGGGTCGTTTCTTGATAGTCTACAGTTTCCAGACGGTTTTGTACAGCATTCCAAGTGTACTTGATACAATTTGATTCCACAGACCCACGTTGAAGAAGTACTTAATGTCACAGCTTTCGGATCATGTAAAGGGCATTCAATCTTGGAAAAGAATGGGCTTTCTATTCTCTAAAGCGGCGCTCTCTTGCTTGGTCTGTTGTCTTCTGTTGTCTTCTGTGTAATTATACATGGCTACGTAACTTGCTCCGTCGCATGACAAAGTCTAGACCGGGACCTCTGTGATCTTGTTGAGGCGCCACGTGGACGTCTCGTAAATGGATGGGATTCCAGTCTCTGAGAAATCAATGCCATCTTTAATCATGTTGGCGACACCCTTTGCAGAGAGCAAGACTAGCGGCATTCCGTGGCCGTTGAAACCGGCACAGATGAACAGACCCTCCTTGTTCGGAATCTTGCCAAGGTGCGGCTCGCTGTCCTCGGTGTACTATTCACGTGTTAGTTGGTCATCCAGCTGTTGGTGACAAAGCAAAAAAGACTTACGCCCATGATTCCAGCCCACAGCTTGTCAACCTTGGACTCGGAGTGATCCCATCCAACAAAGGTCCTCTCCATAAAGTCGTCGAAATACCCAGCTGCGGCAGGCACAGTCTGGGAGTCATCCACGACATCACGCCACTGCTGAACGTGCTTAAATCTGCAAGTGGACCAGGCGCCGCCAATGACAAAGCTACCATCTGCGCGGTTGGCCTGATAATCGGCCGTCTTGGGTCCATAGTACTGCACCATGGACTTGAGCTTGCCCATGGGAGGGCCGGGGTTGGCAACGGTGATGCGGCTGCAGGTGCCGCGGACGGGGCGGATGATCTGGCTGTACTCGGGCAGCAGACCACTTGTGTAGCCATTAGTGGCAAAGACCACCTTCTTTGTCTTGATGTCACCTCTCGAGGTGGTGACGGTCCAGTATCCATCGGCATCTGCCGAATCGGAAACCTTGAGGACGGGTGTGTTGGTCTGCAGATTGACACCCTTGGCGACCAGAATCGAAAGCAAGTGCAAGATGAACTTGTAGGGCCTAATACTTGTTAGTTCGATACTTGACCACGCTGAGCGCACAGCAACTTACCACATCGTGGCTGCCGGGAAAGTCGTGACGGCCTTTGCGCCCTTGACGCCCGAGACCTTTTCTGCCTCTTCTGGGCCGTGGTACTTGACCAAGCTGGCAGTCGGGCATCTGAGCTCCTTCATCTCCATCAAGTTCTCCTTGGCGGAGAGGGCCTGCTTCTCGTCGAGATAGACATTGGCCGACGTGACTTCCTCGAAATCACACTCGATCTGCTCCTTGCGCACCAGTGCCGTGACAGCTTCTAGGTTGGCAAGCTCAAAGCAGGCAACTGCATTTGCTGCCTCGAAGCCCCTGTTGTCGCGACGAGTGGCGAATCCCACGTGCAAGTCGGGTCTGCAATGACCGCCTGTGAGTTTTGGTTAATAATTGTGGCAATTACTTGAGAAAGTATGGGTTTGAGACTCACCATTTCTGCCCGTGGCACCAGAACAGGCCTCACGAGCCTCCAAGATTGTGATCTTCGGCGACTCAGCGTTGTCGTCAGTCAGATAGTATGCGCAAGTGGTTCCAGAAAAGCCGGCGCCGATGATGACAACATCCTGCTCGGCAGGAAGCTCTTCAGTGCTTCGATGAGAGTCGAGCTCGTGCAGCTCGGTGCGCCAAAAGGGAACCGTAGCGTTGGCGACGGGAAACACGGGTTGAGCAGTCGGTTGCTCCATGGTGGTGGCAACTGTGTGGTACGATGGGTCTATAAATGTTGTTGCGTGTTGCTTCTAGAATCGGCCCACCCGATCAGTCGGTCTATTGAAAGACCAATTGTGCTCGCTCTGTGTGTTGTTGCCTTGGGAATCGCCGATTTCAAAGATGGGGATTGAATAAAAAAAAATTGTGTTTTGTGAAGCTTTGGTGATTCAGACTAAGGAAATCTATTGGATTGACAATCAAAAGGAAGTCACGGCCTTGGGACTAAAGTGTTTGGTTTCGGATTGTCAATGTGACTTGATGTGTGACACGAGCACATAGAACAATTCCGGAAGTAGGCCGGCGATGGTGGGGGCCAGAGATGCCCGGTGGGTCTCGGACCTTCTGAGCGGACGCAGGCGAGTAAACGGTGGCACAGCTCCGATGTGTGGTTCACTAACAGCCGAGTTCTGCAGAGATAAGGAGCTCTTGCGACTCGGCACCCAGCAAACAAGAAGAGCGTTGGTTACCGTTGGTGAAAAAGGAGAAGTTGGTGCATGTATATACAAGGGAAATTTTACGTGGTGCGGCTCCTAAAAGCCAAGAAAGCAAGTCGTCGCCCGGGGACTGGCGGTCCGTTATCGCCATCATCTAATCTAAAGAATCCCAGCTCATCTTTATCGGCGGCGGGACTCGTCCGAAGGGTTGACCATGTGACTGTCACGATGAGAAGGCAGGTTGGTAGGACATGTACTACTTGATCCTATCCAGATGGTAAACAGGCAAGGCTCAGGAGATTCTTTGGAAAAGTTTCCAAGCCCGTCTTCTGTTGTCGTCGTCAATGGACCCGTGACAAACACTGCTACTGCGGGCTGCCTATAACTTACCGTTGTGCTACGGCAAGCCCGATCTTTTTGATCCACTTCACCCCTCCAAAGTGGTTCCTGTCGTCCCGCCAAACTTGTATTGACCAGCAGTCCAATGCAAATACATCTAGGTTTGCAATTACATGCAAGATGGAGCGGTGGATATGGTCATCTTGTAGCGGTGAAGCCACATGATATAAGGCTGTCTCCTCCTCCAACACTGAGATTCGAGGCGTGCAAAGGCATTCATGGTGACACGGGTACTTGATGTAAAGAGAGTACCGGCAGTCCGGAGGGGTCCGCCTAGAGAATCGCGCCCCAGGGGTTGGGCGATCTGGCCATCAGGGTCCTCCGAACTCGCTCACGTTATTAACACAAAAGCCACGTTCGAAGGCGGTTGGCACGCAAGAAAGCTGGCGTGTTCGGTCATGAGATCGCCAGCAGTAGAGGAATTGAGGCTGAAATGCACATCCCGTCCAATGCTGATTCGCAACCTTATTTGCTGCTTGTCCACGTCTGGTCATAGAGGTCCAGGACCCGCAGACGTGCCTTCACCCATCATCATACGATCTGGGGCTTGCATCTTTATAAAAGTATCACAATTGCTGACAAGTCAAAAAAAAAAAATACATACCTGCTGTGTATCAAACACACAGTGACGCATATTAGAGACTAAATAATGTGTGCATGTGAATTTATTTCACAGCATCCAGAGAATGTGGCCCTTTGTTTGTTCTTGGCAAAGTCAAGGCACATACTTGCAATCGTTTTATGGTGCAGTATTCTTGCACGTGTGTTATTTAGTGTTTTCACTCCAGTCTTTAATCCCTTTCAAGGTTTGTGGTGGTCATAGTACCATGCGCACTCTGTTGAGCAGTCTATGGTTAGCAGAATTGTATACTCCGACGACTCCTACTCAAAACACTTCTTTCCAAGCATATGAGACACCAGAAATAAAAGGCTTGATTGAGTTAATGGACCGAGTGACCTAGAAGCTGGAAGGATACGGCAGGGAAACAAATCACAGCCCGACATAAAACTGACTAGAAAGTCGAACACATTCAGCCGTATCCTCTAACATGAACCCGCCCCGATCCAAGAGACATTGCAACCAATTATGCAAATACTAGAATGTTGGCCTATACAGGTAGGATCATTGGAACTGTGCAAGGCTATCAATCAAAACGAGCAAATAACAACCAAATCGGCATCATAATAAGAATTATTCGAGCATCAAGTAATGTTGCATACAGTGTCATTTGAACTAGGAAAATTTGACCACAAGTGGTCAGGCTTTCTGAGGGCTATCTTCTCTATCAGCCATTCCGCTGATTATCAAACCTTGAGCTTGAGCCAACACTCCTATTTCAGTCTTAAGCACGATTATAGTAATTATACACATTATTAGCGACAAGTAAGATAAATGCGACTTTATCATAAGAAAAGATTACACGCTTTGGTGTGATGATGTCATTGCCAAGAAATCATACCGTCTATATTCAGCCCATCAGCTTGCAACATGGCAGTTTGCCGCCTCGTTATGCACTCTAGAGACCAATCATGTGACCCTAGAGAAGTCCAGCTTGTTAAATACCGGGCGTCATCTTCATTGGTGAGTTGGAGATTATTGACTCAACTTTGGAAGTGTCGCATTGGAACCCGCGTTTCAGAAGGCAAAGTCCGGCCCCAAGCTACCAGGTTGCCAAGCTTGATATTTGCCATCGCCGAGACGGAACGCATGCACGAGACTCGAGATCAATTAGATCGCTTCTTGTGTTCAATTAATACCCATTGATTTTGTTTCATTTCTTTCTAGTCCGACACATCTCAACCCAGGTCGTGACTGGCAAGAACGATGATGCTACAGCTTTGGGGCTAACCACGATTTGTGTGACTTCGTACCTGTCCATCGCTAGAGGCATGTGCACAACACAACAAGAACCATCCAAGACAAGACAACAAGACAGCTTCAACAACGCAGCGAAGAGATCCCTTACACAACATTATACAAATTGCAACGAGTGTCGTATTATCGCCGCATCTAGGAGCTTCCTCTAATCATGAAGACCAATGCTCTGTTCCGTGTGGCTGGAGCCCTGCTTCATCTTTCCCTTGCAAATGCAGCGGATGGTGGCGCTTGCTCCAGTGTCCTGACGCCATCGTACTCGGCACCGGTCGTTGGCTCTGGCTGGACTGCTCAACTGGTTGTCACTGGTCTGACAAAGCCGCGGGGCATCATCTGGGACAGCAATGGACATTTGCTGGTCGTGCAGCAAGGTGTAGGAATCACTGGAATCTCCTTCAATGACAACGGCACTACTTGCTTGGAAGTCGCCGGATCTGGCACCATTATTGACAATCCTGACGTAAGCCATGTCAAATCAAGTCAACTTTTTGATCTAGGATTGCTAAAACTTGCAGTTGAATCACGGAATTGCCTTTTCGAATGACGGCAAAACACTCTTCGCTTCGTCCTCGGATGATGTCTACGCATGGCCCTACGACGCAAGCTCTGGCACGGTCGACGGCGAACAGCGTACAGTCGTCCAGAACCTTGGAGGTACTGGCCACACAACTCGAACCCTGCTCATGACCTCCAACAACCAGCTTCTTGTTTCAAAGGGCAGTGGAGAGAATGTTGACCTCCGGGCCCAGGATATGTCTACGGGAGTTTCACAGATCAGAGCATTCAACATGACAAGCCTACCCGATTCACCTTATGATTACGCCTCCACTGGGATCAGATTGGGATGGGGGCTAAGAAACTCGGTGGGCATTGCAGAGGAGCCAACCACCGGTGGCATTTTCAGCGTCGAGAACTCGGTGGACCAGATCAGCAGAGATGGCACTGATGTCCATCAGGACAATCCCGGAGAGGAGTTGAATTTCCACGGCTTCCTCAATGGAACAACCGAGCATCAGGGTGGCAATTACGGCTACCCCGATTGCTTCGCCCTTTGGGACACCAACATTCCCGATGTTGGCACCATGGCTGTCGGCAGCCAATTCTCACCTAGTCAGAACGCGACTTTGAACGATACAACATGCAACAACGATCGAGTCACGCCTCGACTTACATTCCAAGCGCACATGGCGCCCTTGGATATAATCTTTACGCCCGACGGGAGTACCGCCTATGTCTCATTTCATGGCAGTTGTAAGAAGAACACACCACGCGTCTGCTGACTGATCATGTTACTGACTATCAATAGGGGATCGAGATGACCCAGCTGGCTATATGGTTTCTAGCATCGCCTACGCGAACGGGCAGCCTGTTGAAGACTCTGTGTCGATACATTCGCTGAGAAATGTACTGTCAAACGCTGACAACAGCGCCTGTCCAGATGGCTGTTTCCGGCCCGTTGGACTCGCACTTGACTCTCAAGGTCGCCTCTACATGACCTCTGATTCTACAGGCGAAATATACGTGCTTGCTCAGGCCGAGATGACAGCAACGGGCGACTCAACATCAACCGGCACTTTTATTACTCCCTCGTCCACGGCTAGTGGCGATTCCAGCTCTGCAGGGCATAGCATATATGCACGAGGGTCGATCGAGGGCTCCAAGTCTGGAGGATCGAAACTATTGATATATACGATTTCTCTTGTCATCATGTGCATCTTGTTCGTCCGTACCATGTAGGCCTGTACGCGGGAACTTGCTCTAGTGTTTCCAGAGGATCGTGTTTAATATTTCGTAACCTGTCAGGTGGCGAGTGGCGCCGAAGCCGACACGGGGATGGGTGTCCGCTCTGTGTTCAAACCAAGGCTCATTAGCCTTAAATAATCACAGCACATATCTTATTACACCTGAACGAGACAATGTGGCAGCTTGCCAAATATGTATATCAATCAATGCGATAGTCTTTTTACAGTTCGTCGGAGGCACAGAGCATCAACAGAGAATCAGTGTCCTTGACCAAAATCACCCGAGTGACTCAAGGTGGAAATCGTTGATTTCTGATTGGAAGCGATCACGTCCACGTCCTGCTAGGATTACTATACGCTTCAGACTTCAGAAATCTCGAAATCAAAATCTATTTGCCTGTCGCAGCCATGTGAGCATAGAATGGAAACAAGGATCAAGTGGCATATCATTTTAACGTGATCACCATCAGCGCCACTCAAAGGCAGTAAGGATAGTTTGGGATGTGATCAGTAGTTGGGAAACATCTGGAAATTATCATGTGCTTTTCTCTTTCTCTCGGAACAGCCTGTCTATCTTGTGAGATTCTCTTCACTATACCCCATTCATGCTTACTTCCTTTCCTCTTTGCGACAGGTGTATCGAAGACTACGTCAGTGTAGCCTTTAATCAAAACGCTGAACTAATGGGGAAAACCTAAGTGGTACGCGACGAGAGGAGAGAAATTAACCACCTCGTCAAAATTCCACGCAGCACAGCCTTGCGCTCGGCTGGGTCCAATGGCTGCTCCTCAAGCTCATCCTCTGAAGGGTCCGATAACTGTTCCTCAAGCTCCTCGTCTGACTGTTCCGATATCTGCTCCACCGTCTCCTCCTTTGTTTGAACCAATGGCTGCTCTTCTCGTTGCACTTTCTCTATCAGACCAGAATCAGGTGCTAATATGAAGTCGAGCTGGTCAGCCCAGTAAGTCGCATCCGTGTCAGTCGGATCAGTGTCTTGAACCAGTTGCGCGAGTCCACCTATGAGATCCAGGTAGCTTTGAACGCAGAAGAAGGATCTGCGGCCCTACTCCTCCATGGTCTTCACGCATTCCCACTCGCCACGCAGGTTCTCCTTCCACAGGGAGACTTTGTTATCGCCACCGCTGACGGCAAGGACATTGCCACTGAGACTCCAGCTGACGCGCCAGACTACGGCATCAAAGTTGAGGACCTTGCTAGACCATTGACCCTGGCTTGCGCTGTCGCTCGTCCAGATTCGTACGGTCTTATCCTGCGAGCCGGATGCAATGTAGCTCTTCTGGAGAACGGTAGGGCTCCATGCGACATCTCTAATCCAGTCTGTGTGGCCCGTCAGGGGCTCGCCCTCCTCCTTGTAACTCTGGGTGGCGGGGTCGTAGGACCAGATCTTCAAAACATTATCACAGCCTCCAGTCACGAAGCGACGTTGGCTGAGAGCGCCCTGGCTGGGAGGGGCAGAGGAGACGATGCTGCCGGGAGTGGTGGCAGGGGCCCAGGAGACAGAGTTGACACCGAGGCCGTGGGCGGGGAACGTCTGGTGCTGGAAGGCATTGTCCTTGAACTCGAGAACAGAGACGTGGCCGTCGGATGAGGCGCATGCGAGCAGGCAGCCTGCCTCCTGCGGGGCCCATGAGACCATGTTGACCGAGGCCTTGTGTAGTGCAAAGTCAAAGATTCTCTGCCACTGGGTTCCCTGCTCCTTCCAGATAAAGACCTTGCCATCGTAGCCGGCAGAGGCGAGAATGGCGCCATACTTGGGGTGAGCCCAGGAGACGCACCAGACGGCGCCCTCGTGACCCTTGAGTGTATCCGTCAATCGTTGGGTTTCGTTCTCAATCTCGAAGATCTTGATGGTCTTGTCGGAGGAGCAGGTTGCAAGGCGGCGTCCGTAGTAGTCGAGGACGGCATCATGCTGTTTGCACGGTTAGCCAGATGCGAAGCTGGAAGCGTTGGCTGATTCGTTCAAGCACATACAATCATGTCATCATGACCAGAATTCGATATGACTTGCGCCTGTGGTACATCCACGTTAGCTAGGGTACAATAGGGAACAGCACGTTTGCTCTACATACCATGGCGACTGATGTCAAACAATGACAGCAGCAAGTGTGCAGCAGGGGAATGAAGACTTGTGCGCAGGCGATACTGCGATCAATTCGTTATGGCAGAAATGGGAGGTGCTGATAACTCGTGAGCTTGTTGTACATCTGTTCACTACTGCAAATGCCAATCGCACTCAGGAGCACCCGAGTGCAGCTACTAGCTGGTTGGGTAGGCGGCGTTGACTGGGTTGGTTGGCAGCTGTACCGCCACAACAAATTGTGGCTGGGCAGTGTGCACTGTTGTGGCAGCAAGTTGTCAGCAGTCCCATTTTTGAATTCGAATCTGGAGAATAGTGGGGTGTAGGCGATATTAGGTAATCTTGGCTGCTTTTTGGTTTCACCGCCCTGGTGGGCTGGATGTGTGCTGTCACCGCTCTTGATTCTGCCGGCAGATACTTTGTAGGCCGCCGCGGGCGGCGCAGCACGGAGCTTTAGAAGATCAGTGTGGTCAGCCTGTCTGTGCACGGACTATCCTGACGTAAGTATTTGAGGCTCAAAATGCACCACTGAAGCTTTGACTTAACCACAACCCACCATCGACACCCCCGGACTTGGAGCCAATCACTACACAGTTCGAGAGCTCCAACCACAATCCCTCACCCCCCATCCCCCCATCCCACCCCTAATCATAAGCATAAGCTCCAGTCAGCTTACCTGCGCCCACCCCTCTGTACCCATAGTACTTCTTCCGGACCACAGCAATTCAGTCTAAGGCAATTCAAGTCAAGCCAAGCTTTTGCATCAATCCCTGCCCTTGTCCAGTCAGTCCATTGCGGCGCCGACTCGTACCCCGAAGATCCAGTCGCGCGCAAACCCCCCGCATGTGAAGATCATCTCGGCTCGGCTGCGGTTAACAGTACAACGGTTTGCGATTCAATTTTGGAGCGTCTTTCTTGATGTAAGTCCATCCCAATATGACCATATCGGCGACACGTACCCAGTCGCTATTTTCCTTCAGTGTATGCAAACTTGTGTCAGTCATTGCTCGTTGCCGGCCACGCCAAGATGCGATATTTCACATTTGGTCAATGCTAATTTGTCATTTGCAATATAGCTAGAGCCATCATTGGATTTGCCCCTTGAATAAGGATTTTGCAGAGCAACGGCTTTTGTATTCACACCAATGATCATTGTCAAAGCTGATCTCTGAGCCTGTCTGTTCTCGAGCAATTTTACGGGCACACACGTCCAAGATTGGTATATCGCTTCTCAGTCGTTGCATGATTGACGATAGATTTGACTATTTCAGTCATTTCTAGGACCTTGCAACGGACTTTTCTGTCACCGCTGTTTTTACGTGCTGTGCGCAGACTCCTCAAAGCTTATTGCCACTCTGCTACTACACACATTGTACATCGACCTTTTGTCACATTTACCGTACAAGACACCACCAGCATTCACAATGGCTGAGAATTCCAAGTCTGCTGGAGATGCTGCAGCCGCCTTTAATCGGCACTTCGACCAGCAGCGCGCTGCTCAGGGCAGTCGCGTTAACCACCAGCAGCCTGGTCCTTCTGTAAGTCTACTCCTTATAGATGATATACTCCGTTAAAGACAAGACTAGCTAATCACGCAATGATAGTCATTCCGTGGACGTCATCATAACCTTGATGCTGAGTCTGACTTCTTGAATAATCAGCTCGGAGATCTGAGCCTCGAGCAGGGCAATACTCGCCAGCCCAACTTCTTCCACCCTACCCCTCCGCCTCAACATCTCTTCACCCCACCTCAACAGAGCACCTATGCCTCGATTGATGAGGCCGCCTTGGCCGAGGCTCGAATGAACTCGGCTTTCACCCAACCGACCAGCAACTTTACCAGCGAGACGGCCTCATCTTCTTCCACTGTCGTCCCCAACTACTCGCCGTATGGACATCAGCATGAAGGTCCCCTGAGATATAGCCACTACCAGCATAGTGGTTACATGAGTGGACCATACTCCCTCCACACTTTCGCTCCTGCTCCGACGGCAGTCGCTGCCCGTCCTGGTATGTTTTCTTCTACTCCCGTCTTTTTTCCTCATCACTCTCGTACATCACATGGGATTAGTTCTCTTATTATCTAGTCCCATCTTATTTCATCCAATCAGAGAAAGCTTTATATACTTGTTGAACTTGATAGACTGACCATCTTATCTAGCTTATCAGCAGGTCCAGCAGGCTCAGCAGCGCAACGCTGCTGAGCCTACTCCTTTAGCAGTGGCTGCTGCTTGGGAGGGCGCCTTTGATGACGCCATGGACGAGTGGATGCAGGAGCAGGTCCGCATTGAGGCCGATGAAGCTTCTGCCGCCACCGAGGCTGAAGCCGCCGAGGCAGAGGTGGCTGAGGCCAAGGATGCTGCTCCTGCCCTTCCGAGCCCGTCTGACCTGGCCAAAACCGCTCAGCTGCTCGTGTCTGCCGTTGAGAATGACGATTCGGATAAGTTCCGAAACTCATCCTTCATGCACCTGATGCGCCGCATTGCAGCACAGGAGGTTGTTATAGAGGACAACAACTTTGTCACGGCCTCGCCGGCTGAGCCGACCTTGGACGTCGAGCGCCCTGACAAGGGCAAAGGCAAGGCTGTTTACCCTGAGAAGAAATAGTCTATCAACTGGATAGGCGACTATTCAGTCGCAATTTCTGCCTGGCTGGCTGTGGTCCTGTGTTTGCTTTTGACTGATACCCCACGACGTTTTGCTTTTTGTTTCTGAGCAATCATGACCTCGAAGGATGAAGAGCCATCTTTATGATAGCTCGATGGATGAAGGGTTGTGGTTACTCGAGATAGGCGTAATACATTTGGCCAAAAGGCCCCCATAATATGATTGTTGTTTTAACAGGCCGTTTGCCATAAAGTGCTTTGCAGCTTAAACCTTTGACATGGGGGGAAAAACAATTCTTCAGCCAACAGGACGCAGCGCTTATAGGTCTTCAATTGTTTCTAAAGGCAAATAAAAAAGAACATTAACGAAACCAGAAGTGATAAATAATTCACAATCATGCAAGGCCCCAGCAAGATACAATAACCCATTGAAGTCGAAAACATTCCAAGTGTATGTGAGATTCATGCACAATGGTGGAAAAGTATTCAGCATTGTTGATTCATCCAATCAAACCAATACACTTCCAAACAAAGCTGCTACCTCCAATCAAAGAAGCCACTCCAGTATAGACAATGAGACTGCCGTAACCACTGCCAAAGCCGGCAGTAGCCTGTCCGACCCAAGCCTTGCTCGAAGCTAGAAGCGAATCGCTGAGAGGGCCAGAGACGACATTGCCAATGCCTCTACCGACGCACAACCAGCCAAACACCATGGTTGGGTCTACATACCGACCGGCTGCTTCGCCCTGTCGCGCCACATCTCGCATGATGCCAGGCCATATTGATGTCCACCCGCCGGCGAAGAAGCCATAGACAATGCAGAAGAGAAACAAGACAGGCAGAGACGAAGACAACCCCCAGATCAAAAAGACCCCGACGACAGTACCAGCCGTCGAGATGGCAATGCAGGTCGTGACGTGGACCTTGTCCGTCAGCGTGCCCATCATAATCGAGCCCATGGTGGCTGCCACGTTTACCAGGAGCACCGTCAATGCCGACATGAAGGACGAGGCGCCAAACGAGCTGCGCGCATACGATGGCAGATAAATACCCGGGAGAAAGAAACCCGAGGCCTGGACAATATTACCGAGCTGGTGAAGGGCAAAGGCGCGCGTTAGAATACCGCTGACATCAAACGGTCTTGAGCGCGCTGCAGCAGAAGCAGGCAAACGCGGCTTGACAAAGAAGGCGAGGGGGAACGAAGCTGTGAACAAGATACCCGACCAGATGCGCATGGCGCCCGCAAAGCCGAATCGTGCCAACAGAGCCTCGAGCACCAACGGCAGAACGACACCTCCAAATCCTGCCGCGCTCCACATGATGCCGTATGCCATACCCTTTCGCCGGACGAACCACTCCTCTATATACAGAACACATGGGCAGTAGGCGACGCAACCTCCGACCCCAAACAGGACGCCTTGGACGGCGATCAGCTGGGGTACCGTCACGCAGAACGAGCTCAGGGCTATGGTCAGCGAGGCCACAAAGAGCCCGATCTGCGTCGCCCAGCGAGCATACCGAGGATACAGACGGCAGAGTGCTATGACAACTGGTGTTCCGAGGTACATGGTTCCCTATCGAGACAAGGTCAGTCACACACATCGGTGTCCTGTTATCATTTTGTGATGCTTCAATGATTCCAACTTACCAGAGCAGAAGTCCCAATTGCTGCAACATTGCTGGCGCCCTCGAACGGTTCATGAGAAGTATAGTAGTCCTGAAAGACACCAAAGGAAAAGCCAAAACCTGATATCCCGCAGATCAGTACAGAGGACAATTTCAGGGACGAGAGTGCATCATTACCCCAGATCAGAGCTTCGACAGACCAACACGCGGCCAAAAAGAGCCAGGCATCTTTGCCCCCATCAGTCGGCGGGAGACTGAATTCCTGCTCGGTCGCCTCCGTGTCATTGCCAACATCGTGGCATCCAGATTCAGGGCCAGCCGTAGCCGCGCTCACGGTAATTGGTGTTGGAGGGTTGACATTTAGAATATTTAGTCTGATCGCGTCTTCGTCCATGGTAAAAAGGAGTTCACTATACTATACAACTGCAATTGAGACGGAAGGTTTCATTTCACACTTGGAGATGAAATAATCAGATGGCATTGATCATCTTCTAGTATTGAATTATGGCAACGATCGCCCAGGGACTAATGCAGAGATGTCCTTCACGCCCTTCCTCTATCTCCTAGCTCGGTCCGACCCACCTTGGAGATGCAGAGACACTCGCCGAGTGAGTCAATACATTCTATATTGCAATAATTGTCTCTGTCAAGAGCTCATCGCGAATGATAAAGATACGTTTCGTCGATAATGTGATTATAGACATCACGAAATAAACGTGTATACATACAATGCGGGCGATCAATCATACAGCGTTACTTCGGCTTGTGGGATTGGACTCCCCCACATTCACTGACCGAGTATAATGCCGGGAAAGACCGGCGGTAAAAGTAGTGTAAAAGGTAAGCAGAAGATGACACCGGTCCGGGAGACGCAACCGAGACGCCATCCTGCGATGGTGGTATAAATTGGTTACTATACTTTGGGGGCCATGAGAGCTGCCAAAACTTGGAACGGTACGGAGCACTTGAGACCTTGCGGCTTGGGGTGTTTCGATTCGGCTTTCCATACCATAGTATTGTCAGCGGAGACGTGGGTCTCGGCTTCGGCCTCGGTTTCAATCCATTACTTTTCTCGGAATACCCACTAACTCGGAGCTACATAGTACATGTCTGTTCCTTGGCTGTGAGATACGTACCGTATTATGGTAGACCGAAGACATGGATACCCTATGCCGAGCTGCTCCATGTTTGAGGGAATTCTTGAGAATATCTTTGGTGGCATAGAGGCTAATAATCACAAACGCAAGTCCTATCGCAAATGAGGACTGTATATTGGCCTCAAAGAAATGCCTACTGTATGACCGATCAGCAGACACGAAGAACGTGGGGGGCCCATATATCGTATATCTACACGGCAGATGTTGTTGGCACCCCAGGACATTTAAGAATACAAAAAAAAAGAGACTCAAACGGGGTACGCACGAGGTGAGACGTACGCAAAATGTCACGCTAGCAAAAAGGCCAACCTTGCATGCATGGTGTTTGAAAATCGCAAGTGAGCACGAGGGACTGTAAAATGGAACTTGTCCGTAAGCGCGGAGGAACTTTGAAGTAAATGCCTGCGGCAGGACTTGGCAGGCTGAGGTATGAAAAAAGAGCCACTCGTCTCTTATTCGCCAGCGACTCTCACAAGCTGCAAAAGCAAAGCCCTCCAAGCCGAGTTGGTGTGTAGTATCCCGATCGATTTTGCAGTGCAAAAAAATAAGCGAGAAACATTTCCCATTTCCCGGTGTCTTACCTATTGTTTAACCTACCAAGCAAGCCGTAAGATTCCTCGACAAGCACAGCTTACGGGCAATTATCGCGACTTGCATCCCGTAGTCTCAAGGCCAAGGTTAGCTGTGGCTCGGCTCTCAGCATGCCCATACTTACTCTGTCCTGATGAACCTGGCTGGACGCCGTGATCGTCGATTAAGGTCGTTTCTAGTACTGTGTAATAGCACAGAGTATGAACCATGGGTGGGAATTTCTAGCGGAGTCCAATGGCTGGCAACGGCATCTGTCGGCCTGGCCTGCCTGGCACTTTTCGCTTGCACAGCGGAGATGCTGTTCCCAGCCGGAGATGCGATGCGCTCGCCGAAAGGCCATTCGGCATGCACTTCAAGGGGAGGGGGGGCTTGCATATTGTCCCATATGGGCCATGGCCACTTGCGGCCGAATAGGAGTTGCGGCCCTTTCTTCTTCTTTTTACCTGTTGTTGGTGGCATTGCGGATAATATAATGGAGGCTACTACGACAACTAGTCGC